GCTTTGCACGTGTCAAGCTGGGGCGTGTGTATGCCGCGCCCACGCCCATTATTTGCATAAACTTAAATATGCATTTACAATTCAAAGACCCATATTTCATTGAATAAAGACATTAAATATCATAGGTTTTTTTCTTGGAGTTTTTGGTTGTTGAGAATAAGTTTATTTAAAATGATATAAAATCATTTCCTCAATTCTTGGTGACAAAAGTGCGACTTATTATTATAAAAGTGATCTTTTTATCCTCAATACTGTGACTAGGAAGTACACCGTTTTGTAGACTTCAAGAAGCTTCCAGTAATAGATATGCTCGGTTCCTGTTTGCGAGTTAAGGGTCGGAGAGTCACAATAGCTGACGCCACCCGCCGTGTTTGGGGTTCACGGTTTAATACGTCCCCCATGCAAACAAGGAATCCTTCACTCTAGCTTCTCTGGTTATTGTTAATCTTTAAATTACTGATATTGAAGAACAACTGATTGTTGTCAAATACCTGACTTACCTGTGAAGAAATCATGCATGGCATGCTGACGTGCGCACGTACGTTGACTACATGTACATGTATGGCATATTTTTGCTTTTGAGGGAATTTGGAATGGCCAAATAACCGAATATTCGAATATTCGATCGATTGGAAGGTCGAATATTCGAATATTCAATTATTCGAATTGACTCAGCCCTACCGGCCACCAGCGACTCCTTCGTGCTTTGCGGGTGTCATGCAAAAATCAGACACCTATAAAAATAATCATACTCCTGCTTCTGCTTCTGCTGGATACTATGCAAACACCACCCATGGTGGTTATAGCACATGGGTCGTGATTGGTCATTCTAATAATCATATGTTAGGCATGCGCAATTGTGGAGGCTGTAGTATGAAGTTGTTGGTGCTGCGACCTTCACAACGAATGGACCAATCATACCAAAACATGAATGGGAAATGTTTTGAGCGCCTTTTTAGATGGCCAATAAGCTCGATCCATGCAGTGTGTGGGAAAAAGCACGTGTCACGACTTGTGCTTGTGGATCTATGGACCCAGCAGGCTGACATGTATGGCCACGCACATGACGCAGGTGTATTCGGGGGCTTTCGCTTTACGGTAAATCGGACAAGAGTTTTCCCCACGATGAGAAATCGTAGCTTTTTTATTGCGCTTTCTTTAAAATATTTTTCTCTCTCAATTTCCCTTGATCGGACGGCTCAGCATCGCATGTGAATCCAGGCATGTCCGTTCCCTTTGCACGTGCACCTCGCATGCAAATAGCATGGAATCTTGCTCCATGACTGAAGCCTGTAGTTTTGGCGGTCATAGATTGACATGTTTTTCCTTGTTGCTGATATTCTTGAGAACTATGTTTTGGCAAAAATTACGCATGATGATGTAGATTTCAAATCTCTCAAACAATCACGGAGAAACAATTATCAGACCAGTTTTTTTTGTCACGACCGTCAAAACATTCCCATGTGTAAAACATTGTTGAACTTTCCGTCCAGACACTATATACACAAAGATAACCGCAAACACGGCAGCGTTAGCAGAACTTCAAATGCCTTTGTGGTATTGCAGCTGCCGAAGTATCAGGTTTTTTTAGTCCAGCTTGACAATTATTGCGTCTTATCGTCAACGGTAATTTAAAAAAAAAAAATTAAAAGAAATATCATGACGCAATAAATAACGAAAATCAATCTTCTGAGAAATCACTTTTTAAAAATATGGGCTGTTGGTACCCGCTATTCACTTTGTACACTAAGCTTGTGCGCATGTGCGGTCACGATAGCCAAGATGGATGGCTACGCGGTGTCCATGACAGTGATGTTGGGAACAAAGTAATTGTTCAGTTACGTTGCCAACATATGTTTAAATGGTAATTTTTCTGATTTATTCCATAAGTACAATACTGATTGTGTTTTGTCGGATATGTCGGTCGTTATGTCGCATCATATTCTAACCAGGTATTCTTCATTAAGAAGAAAGGGTAAGCTATTGTGTGTACTATGTATTCCCTTAACCCCTCCCGCCTCTCTCAAAAAAAGAAAGAGATCTACCGACCAATCCTGATATTTTTCATGTGAGGGCAACAAAACAGTTGTTGTTATTGGCCTTACATGTACATGTATATTCACTTACTTAAAATAAGTATTTTTATATATTTAACAATTGTTGAATGCTGTGATGTGGAATATGCCATTTTTAACACCTGGGGGCGCATAGCACCTATGCGTCTCGAGGGGGTTAACAGCAGTCAACAATTTAAAATGATATAAAATCATTTCCTCAATTCTTGGTGACAAAAGTGCGACTTATTATTATAAAAGTGATTTTTTTTATCCTCAATACTGTGACTAGGAAGTACACCATTTTGTAGACTTCAAGAAGCTTCCAGTAATAGATATGCTCGGTTCCTGTTTGCGAGTTAAGGGTCGGAGAGTCACAATAGCTGACGCCACCCGCCTTGTTTGGGGTTCACGGCTTAATACGTCCCCCATGCAAACAAGGAATCCTTCACTCTAGCTTCTCTGGTTATTGTTAATCTTTAAATTACTGACTGAAGAACAACTGATTGTTGTCAAATACCTGACTTACCTGTGAAGAAATCATGCATGGCATGCTGAAGTGCGCACGTACGTTGACTACATGTACATGTATGGCATATTTTTGCTTTTGAGGGAATTTGGAATGGCCAAATAACCGAATATTCGAATATTCGATCGATTGGAAGGTCGAATATTTGAATATTCAATTATTCGAATTGACTCAGCCCTAATGGACAGAGCTTGTTAGACAGGGGACAAGTCTAGCTCTATCCTTGTACTGTGTGTATTTTAACAAACTGGTGCTCACGTGTCATACGACTCCTCTACCAAGACGAAAACCAGCGAAACCATGCTGTTCAACGTAGATTCCAAATTAGAACATAAAGCTCGCTCCCACATGTATGGTATGTGCGTGCGCTGAACAACCTACATGTATGATCGAACGGTCGATCGTGACAGAGAAACAGCAAGCATGACAATGGCCGCCAACAATAAAAAAACCATTAATCTCTTCTTACTTTCGATCAATGGCGGAGCAAGATAATACACAGTGTTTGTATTGTGTGTGTGTGGGATGAAACCTATTTAACTATAAAGTGCATCAGTTTATCATTACATGCATCTGCAATTTCCAATAGCACACACTTATGGCAATCCATTGAACAGGACCTCTCACTTGTGTAACTTTCACAGATATTCAACATTATGACATCAGAATTCATTAATCAGGTTGTCCTTGTTTGCTTTTGTTTCTTCCAAACCAGTAATCTGCTTGACAGTTTACATTTAATACAGAAATCAAATGTTATTTAGGAGTATTTGCAGAATACCCCGCCACTCGGAAATACACCCCTAAAATCTCTAACTACGCGGTTGGAATCACGGAAAAGAAACAATTCAAGTCCATGCCAGCTACGCAGATACTGAGTGGGGGTTCATTATTTGAGAACGAAGCAACACAAAAGAAATAGGAGTTGCTGAAAAAATTCTAAGTCCAAACCAACCACCCTGTTGCCGGCTACGCGGATACGGTGTGGGAGTCCCCTTGAATATGCTTGAGAACGAAGCAACACAAAAGGAATGGGAGTTGCTGAAAAATTTTTAAGTCCAAACCAACTACCCTGTTGGCGGCTACGCGGATACGGAGTGGGAGTGCAGTGAAGCACGACGCATAGTACACAAGTAGCGCTGAGAAGGTTTATTGAGGGCAATCAACCGTGACTCCGTAGCCGGCTACGAGGTGGATAGATTGAGTGGCGGGGTATTCTGCAATTGTGCCGTTATTTTTTTTGTTATGTATACTCTTATTTTGTATCTCAGCATACTGGATTAAGTTTGGAATAAAATATATATTCCTTTCTGTCTTTCAAACTGCATTGACTCCTTTTGTCATTTTGTGTTTACAACTTGAAAAGAACAGTGAACTACTGATCATTGAGGTTTTCTGGTAAAAAATGAAACGCTAAAAATAACATTTAAATTCATCCATGGGATCTTTCAAAATATGCCAGAATGCACCAGAGAGCACGTAAAACCCACGCCGTAAGGGGCTTCGCGCTTCGCGCTCGCGTTCTGGGATAGTCATTATCCAACATTAAAAGCCCCACAGTCTTGAAAAATCCGGGGGAGAACCCTGCTGCGCGTGCACGGTCTGTCCCCTAGACTTGCAGACAAGTCACTATACTATCCGGGAATAGCCATATTGTATGCACATACATCGTACCGTGGGACGGCGCGGTATGCGGTAGCTGTCCACGCTGGCATAGTGCGGTGCGCGACAGGGGAACAAAACTGGGCCAATAACTGATTTTATTTGAAGTTTACCTGTTCCGCTGCACCTTAACTATTGCATGTAGCTGCATTTTGTGGCAGTCAAATTCTGTCGCGTCGCCAAAACTATCACTTGAAGGTCCAGTTTAGGGCAAGTTTTGAATCTAAATTTGACTGTTTTTACTAAATAATATATCGCTCTTTCCATTTTTAGATTTGATTAAAAAGGCAAAAGCCCCTTATATGTAAAAAATCAGTCTGAAGTTGAGTCCCATTTTGAGATGGACTATTTCGGCTTAAACATTTGCGACTTTTTCCCAGTATTTTTGACACATTATTGTTGACGAATGAAAATTAGGATGACGATCAAAAACATGTGGAAATCGCCACGTATACCTTCTGATCAGTGTAAACCCGGAGGACGATCGTGCGGCAACTTAGAAAAAAGTTGTTCACTGTTGCGTGTCACCTGCGCAGATCGGTGTCTGCCGGTTCGTGTACGGTCCCTACTTCATGTCCATACTGTTTAATTACATTTATAAATAATTCCTTTTTAAGTTACTTGTACTTCTCATCATGTGTTTACATCGGTTTTTTTATATTTGAAATATTAGTGTAAATGGATCATCATTAATTTTATATAAATTTATCTGGATACTTTTAAACTGAACTAAATAATTATAAAACTATACTTACGGTGGACACACTTTGGTGGGCCTGGGGTCAACTCCCCCAACTCACAACGAGTCACCTTATTCTCCTTCTCATATCCATCATTACAAGAGTAAGCAAGCTCACTGTTGTGCCGGATACTTCTGATCCGTTGATCAAGCTCACCATTGAATGGGTCAGAAACCTCACAATCAGCTAAAAATGTAAATAAAAAACAAAGAAAGTTACTAAACAATGACATTTTCAAACTGGAGATCTCATATAATTCACGTATATGACAGGTAACACCCTCAAAGCTTGTGAAGCTGATGATTATAACTTACAAATTTGATGATTCTACCTTCACTGTATACTGACCTACATGTGGCTAGTTCACAAGTCCATGTTACATGTACACGTATGTACACATGAACTGCAGTGTATAATTGTGAGTATGTACATATTAACATATTGACCTGTGTCAAAGATCATAAGAACACAGGATCCAAGCAGGTGGAAAAAGGCATGCACAGTCCACTATTGAACAGGTTGCCTATGGATGCAATAGTCGACTGCATATACGCATTATTGAGCAATTGTAAAAATTTTGATAAGGGGTGTTCATCACTGGAGCATTCTCCTGCACGGACAACCGCACACACATTTTGCAGTGGTCATATTGTGTTTCTTTTCCTGAAACTGCAAAATAATGGCAAGTGAAAATGTATGAGGTATAGTGAACCAAGGTTTTATGAAACATAAATATTAGCTCCCCTCAGTATTTGAAATTGGCAAATAATGTCCCTAGGCTTTTTCAACCTCCACTACCTCAGAGAGCTTATACTGACAATCCAATCCGAAACAAAGTTATATTCAGATAATGTGGCTGTATGATACATGTACTGCATTACCTGCATCGCAAGTAGGAAGCTGTCTAGCCCATGTACCGTCCCCTCTGCACAGGTTATCCACAGCTCCATTGTGCTGGTAGCCTGTCTCACAGTTATAGGCAATGCCTGTTCCTGGAGGAACTTGAGCGTTTGTAAGCGGCACCCCACCATCACCTTCTAGTGTTTGTCTCATACCGGCGATGTGAGGGATCCTACATGCTGGACAAATTAAGTTGAAATGGCAGTGGACATGATGTAAAAAATGAAAACTTACATTGGTAGAAAAATGGTCACGTGAATCAGGCCTGCATGAATTCAGCGTTTCATCTATTGCACTGTGAACCATCTTTTGGAAGGGCAAAATCAGATCTGGGGCAGCACTTTGCAACAAGGAGAGTTTGACACAAGGGGCAGCTTCTGGCTCAAAAACATCTTCATCCACTGTTAATTTCATTAGTTGTTCTGAACTTAAAGATGACATACCTGATAATTAAAGCCAGCTTGTATTTAAAAAAAAACTCCATGGGTCCTTATTTTAAAACTCATTAACTTTGTTTTAATACAGTGAAACGCCGCTACAATGAACATCGCCTGATCCACAGAAACTCTTTGTAATAACTAAAATAGGGATCGTTTGGTAGAGCAATTTTAACCTGCTGGTGCTCCGGTGGCAATGCGCTCTTTTCACACTTCCGCCATGGGCATGCTGAGCCTCGATCTGGCAACTTTACACATAATATAGCTGGTTCAGTGATTTCTGTGTCGGGGTTCAGATCACTGAACCGGCTATTTTTATTGTGTATAAAGTTGCCAGATCGAGGCTGTGCATGCCCAATGGTGGAGTGTGAAAAGAGGGAATAGGTGGCCTTCCCCTTCTATTCCTTGGGGAAATAATAGCCACTTGTCGCTTTCTGTTGACATTTTTCAACAACAATGTACATTTTGTACATAAAAATCGGGAGCCAAGGACGATGTTCAGTATAGCCGAATGTTCGATATAGCGGTGTTTGGTATAGCGACACTCCACTGTATTGACCAAGTTCATTTGCTCAAACTGCCTAAAAAATCAGAGTGATCACCCCAACTGTACATTCTCTTATACGGGGTAGGTCAGGCACCCTGAAACCCTGCGTGAAAACTTCCATTACATATTTTCAGCAGTTCAATTGCTACTGAAGACTCAATCATGTTCCCCAGGTACATTATCTTGAATATGACATTATTGTGATCAACTTTTGTATCCCACGCATAAACTGAACAGAGATACCTCACCGCGCGCTGTGACTGACATTTAATGGGCTTTGTTGGTTTGTGGTACAACCGACCCAATGGCAAGAACTCCTGACAATATCCAGACTAACCAACCAGAATTGGACAACAAGAGCGAGAATTTGGGTGGCAAACAGCTCAAGAAAGCTTGACTTACTTGCAATGGGACCAGTAGCAAACACCTCTACTTCGCACAGACTTAATTTGTCAGATTCCTGCAGCTCGATCCTGATGATTTGCCCAGCAATCAGCTCGCGGTTGCAATCCACTCGCACTCTGGGCTGACGACCTCTTGCCATCTGGGAACTTATTGTGAGACCACATTGACTGTACGACTCTCTTGCGGCATCAGGGTATCCGACTTGGACTGTTGCACCTATCAGTTTGGGTTCTAGAGAATAAAAACACAAGTATGATATCCACATTTAGAGCATGGTTAAGAACAAGTAAAATAACAAATGAAATATGATCAAGCTGGTATGACTCATCATTCAGGTGTTTTATATCTTGGGATTTTTAGCAATATATCATTCAAAAAGTGTTTATTCCCCTGGATGGCATAATGCTAATGGCATTGTCCATGGGTAACAACAGGTCGGTACAGGTAAGGTGCCTTACATGTACCTGTTGAAGCAGCACATAAATTCTAAGTATTCTTAGAATTAGTCATGCGTTAAAAATTGCTCTAAGGTCATTCAATTCAATTAGTAGTTTCTTCCTTCAGCTGGTAGCCAAGCAGTGGATTTAAAAAACTTTAAATGAAAACTTTGAACAATGACATAAGTCCATTATTGTAGATGGCATAACTTTACAGCTTACAAATCAAAAATCAGATGATCTCAGATGATCTCACTTATGAAGGTGGGTACAATTGACAGATTAGTTCTTGAGAAAAATTGCAAACTTGTCGTTTACTCCCTCGCAAAAAAAGTGGTAGATGGAGCTTGTAGTATGACTAGTTTGTGGTCATACAATGTAACCACTAACAGCCATTTCAAAAACAAAGATCGTCTTTGTACAAGTTGTATAATAAATAAGTTGAGCAGCTATGTAGATTGAGCATTACAAACAATTGTGCACTTGCTGCACATGTTGGTAGGCAGGTATGCACTGTTTGGTGGTATTGGACATCGTGGATCGAACATCTGGCTTTTATCTGCAGTCCATCAAAAGACTACCGACTAAAGAATTTTTAACAGTAATTCAAAGTTTCTAGTACAATGCCTTCGCATGTAGGTCCTGAAAGTTACTTTTCCATACTTACTGCGCTTGGAATAGATGTCCACGTATTCTATCCTGTATGTAGCCTGCAAATCTACCTCCCAGAAAACTTGCCTTCCAGATTTCCCTGCAAAAATTAGCCCAAAAAATCACACAAAAACAAAATACAGATGAAATCAGGATGTTCAACAGGCCCCTTTTTTAACCATTGTTGCTTTCTGTTGCATGACTTATAATAAGCTTTAGCTTACCTGCAGTAGTGCAGCTGCCATGTTCACTGTCTGTGGTCCTATCTCCATCCACTGCTAAGCTTGCTTGCTGTCTGTTAGATTCATCAGATCTTGGGCTTTGCGATGCTGGTCTTCCATATGCTACATTGGATGACGCATCTTTTGCAGTGACACAGAAAGAGCACATGAGTCCATAAAATGTATGTTAGTCAGTGGCATAACTAGGGTTACTTGTAGGGGGCACTGAAGGCAACTGATATATTGTTTTTTGTGCAATTCAAGATTGTACATGGGGGTGGGGCTCCCGGGGGGCATGGACCTCCGCTGGGGTGAGGCGCACATGCACCCCCTGTAGTTACCACTGATGTAAGTACCAGGGATGTAGCCGAGTTCTTCATAAGTCCCTGCAAGTCCATCACAAGTCCTCCAGTCCCAACTCCACTCACACGCCATTCAAATGAGCTTTGACAAAGGCATTCCTTTGTTATTGATCATCCATTGTTTCTTGTGACTCATGAATTACTTGTGATGGACTCGACTTCATTCCTTTATTTTACACAAAAACTTACTACAGGAAAATGTCCATTCCTAAACCTACTTGTATAAAATGAATGAAAAATAACAAGACACTCTTTTTACGTGCACTATTTTTGCTATTTCTACCGCTATTTTGTGACAACTCGGAGCACTTTTGCTGTGATGTTATTGCAGCCCTTGGATGTCGCAACAGCCTAAAGGCCTAAGCATACTCAGCGCACACACAAACATCAATGCAAACTTCTGACGCCCTGACAAATGTTCGCACTGAGAATTCGCAAAGATAGGGCAAAACCAATATTAAAGGGAAATATAAGTTCATCAGTGGGTAGTTTGTATTTTTGTATGGACCAATCAAGATTTGACAACACTCCCTCCCACTTTGCACCCAGTCAACAAGACTCGCAACACAGCATGTTCCTACATGATAAACTGTAGTAGGAAATTTGCCTGTGCTGTTATGGCAGTAACTTGTCGAAACATTGGTCTACTATGTTTTAACAACTGAGTAAAATTCACTACAACATCGGGTTTTGTGTGAAGTAAATTAAAAATGCATGTACGCTAAAAATACAGCGCTAGACTAAACACCCTCTGGTGCAAGGAAATGAGGCAATTTACCGCTGCTAATGCACATTATGCCCTCTGGTACCCAATGCCCAGCATGGCAATGTAGACCACCATTTCCAACACTTGGTTTCAGGCCCTGGTCACATGTAACACGGGCCGTACCGCCATGCCCCAAGCTTTGCACCTCCACGTTACTAGCGGCAACAGCTGGTCTGGAGCAAGAATCTTTAGGAAAAGACACAAAAATAAGCACTTTTTGAGTTCCTACGTTATGTGATGCGATCAAGCTAAATGAGTTGTTTGTCGACCCTGGTAATTTTTTTTTTACAGATTTGAAAAGGGCACAATCTCAGCATTACTGCTGTGAAAACCGCATGCTGATACCATCTTTAGTTCAAAAATTATGGAAGTCAGAACACCAAGAGATGTGATGAAGTGATGTGATGAAGTGGCCCTAATTTGGCCTGAATCTCCAAATGAAAATTCCCGACAAACGACTCATTTAGCTTGATCGCATCACATATACTTCAGCAAGGCAATTTTTCATTTCATAAATATCTCCGTAAAGGTAAACAATTCCGGCATATTTTTTTTTAAATGTGCATATTTACTATTAACATTAAAGCTACAGTCCATCATTTGTAATTTGTGCATTTTGTTCGTTTGAAGCAACAAAAGAGTTCAAAATCTAATGAAGGATACTGAGCAACTAACCTGATGAAGTTTCAGCTTAAGCTTCAGCTGTACATTCCGAGAAAAACAGCATTCTAAGATCTCAATTTCAAATAAAAAGTTACTGAATCATGTTTTGAATTGTTTTGAATTGCAGCTATACGCGACGTCGCGCACTGATCCGACGAATTATAACATTTGCGCGCGCGTGTGCGTCGTTCCAATACTTGTGCGCGCTGCGCCGAATAACAAAACGAACTACTAATTTAAATTTTCCTACGGTGCTTCTTAAGAATCACCGTTGGAAATGCCTTCTTTCGTTGATTACTTCAAAATGACAGCTTCCCAGAAAGAATAATTTCACAGGGAGCTTAGTTCCTTTACTATCTTTCAACCAAGTTTGTTTTTCAACAATAATTACGCCAGTTACTTTTCGGATGGCTGCAAATGATGGACTCTAGCTTTAAATTTCTTTCATAAAATACCCTCTATCCTTGATTATCAGCCTGGAGGATTGTTGGAGGATTGAGCAATGTACTCCAGTCTAGGGCCTTGTCTGAATTACCTGGCTAGAGCTGGATATAACACACGGGTCTATGGGAAGTGACTGCAGCTGCTTTCAAAGGCCGATGTGTAATTTCCAGTCATAGCCAAGTAATTCGGATGAGGTCTATAGGCTTGACAGTTAAGAGTACATGTAGGAAGGTGCCAATGGTTAGTTTACAGTAGCAGTGTGTCGAATTCATAAAGATTCCTAGCAAACAAGCATAGGAAGTCTTAAAGGGAATATACATCATTTGCTTTTGCTGTAATTTTAAGAAATGGATGAAATTGGGGGGTTGGAAATATATAGCAAATATAGTTACACTGACTTTTTTGAGGTTTTGGGTTCGAAAATGGTATAAAAACCAAGAAAACAATCATTTTCCTGTAGTCTGGTTCCCTGACTCCATATAAGAAGAAACAGAGCTGTTTTTCTTGAAAATGAGATTATACCAGGTGCCATGATTTTACAGGATGCTTTACACTGTCATTCACTAACAGTCCAGCAAGGTATTTCAAAATGATTTGGTAGTTTTATTTTTTGATGTTTGCAAATGTTGTATTTTCCCTTTAAAGTGTCCGGACTAGCATACATAAAATAAAGTGTTTCAAATATTTACCTGGTTTTTTTTGGCACATATTAACCAAAGTTCTTATATTGAAGTAATTTTTTTTGTCTTATAATTTGACATGGCCAATTGCACCGACTTTCTTGACATGTTTAAGACCTAACCGTTGGGTGCCCAAAGTTTAGGAAGTCGAGAATTTTTTTGAAGTAAAAAGATGTACCGATTCAAAGCATTCAACACTGGTCGAAAAACAAAAGCATATAAAATTGTTTTACCTGGCCCACATGCTGGAAGAGTCGTATTCCACACCCCATCTACACATACTGATGCTTCTGTCTTGGCTGAGACCAGACTGTAACCGCGGCTGCATTTAAAAGTCCTGGAAACACCATGATGGGGGTCTTGGTCCCGGACATTGAATTCTTCATTGTTCTTAGTGTAACGTACGCTGCCGTGCTCCAAGTTGTCTTGACTGCACAACTCTGAAGTAATTTGGGGAAATAAGGACTTTTTACTCTTTTTTGTTGTTGTTGAAAGGGTTACCATTGTAATGGACAAAGATTTTCCAATCCTCCTCTGAAGTAATAAAAAAAAGCAATCAAACCTTTTGGAAATGGCATACGACCATAATCCACTGTTTCAGATCAAATAATAACAGATTCTGTTTCACAATTTTTTTTAAAACTGTGCTAGATGAATTTGCTACGGCCAAGGGCGGATCCGGGGGGGGGGGGGCAAAGGGGGCCATGCCCCCCCCCCCCCCCCCCCCCCCCCGAAAACGAAACCAATTTTTTTTTTTTTTTTATGTGACATCGCAATAAAGGCAAGCAATGAGTACACCACCATCTTTTCCTCAAAAAAACATTGGTTAAAGTGGTCAGAAATTGCCTCAGATCGCACCACACAGCATCTAGAATCCAAAAAAAATTTGGGGGCCCTGAAGTGGGCCCCGAACCCCACGCCGTAATTTTTTTGACCCACTTTTTGGGGGACCAAATTTTTTTTTGGCCCCCCCCAAAAATTGTGTTCTGGATCCGCCCTTGGCTACAGCCATCAGTGTGTAAATGTAGGTGTTGCAAATGGATGATGCAAAGAGATGTGTACATTGTACAGTCTGGTACGAGACACTAGTGACCTATACCTACATGTTTTGTATCTTAGTTTAAAAAAGTAACATTTTCCTTGTGAGAAACTAATTTATTTTGTCTAATTTCACCGTCCCTGTTTTCACACAAGATGGACCAATAATGTCATGCAATGCCGGTGCCTTAAGACCTTACTGTCCACAGCTGAGGGGGTTACTTATTTGTGAATGGAGTCAATACATGCAATAGTTAACACACTGTTTCCGCCAATCGATGAGCAGTGCCATAAACAAATTAGGGCGAGGGGTGCATTCCACTGCAGCATATTTCTACCTAGGCCTTCAAATGTGCCTACTACAAGTGCAGTCAAAATAATGGTGCAAAGTTCTGCAAGTTTCACAATGTGGAAAGCAGTTTCTCCCCCCAAAAAATTAACGCAACTGGAAGTGAAATTTCACCAGTGATTTATGAAGTTATTGGAGAATGTTGACTTTGGAAAAAGGTATTTTTCAACCTAGAAAGCTAAATGTGTGAGTGGGCCATTTTGGAAAAAAACTTTGAAGCAACTCATCAGGAAAACCATTTGCCTTTATGGCTACTGTCCGTCACCATTTGTGCCACACAGTCAGCTCTGTTTGGTCAAACGTTGTCAATGTTGGCATTATTAAGTAGAAGATATCCCTGGGAAGACTTACTTGGTGAACAGACTGGCTCTGATGTTTTATAATACCAAGTGCCATAGTAACACTGCGGTTTTCTGTGCATTCCCTGCAGTTCAAAGCCATACAGACATGTGTATGTAGCCCGTGTTTCATGAGGGACGGTGGGCAGGGACTGATTCACCAACTCTGGGTCATATACAATAAGTCCATTCAGTAGTTCTGGTAGCTTGGAACAGGGTGCTGTGAAAATAAAGAAGTTGGAAAAAACAGTTCTGTTAATATGCCACAAACACACAACATAGTCAAGTCCAGATCTGAATCTGAAGCTAAATCAGTTTTAAAAAATGAAGTTTCCTAAAGTTTTGTAATTGGTTTGCTAACAAAGTTTAGATCTAGGGTTGATTAACCCTAACAGAACTGCACCCATCAAACCCCAACGGCATGTTTTGTTGGAATCTGTAAGGACGGGAACAGTACCCCTGAAGTGACAGTCTTTTAAATTGGGTTGACACACCAGAATCAAAGTCAGACATATGTGTGTGCAGTTTCCCATATAGTGTTGGAATTTGCCAGGATGGGTATGGTTCCTAGTAAATCATGCTAGGGAGTTAGGGTCAAGCCCTGTCCCATGATGTTTTGACCAATCACAGTCTGGACTGCCCATCCACATGTCTGAAAAACTTGCAAAGTGGGAGGGACTAATATATTCCAGAACAGCCCATTTCTGTGTGTGGGTGCGTGTGTGAACACCGGCAATTGTGGACGTAGGACAAAAGAATGTGGGCTCAAACAATACGTCCACGATTGACCGAACGTCCACGATCTCAAATCGTGTACAAAACCAATGAGAGCTGTCGCTAAAAAGTTAGAGTACAAACAAAGGAAAGAGGATTAGGGACAATGGGGCGTCCACGATTGCCGGCATTTACACACGTGGGTGTGTGTGTGCGTGTGTAAACACCAGCAATCGTGGACGTAGGACAAAAGAATTGGGGCGCAAACAATACGTCCACGATTGACCGAACGTCCACGATCTCAAATCGTGTACAAAACCAATGAGAGCTGTCGCTAAAAAGTTAGAGTACAAACAAAGGAAAGAGGATTAGGGACAATGGGGCGTCCACGATTGCCGGCATTTACACACGTGTGTGTGTGGGTGAGTTTGTTTCTGCATTCAATAGGGAACGTTGAACAATAGAGGACAATAGGGTCCCCAATTCTCAGAGGTCCCTAATTGGGATTCGTGTACAAAACATATGGGCATGATGGGAGGTCTTCCTAAAAAGTTCAAATATGAACAAAAGAGGGACAATAGGGGGTCCCCGATTGCAGGCAAATACACACTTGGGTGCTCTTACATATTGGCACTTATGGGGTACCGGGAACAAAGGCAACAATAGGGATAATGGTACCCCGCAAGTCTGTCCTTAGAAATTGTAGTACCCCATAGCCGTAACGCTATGTATTCTGAGATTTCTAAGGGGACAAAGGAGAACAAAAGGAGGGAATTAGGGTTGAACAATAGTGGTACCCCATAAACCCCAAATGCTAAGTGTGGGTGTGCGTGTTTATGGCGTAAATCGAGGGCACACACGTGCAACATCATCGATGAATCGAGGACAGAAACCGAATTGAGGACTCTTCGGTTGAAAATCGTGTACAAAACTAATGAGAGCTGTTGCTTAAAAGAGTACAAACAAAGGAAAAGGGAAGAGGAACAAAAGAAAATCCACCATAAACAACGTGCTAGCACATGTTCTATTCAAACCGTGGACGAAAAATGCAAGACAACAAAAGAGAACAATATCGTCCACCATTCCCAGCATACGTACGCGATTGGGGCCGTGGACAAAACCTAAGAAACTCTTCCTGAAAAGTTAGTACAAACAAAAGAGGGACAATAGGACGTCCACGATCGACGGTGTGAACACGACTGGGTGTTTGTGTGTGTGACACGATGGCAAGTGTCTCGTATTTCTCTTATAATAGTCTGAGATGGGGACTCATGTGGACACTAGGATCTGGATGCCACACCATGAAAATATATTCCCTGAGTTTTATCAGGGATGCCAGAAAAAATTGACATGTAAAAGATGGCCGACATGCAAAAAACAACTGCTATACACCACCACATTGCAATACAACACATGATGTGTACATGTTTGTCTACTTCGAGCTTTCAATTCATACACACATGTATCGAGCTAGAATGGGGATTGCTATGGAGCACTGCATGCAACTTTCTTTTTTCTTCTTCTTCTATGCGTGCTACGCGGAGATCTATTTTTTCCAACCTGTGAAGGGATGGAATGGCTTAGTTGGTTTTCAAAAACATGAAAAAGCATGAATTCAGGCTATAGCCTGAATATTGGCCTGAAATGTGCTTCCTTGTTAGTGAGGATACTAAATTTATGATTCATAAATATGTATGACAAACCGTTTCAAACTTACTTGCTACACACTTTGCATCAAACGACCACTGTCCGTTGGTACATGTGTATTCCTCATCACTGTTCAAGCTGTACCATCTACTGCATACAATCTGCAATGGTAATGTAAGAATAAGTTCATAAAAGCTTTTGAAAGAAAATAAAATGAAACCTGTAAAAAAATCCTGATTAGTTTTAATTTCCATGGTGGATATTTTACGATACGATACGTCTAGCACAGCCATATATATTGACATGATTTACCCGATCATAGATCGGGTAGGGCGTATTTGTGTTGGGGTTGAAAGTGTGGGGAGTTAACTGTAAATGGGGGATTTAGTTGAGAAGACATGTAGCTATAGAAAAGCAATTTACGGTGACGCGATCTGAGGCAATTTCTGACCACGTATGATATAGTAAAACAAAAGATCATCTTTTAAACATCATTTTCGAGTTTGGAGTCATTGAATCAGCTGTTCTGAGCAAAAGAATATCATAGTAGGCTACAATTTTTATTCGGGGAAGAAAAAGTGGGGGTAGGGAACCAAACGATATTCAGTGCCCGCTTTTAAATGTTGGGGTGGGGGTCCCCCGTCCCCCACCGATTGACACCGCGCCTATGATAATTATGTACCATGGCATGTATAACTGTCTGTAAATTTTCCCGTTGGTCTGTTGCATTTTGTGAGGCAGTCGTGTTTGTTAATGTGACAATAAATCATAATGGAATAAAACATGAAGGTGGCATTTGCAATAGAAAAGTTGAGTGTGTTACCATAAAATTACATAGTCTGAATCATGGAGGAAGGTCATTATGAAGGTACAGTATTGGACTCTTCAACAAACGTAAACTTGAACTTCTTACAATTTGCGAGACCTGAGAGGAAAAAGTCGATTTAACTATTTTATTCAAGTTGGCATGGTTCAACCATAATATAAGCAAGGCCAAACAGCCAACAACCGCCAATATTATTATTTATGCACTCTTCGTTATTCCAACCCAACATAGTTCAAAGATCACAATATTTGAAGCAATGCATCGATACCTCGTTGATTTACCCGATCACAGATCGGGTAGGGCGCAGAGTTGGGGATGAAAATGTGGGGAGATGAATGTAATTGGGGGATTTAGTTGAGAAGACATAAAGTTATAGAAAAGCAATTTCTGTGATGCGATCTGAGGCAATTTCTGACCACTAAAACAATTTTTTTTTAGCAAAAGATCATCTTTTAAACATCATTTTCGAGTTTGGTGTCATTGAATCAGCTATTCTGAGTAATAGAATCATTATACATGTAGTAGCTACAATTTTTATTTGGGGAAGAAAAGTGGGGGGGAGGGGACCCAAAAAGTCTCCACCGCTTTAAAATTTGGGGGGGGGGGGAGGAGGGGTTCCCCGTCCCCCACCGATTGACGCCCATGATAATTATGTACCATGGCAACAGTCTGTAAATGTTCCCGTTGGTCTGTTAAATTGGCATTTTGTGAGGCAGTGGCATTTGTGAGAAAACGTACTTGAAAGGCTTGCCGTAGTACACACTGGCGAAGGCTGATTAAGAAGGTCATAATTAAGTTTCAGTATATTGGACTCTTCAACAAACGTAAACGTGAACGTCTTACAATTTGCGAGACTGTCTGCGAGGAACTTGTCGAGTCAACTGTTATTCAATTTGGGTCAACCATTATAAGAGCAAATTTTACTCGGCCTCCGAGAAATGTTTGCTCCTGAAACGATCCGAGACCGCGGTCTTTCGCGACGCCAAAATCGCTCCATGTCCGTGGAAAAATGTGGAGGGTGTCTTCCGCCGGTTCGGACACATTTTCGTTGATTTTTTGTGTGACTGCGTTTAAGATCGCGATGTTTGAAGCAATGCATCAATCCTTCGTTGATCCCAGACAGGCCCCCGAAATTATAACGCAACACATGTGGCGGGCAGCGAACTCACAACGCTCAGCCTTGGTGGAAGCATGGAGCTGTATTAACACACGATGGAAGCAACAGAGCACTATACACGTCACTCACATGCTTGTGCTTCAAATCATGCAAATAGCGAGCACCGTAGACCCAACCTCGTTTCCAGGGTGTGGAGCAGGCTGCAGTACGCGTTGCCATCGACAGTTTTGCATAGCCCGGAAATACTACGCAGTGTAGACTTTCGATTGGTCAGACCGCGCAAGGCATACTTAATGTGTAGTCCTTCTGAGGATTCGTTGCACTCGGCGCAGGGGCGGCAAGCGAAGCATATGAAAGAATAGGGGCACTCGGTGGCCACGCACCATGGAGAAAAAATATTTTACCAAGGTCACCCCATACTACAATTTAGTGAACGCTTTTGCAGAACGGCCGAGTAGAACACGTAAACGAAACCCCTACGTTGACCTCGCTGACCTTGCACAGTCTAGACTCGCAGAAAAGCCAGCACGGGGGGCGGCCAGGCAGTCAACGTGAAAGCGCACACGACGGAAAATTCCTGCGCAAAATGCAGTCACGAAAAATAGACGAAAAGGATCGCCGGTCCGTACGGGAAAATCAGGACGACCCGAAGTGTCCGACTCGGCGGAAGACACCCTCCGTATTTTTCCACGGACGTGGAACGATTTTGGCGCCGCGGGAGCCCGCGGTCTCGGATCCTTTCATGAGCAAACATCGTCTCGGAGGCCGAGTTAAACTCTCTCTTATATCAATATATATATATAGATATCTGCATCACTGTTTGTGTTTATCGTGAATCTGGTAAGCTTTTGTGAAGTTTTCAGTCCATCCTTGACGTGTGTCGATATTTTCTTTGTCTACTACAGGGCGAGTCAAAAAGACAGAAACCCGAATTAATGATTTTTGTTTTCTTAAAAAGCAATCAAATTTGAAACACCAATGAAGTATACCTTAAAGGAGCATGTTTTTCCACTCATTTCCAAAAACGGATTGATGAAATTGATCCACGTCATCAGAAGTTATACAATGTAAGAACCAATATTTATAGCTGTCCATGGATTGCCATTGGAAGCTATTGAGCCGAGTGAGAATTACAGATTACACACAAGCATTCAAACACAAACAAGATTTTAATCATTTAAATCACAACTGCAACATTATTTTTACTGTCAAAATGTGTGTTTTGCATACAAAAAACAAGTCATCTATGTTTTTCTGAAATATTAATGGCGATTTGGGCATGCTTTCCCTTGCAAGTTCTCCTACATTTCATTGAGGTGGGAAAACGTCAATGTTTCATTGTATTTTACTCATTCGTAAATCAGCAAATGATCAGTGGTGGACAGCTGAATGTTGTGATCTTCATATAAAATAGACGTAACTTGGAAATGGATTTTGCGAATAACGTGACAGTTTCACAGTTACTAGTCAATAAAATATACTGTGTTTAATTTTATTTAATGAATATGAGCGAGCCACGTATTTTTTAAATATTGTTTTTCCAATTTGGTCACTTTCATTTTGCCTCGCCCTGTATTTTCTGTGTATACTGAATAACGCAGAAGTACATGTAAAAAGCATTCATACCAAGAATATGTACATTCACATGTACATAGCAAAATGTTCTATAGCAAACTGAATAACAGTTTAAACTTTAGTTGAATGAGAATGCAGGAGCGAATTTGACTCTCAAAATACTCCCAAATATTTGACAGAGTTGAAAGCAACTTTTATAAACAATGTACTACAAATACTTGCCATAGTGCGAGTGTTGTAGTCAAGTACTTTTTTCCGAGTACCAAGTACTGCCGAGTACTTAGGCTACCGAGTACGAGTACTTTGTACTTCCGAGTACAAGCTCAGGTCTCTGAGTACGAGTACCTTTACTTCCGAGTACAAGTACAAGTACGAGAACTTGTATTCCGAGTACGAGTACGAGTACGAGTACTTCTATTTCCGAATACGGCCATACGGCAAATGGTTCATTGTGCATAATTGGCCCAGGCCCAGTCAGACTGATAAACAGACCCACTCACGGCTAGCTGTAAAATGTGTTTGTCCGGACGTGCACAGAGAAAAATCAGGGGACTTTGATTTCTCTGCAAGCCAATCAACCATTTCCAACTTAAAGTATCGATAATAAAATGAGGCCGTGGTGAGTCAAACTATACCATATTTGTTTTCCAATACTGCTTTTCGAGTACGAGTACTTTGATGATCGAGTACAATTTTGACATGTCGAGTATGAGTACTTTGCTGCCCAAGTACGAGTACCGTCATTTTAAGTACGAGTACTTTGCTGCCCGAGTACGAGTACCGTCATTTCAAGTACGAGTACTTTGCTGCCCGAGTACAATTTCGACATGTTGAGTACGAGTACTTTGCTGCCCGAGTACGAGTACCATAATTTCAAGTACGAGTACTTTGCTGCCCGAGTACGAGTACTGTCATTTCGAGTACGAGTACTTTGACATTGGAGTACGAGTACGGGTACGAGTACTCCAAAAAAAGTACTTGAGTAGTACTCGAGTACGAGTACCGAGTACGAGTACTACAACACTGCACAGTACACAAATTTGCTTATGAATTCATTTTTCTTAATTTCACGCCAAGTAGGAGTACACACAAACCTCAACTTTCATTACATGTGTAGCATTTACCTCTATTACTGTTCCATGCTCAACCACTTCATTAGCTGTATAACGTCTCAAGTAAGAGCCATGCTCAGGGGTACTCAGCACAATGCAATCAGCTGAAAAAAAGAGAAATGTGAAATCATCACAAATAGTCAAGAAAGTAATATCTAAGTCCCCTGTCAATGCTGAGAAAGCAAGCATCACACAATTGCATGACTGGCAGCCAGTGTTTCACATTCCACATACTTAGGTGCAACTACATCAGAACATCAACTGTTGCATCATTTGAAACAACTCCTGCATAAAAAGTGGGAAATTAGTACATAAAGCATGCACCCCATCTGAAACCAAAATCTATTCGGGTGGACTTGTGTCACTCTAAATAAATTGTGTTCAGCGTGACTAGTCCTCTGGATCGACAGTTGGTATCAGGTGTTAGACAGACTCTTCATGATTGTGCAGCAGGTGCCTATGAGAAGATGAAACTTGCTCAATTCTACTGTGCTTGATCACATCATAAATGCTCACCCCAAGAGATGTATCCCAAACACTTTTTTCCTGAAGCTCGTGTGAGTGGTCATGCCCAAACCACTATTCTACTATTCCAGCATGCAGTTCATACCAGAGTTCTAATTTCCGCAAATAAAGCACACATATCAAAAACAACCATTCCGATTGCATGCAATAGAGCAGCATACCAAAATACAAGAGAATATGTGACTTGCCAGTCACAAGTCCTCAGTTAAGTCTTAATCGTATTTGTTGACTTTCAGTCAGAATCAAAGTCTAGTTTTTGGAATAACTCATGTCCAGTCCAAGTCATCACCAAATCAGTGACTCGTAATAGACTCGATCCAGACTACTGCGGTCTAGTCAAGCACAAACAGTACATTAAAACAATGTACCAAAATACACAAGTCACTTCTTCAAAATAGTTGTTGGTAAAGAGTACGCATGTGACTCGCCAGTCACAAGTCATCGGTGTCAAGTCGGAGTCATAATTATCGATTCTGTGTCTGAATCCAAGTCTATGTTTGACATGACTGACGCCGAGTCCGAGTCACTGAATTAGTGACTCAAGAAAGCATCGAGTCCGAGTCCCGGGTGTACATCAAAGAATTGACTTCTTAATCACCTTGACACTCTGGCGTGGGTTGGGACCAGGTCTCCTCTTCAGTGCACCTTGCAGTCCGGCTCCCAATCAATGTGTAGCCCTGATTGCATGAGAAGCGAACAATAGCATCCAGGTTGTACCGAGGTGATATCTTGGAACCATGGAGCGGTGCCTCTGGCTGTGGGCAAGTGATGACTGAAATGAACAGTTGCAGTGACATTATTCTTTTTCTGTGCGTAACATTGGAGTAGAAATTGAGGCATTGTGATGGATCATAAGTCCTTAACCCTAAAGGGGCCGGGTTATTTTGACCATCTCTCAGCCGGGGGGGGGCGGATTCCGCCCCCCCCCTAAGATCTCGGCCATCGAGTTACGAAAAATTTTGAAACTCAGCACATGCATAGAGCAACTCTTCCTGAACATGCCCAAGAAATTTCATGACTATAGGTCAAAGGGTTTTGGAATTATGGCTAATTAATTATTCATATGTATGAATGGCAATTCTGCTCGGTGTACACGACGTATATGCGAAAATTCAGTTTTCACGGCGCGTAGCGCCGGAAAATTTTTCGCTACGGGCCAACCCGTGGTCCGATTTTTATGTTTTTGGTATCAAAAGATGCGCAAAGCTCGGGGCTAAAAAGTCATAACAGCTCGGGTCGCGAAAAAAATTTTTTTAGAGGCTATCGCGGAAAATGTTGAGGGGGGGGGCGGATTCCGCCCCCCCCCCCGGCCCCTTTAGGGTTAATGGGTCAATTCACAGCAAGTCACACAGGCCACAGTCAACTCACTAAGCTATTCACATGAACTGTGACAAATAAGGCATCCCTTTGTTACAGCTCTTCCTTGGTAGGATCTTACTCGTGCCTGGACTTTTGAATTAACTTGTGATTTACAGTTACTTGTGACCTTACGTGTGATTGACTTGTGATCCATTACAAGTACCACAAATACAAAATTGTTAACAGTGATACAGCTATTTCTGAGCCACACCTGCAGGCATGCAACTGGGAATTTAGAAAAAAACGAGGAAATTCCAAACCACACGAGACTTTGTACAGTGTTTTTTTTTAAATTGTAATGGCATTCCTGTGAAGTAAAAAACAAGGAAATTGGCGGATCCGAGGAAAAGTTGAGATTTTGGTTCCAAACTAAATCATTCTGAAGATTTAATATAAGCACGAACGACAAAACACTGTATATGAAACATGTTTGACTGTCAAACGGTGGACCGTTGCAGTCATTCAGAACAACTCAAGAGTCTATACAATGGAAGATTCAATACGTAAAGTCTGCTTGTCTGGAACCAAAATCCCAAGGTCAATCCAAGTTGCTCACGACTAGGTGCATTATACTTTTTTTTCCAAGTATACTAGAGTGGGGTTTGAGACTGTCCCCACTGAATTACCGCTCCGGTGATCTACCAACTGAGCTATCCAGCCCTATGTTGGCAGTTCCCCAGTTTGTCATTGTCTTTGTTCAAGGAATGCTAGTCAGATGCCATAAACTCGTTTATGCCATGTAGCCAAGAATCACGCCCAAAGTCACAATGCTAGCAACAAAACATTGACGAATTAGGGAACCGCCAATATAGGGGCTGGACAGCTCAGTTGGTAGAGCACCACAACGGCAATCTGGAGGTCGTAGGTTCAAACCCCGCTCCAGTAAATATCTTTGTTCAACTTTCAAAGAATTGCTCTTAATAATACAAATTATACAACACCTGAATAAATCCCCGTCATCTGATTGGTGAATTGTAGATCATGTGACATATTATTATTCGGTATAATGCACGGTGCGACCATGCGTTATACCCATGCGTTATACCGTTTCACTTTGCGCTTGTTCCATGACGCGGTATTTGCGTGCAAAATGCATGCTGGTGTGCGCGTTCAGCGTAGCGTGTATTGTTCCTAAGAGCCAGCCTTACAGCGTTGGGTTCAAACATTTTCGTGATGGGGTAGTTCAACATCTTTAAAATCAAAGCAAATTGTAGTTTATAATTTACCAATCAAATGACGAGAATTTATTCAGGTGTTGTATAAAACAAATAACGAATGTTTTACGTTCGTGCGATGGAAAGAATAATTTCATTCGGTGACAGATTGAATGTTCTATTCCACTCGGCTTCACCTCGTGGAATAGAACATTCAATCTGTCACCTCATGAAATTATTCTTACCATCGCACTCACAAACATTCGTTATTTGTATAATGTATTTGGTTCAGGGCAACTCTGGAGAACAGTCTAAACGGGTGTTAGTTCCGGGTTTCCATATGCATTTACTGTATTGGGTATCTGGGTATCTGGGTAAAATATCACGCACCTCGACATATCGTCTCTTCTCCGCTCCATGTCTTGTTGCCTTGACAACGCCTCTGCTCACTTCCGCTCAGCTTGTAACCATCTTCACAATCCAAGTAAACCTGAGAGTTGTATGTGAATCGTCTGCCCTGTATCGAGCCATGCTCTGGGGCATATAACTCTGGGCACTCAATGGCTACAAATACAAATACAGAAAGCATTTCCTATTTCTTGTTGTTTAACGGGGGCAAGGAAGATAAGACTTTTAGGGTCATTTCCACAAAACTCACCGTAATTTTAGATTCATAAACTTATAATGGCTTTCCACACTATCAATCATAAAAAGCTATGTTGGGCTTGTCCATAATGTTCACACAAAGAGTAGAATGCATTGAACATTGTGTTTAAGTCGTTCTTTTTTTCATTTGTTTTTTTTTTTTTTCCACAATATGACAACTGTTTTCAGGTATTTACTTCGTGAACAATCAAAATTTGTTAAAGGTAGATCATTATTTTACTAAGATGTGTACTTACAAAGGAAAAGTCACAACTTTTTTTACTCTTGCTTTTACTCCTTTATGCAAATCATGAATCAAACCAAATCATAACTCAAATGCATACCTACTGTGGATTATGAATTAACATAGGCCCTACATTATCTCTTTTTATATTAACTTATTTCCTTGCATGTTGTAACATCGGGTCTAAAAGGCTTTTTTTTTATGTTAAAAAATGATGATAAATTCGTATCGCCAAAATCCGTGTCAGGCGAAATCCCTTCATAAGAAACTGTACAAAGTGAGGTACAATGTTTATTTATCAAGTCACAACTTCAAGTTCATTTGAGCTTTGTGTTGGCTTCTTGCTCTCTGTAACCATTACAAGCCAAACAGAACAAATAGTAGAGAATTTGGGGCCAGGAGATACATGTAGCCAGAGACCCTGTGTTGTAACCAAGTCCTTTACTGAGTCTAATAAAAAAAGGGTCACTTAATTACATTCAAGTTTAAATAGTGATAATAATAATTTGGGAGGCTAATCATCCTTACTTGCAGCTGAGAAGCTGAATTGCAAAGGACGCGGCTGCAACGTGGTCGAGCCGCAGGCATTTAAAGGCGCCTATGGCAGCCAGCCATACGACCCATATATGACTACGGAGCTCAGCCACAGATCGAGAGTTTTTAACTTTTTTTCAGAGGGGGAAACCAGAGGGCCCGGAGAAAAATCCTCGAGGCACAGGAGAGAACCAACACACAACTCTACTCACATATGGTCCTGTAACCGGGAATGAACTAGGGCCACAGCTGTGAGAGGCGAGCACTTTACGCGCTAGCCAGCAGTGTTGTAGGTCTCGAGACCGGTCTTGGTCTCGAGACCGGTCTCGAGACCACTTTTTGCTGGTCTCGGTCTCGGTCTCGGAAGCTGTGGTCTCGGTCTTGGTCTCGGTCTCGGTCCCCTTTGGTCTCGATATTTTGGCTGGTCTCGGGTCGAGACCGGCAATATGTAGCTTTTACAGCTCGATCGATTACTTTGTGTTCACTTCGTTCAGTACCGTTGTTATTTAAAACATCTGGCTGCTCATTTTAAATTACCATTATTCCTCAAAAATTAAAAATCCCGTTCAGAAAAAAATTAAAAATCCATATCTGGCACATTCTGGCTACCACCTCGCAACTTGTGGGTCTACATGTACAAGTCCACATTCTATGACAAAAATTAAAAAATTTATTCAACATTTTCTAGCTCCCATTTTTTAAAATCAAGTACACAATTCTTGTTAGAAGTTAAGTCCTATATTTATTTTAGGAAAAAAGAGGCACAATGTAAAATTAAAATTGCATCTTTAAATATCCGTTAGAAGTCATAGCTGAAACCAAGGGGGTGACTGTGGAGTTTAGGATCCGAGTTCCTATAACAGATGAAACATCTACCTTTAACTTATTACTTTTGTCACGATTGGGTGTAGACAACATGTCAAAGCCCATATTTCTTAAGTGTAACTACTTTTTGCTCAAGTAAGGTGTCATGTATCAATTTGTAAACATTGCCACTGGTCAAAATTTGGTCTGTATTCTTTGTGAATAGAAAGGTTACATTTTTCAACTATAATAACGTGTCTTGTTTTTTTTATTTCGACTATTGTTATTTATTATCAGCGGTCTCGGTCTCGGTCTCGGACCATATTGGTCTCGGTCTCGGTCCGCCTTGAAGGGGCTGGTCTCGGTCTCGAATCTTCAGGTCTCGGTCTTGGTCTCGGACTATCCGGTCTCGACTACAACACTGCTAGCCAGCCATGCCACCCATCAAGTAGTAATTCAACCAGAGAATCAGACAGAGTGAACTATGCATTTGGGCTTTCGGATCTGAGTATTGGCACGAAACTGAATGCTAACAATATCCCAGAAGTATCAAAGGGAATAAGATACAGACCCAAGTGTTTTGACAAATATCTGTACATTTCTTGCAATTGTGCAAGTTTGCATAGACTTGATTTATGCTCTAAATGTGGACTTGAGGACAACACATGCCAGAGACGAAGCTTGCAAAGCTTGCCCAAGATTTGGAAAATGGTCCACTGAGATATCTCACCGACACATGTAGGCAAGAATGAGGTCCACCTCTGGTTGGACATGCAGGTTCTGTAAGGGTAGCCTTGCATCTCATAGCCGGCGTTGCAATGGAAAGTGACTCTACTCAGAAAGGTGAATAGGTTGCCCTCACGCCAGCCATTGCTCAAGTAGCCTGGATCCCCGCAACTTATAGCTGCCATAGAAACAATACATGTTGCACATTAGTTTATATAATTTTCATATTTTATTATATAATTACACAATAATAATATCGGGGTTGTCATTGGACTCAGTGACATTTTTGCTTGAAATATGAGGTACATGTATACACGTATATGTACACATGTATGGTGCTAATACGATATTTGCAATTTGAAAAAAGCCTGAAAAAATCTGGCAATTGCAAGAAGAAGATTTAAGGCGCACGTAGTCTTCTGAGTTGTGAAGTAGGTAATGTACATGTACATAAAAAGAACATATCAGCAGGGGCTGTAAATGTTAGTAGACAGCGTAGAATTCGGGCAGGACATGCAGCCCACCTTCACAAAACTGCTCGTGGAAAACAGCCTAGCAGTGGTGTAATACACAGGCCACAAGGGGCGGGGGATGATGTCTGTATCCCCCTTGAGTGCCCCACCCCTTCTTATTGTGTCAAGGCTGGTTCACACTTCATGCGATAGCGAAAGCGAAGCAAAATTTGTAACGTCAACAAAAAGTTAAACAGTGCGTCCTCCATAGTTGACGACATGAATTGCGCTTGGCACTTTGGCTTGAAGTATGAACCGCCCTTCAGAAGTACAAATGTGCCCCTTCTGGCTCCTGCAAATCAGACCCCAGCTAGCTTCTCAGTTTTGCAGCCTCTAGTCCTTTCTTGCTACTTACGATAACAGTCGAGCGACACAGGTGTCCAGCTCAAATCTTCACGGCAAGAGCTTTTTTCCCCAAGTCCATAACCGTGGTAGCCAGGCCTGCAGGTGTAGAAAAGCTCATCACCTGGGTAGAAATAGGCCTCCCAACTGTCATGCCGTACACCCTCTATCTCGGGGGGGTCTTCGCATGCAGCTGTCAAAACATCAAGCAGGATTTCAATTATTCAGGAGCACTAGTGTCAGCAATCTTTACATGTAATGAGGCTCTAAAAGCACTTACAATGGGATTATAACACAAGAACATTCAAAGTCCAGTAAAAAAAAAAAAACATAAAAGTGGACACAACTAAACCTTCAAAATGCGTGGTTTTTTGTAAATATTACAATTGAGGAATTTTGAGCCAGATCACCAGTGCAAACTTTGATCCCAGTCAAACATACATTTTTTGAAATGGTTCAACACATATTCTCTCATGGTTTAAGACCTGCCCTCTAACAGCATTATGTACATGTACTGCTGGAAATAGGTAAAGGCAAGTCAGATGTGAACAAGAAGGGTTTTAAGATTTCTCTGTAAATATAATTATAAAGATGTCATACTGATTTTCCTAATCCTAAACCTTTGCAATATGGTTTTAAAAAAGTTAATAACACAAATTGCGGCAATTTCTGGATGGAAGGGTACATTTGAACCTGTGAATATTGGGTATAAATGCCTTTAATCTGACACAAAGTTCCATCAGTGAAATGACTGAAGTGGGGTATGAATCTGTGACTTTTGGGACAACCCTTAAACAGCACTCGGCCAACTGAGCTACTTGTGTCAACTACAAGAGCAAGTTTGGGCATGAACTATATTTAACCACTCTCTTTGCTCAAACAAAGGGTAGTTGGGCATCGTAAATTAAAATGGGTAGCCAGGACCAAGCTTCCTTGTGGCGTTTAACCATTGTCCGAGTACAGCGTAAGTAATTATGGCACCATAAGGATGTGACGTTTACACATTTTTAAACGTTTAAACGAAAACAATTCTAAATTCGTTTACAAATTTTCCACAAACGTATAAACGAATCCCGAATTATAAAAAAGGGACCTACGTTCACTGTTCACACGGTCTTCCTTTGATTTAAACCTACATAGCACAAATATTTAATGATGTTTTCAAACCTATTTCATATACAAAACCTTTGAAGCACTTCAATACTTGATTATATTCGGGGGACACGTACATGTAGTTAAGTTTTATGCTTTCAATGGCTGCCATTGTTGATTTAGCAAGTCAATCACACCGGTCTGCAGACATAATGAGCATGCATCAGCCTTTGTGAATGGCTAAACGTTTAAATGTTTAAAATGTTCTTAAAATATTTGGTAAACGTTTACAAAATGTAAGGCAAAGTCACATCCTTATGCCACAAATCAACTACTAGTCGACTAACGGTCCTCACACAGAGGTATCTTCCAAGCCTTTTAATGTAACCATGCAATCTTACGTTTGGAGAATCGAAACAGTTCTTACAGTTCCAAATTATCCAGATTAGGGAATTATCAGAACAGGAAGGAGTGAATTGTATGCACCTTTACGTCTACAGCGGAGGGGTTGGCCACTCCAGGTGCGGTCAATCAAGCACCTGATCTCCACACTGCCTTCCTCTACTTCAAATCGATCTTTACAGCCCAGCGTCACCACAGATGTGTAGACGATTCTCTTGGTTGTCATGGATACGACAACAGCTCCCTGATTCAGTTCCACCTCCGGGCAGTACCCAGAGACATCTGTAAATAATATAAATTGGTGAGTATTATCCGCACGAACGAAACATTCACACGTTACTCCATGGCTAGTTCACAGAACATTGTACCACACTACAAGAACCATTGTACCAGACTACAGGGAGATATCTCTCTCTCTCTCTGAGGAAAATTTTTTTCAACCTGACGCCACTTCAGCGATTGTGAACAAAGTCTATGGAGTTTAAGTATTTCCTAACAAAATTGGAAATGTTTCTCAGTCCCAGATTCATGTCTTGTCATCATTTTTGCAATGACCATGATGACTGACCTTCATTGAGATGATACATGTGTATGAAGAAAAAAGTGGCGTCAGCTTGCAACATTTTTTCTCTCTCTATTGATGGGCTTTGGGGAGAATTAGTTGAAGGCATGATCCTTGGCACAATATTATACCACTGCAAGTTGGAATAAAATGTATTTGGTATATAACTTTGCATGGTCAGAACAAAGAGGTTGGCTACATGTACGGTACATGTACCTGTACAGAACATTATAGGAATGGTGCAGAGGATGTAAGTACATGTATGTGGTTAAGAAAAAGTTGCTTGTTAAATCACCATTTTGTGTTGATTTTGATCTACAAACCTACGGGTGTGCATTGACGAGTGGAACGGGAATCAGGTACATGATTGAAAAAAAACATCGTTACCCGGGTACCCGTTAACGAAACCCTGCCCCAAAATTTAGATACATGTACATGTGTAATCATTGAACACCAACCGGTCTCCATATAAATATGGCTTCAAATGGCTTTCTTCTTTGGTTCTCTGTACGCTATCCAGTCTACGTGATTTCACCTCTGTGTTTTGGCAGTAAATGAAATACTTTTGTACATGTAGGCCTACCTGTGACAAAACTTCAAGAGTTGATGCTCAAATCTAAAAGTTAGATACAGTATAAGCTGTTTTTGTTTTCCTTAATGGTAGGCAGAGGTGTTTCACTGACTGTTTTCTGACGGGTATGACAATGTACACAAACAGCAGTTCTAATGCTTGTTCAGGATGTTTAAATCATTTTGACATTGCAAACTATACCACAGTTCATGCAATAATGAAATTATACAATGTACATTTGTATGTTTATGCAGCTGTGCAACAAACAGGGCGACCAGAGGCAATGGCAACATTCTGCTAGATACACTTCAAAAATCTGATAGTCTTAACAAAATTCTGCTAAATCAGTGTTTATACATTTTCTCACATGAAGATGTTAAAAAATTTCCTTAAACAAAAAAAAACAAAAAAAATTCCTTTACAAAAATTAAATTAAAAAAATTATCAAAATTTACATGTGTCTAATCTGGCTTGCAATGGTTTAAAGTACTTTACTGTGTACTAATACACGTCAAGGAACCTCAAATTAAAGCCTTTTCCAAATTAATCAGCTATATTTTTCAAATCTGCCATATTCTGTCAAATCACGAATTTTACAGAATTCGGCTGGAAATCTGCTAAAAAAATTCATTCTGCTAAATTTTCTGTCAAACTTTTCGAAAAATTTTGTCACATTTAGCTGAAATTCGGCAAAACATGTATTAGTTGAAATTGTGAATTCAGCTGCAGTTGTATACTTACAGACAGGTCGACAGCTCATGCCACAATCACCATCACAAAGGCAACTCTCCTGTCGTTTATTTTCACAATCTAACCGCACGTTGCATGCTTGGTAGCATGTCCTATTCACAGAGGCCAGACGAGGACATACTTCATCTGTATAATATCACAAAACCCAAAATAAGTCCAAAGAAACAGTTCAGCTCACGGGGAAAAGCTCTCGTCATGAATCTTGCCTATGTGAGATGCTTCACAGAAATCCCCGTTATGGAAGTTATTCAAGGCAAATCATTACCCCTGCTCATCAGGCCTAGAAAAAAATTGCTCATACATGTATCATCTCTGCTCCCTGGGCAGATTCTCTTATCAAATTGCCAAAAAACATTGAATGGACGCCATTGCTGATGTAGCACAAGCTTTTGGGAAGTAGCTAGAAATAGATAATGTTGATTGATTTTTATCACACTGGCAAAACTGACTTGGAGAGAAGTGCATGTAATTAAAACATGCAGGGACGTGCAACATGCATTAACCTAAACTGCAGTAAGTTATTTGAAGTGCATCACTTAATGACGGAGCAAACATCAGTCACAACTTATATTCCAGAAGCAAAGATCATTGGCTGTGCATTATGACTGCAGAGAGCCAATTATTAGAGAGGTCAACTGATGCGTTTACCTAAGGGGGGAACGAACCCATGTTCACAGGAATGGAGTGTTTATCTCTCTCTCAAGCGATTGGGCCAGACTCGAGTCCATGAAATGCTGCTGTGGAGGGATCGCCACACCTCCTACACAGCGAGTCTGTTACCTTCCCAGCATTGGATAATGTCAGTAATATTTGTTGGTAACACATGCGTATTCCTAAACAGACCTGTACATGTACGGTAATGCATACTGCAACATCCATGTGGATTGGCCTTTTATAGAATCCATGTAGGGGGACCTTTTTAAGAGTACTCTTCTCAATTGATTATGACGGTAGATTATGTGACCTTCTTCATCATGTTTATGTACGATAAGCCAGCAAAAGTACAATGTACATGTGTTACCAACAAATATTTCTGAGCCATTCACATACATGCGCACAGGTCCTAGGCATGCACATTTAACGTAATTATCTACGATTCTTGAACACATTGCCAATGGCGCTTGAACCGCACATTCAGAATAAATTGGGTATTTTTATTACTGATGGAGGTCTCACGAGTAGTAACAAAGGGCCAACTTTTCCCGCGGTCCATTACCTTGAGGTAAACACTGCGGTGTTTCTCCGATGCTCCATTCTCCGTCGCCCTGGCATGTCTGTTCAGTTCCCTCAGATGACAAGAGATAGCCTGTGTCACAGTCATATGAAGCTCTGGAACCAAAGGCTTGATTTCCAGTAGAGTACTCAACGGACCCATTCAGAGGGGGTGGTAGCTCCTTGCAATATGACGTCTCTGCGGGAAACAGATTGTTTTGAACACTATTTTTTTTTCTGGATGTGAACCCAAACATGAAATAGGGTATAATTCTGAAAGACGTGTTTTGTAAAATCATGTGCAAACACTTCAAGCTCTGAGCCTCACATCATTGCTCTACTAACCACAGTCTGCGCTAACCCAAGAATACTACAGAAAAAAGTGCTTTTCAGATATCAAAAAAATACTTTGTAGTTTACAGTACACATTCTTTAAACACAAAATCGCTCACTGGTACTCTGAATCTCTGATGTGTTCAAACAATTGTAGAAATCGTCAGTATTTAAAGCTATAGTCCATCATTTGCAGCCATCCGAAAAGTAACTGGCATAATTATTGTTGAAAAACAAACTTGGTTGAAAGATAGTAAGGGAACTAAACTCCCTGTGAAATTATTCTTTCTGGGAAGCTGTCATTTTGAAGTAATCAACGAAGGAAGGCATTTCCAACGGTGATTCTTAAGAAGCACCGTAGGAAAATTTAAATTAGTAGTTCGTTTTGTTATTCAGCGCAGCGCGCACAAGTATTGGAACGACGCACACGCACGCGCGGTTGTTATAATTCGTCGGATCAGTGCGCGACGCCGTGTATAGCTGCAATTCAAAACAATTCAAAACATGATTCAGTAACTTTTGATTTGAAATTGAGATCTTAGAATGCTGTTTTTCTCGGAATGTACAGCTGAAGCTTAGCTGAAACTTCATCAGGTTAGTTGCTCAGTATCCTTTATTAGATTTTGAACACTTTTGTTGCTTCAAACGAACAAAATGCACTAATTACAAATGATGGACTATAGCTTTAAATTAATATTATGCAACCATCGCTGGAAAATGATACAAAATTCCATTTAATTCTAGAAAATGACAGAGATTTCACAGGCTGCTTGAGACCAGGGTTTGACCAACCTCGTCCCCAGTGCTTACTTTATTTCCAACCGCGTTTCCAATAGTAAACCCTGGATAGGAAACTTTCTTCCTGAATCCTGATTGGATACCGCAATTGGCTAGTAATGGATTTTTATCGTGTACTTGGTGCTATTATTCACAACGTGCAGTACGTGTTTTCGCGATCATTCGTCCACGCCTTCTCGAAAATACTAATTTCCTTTCCAATTTGCTCATATTAATATGAAATATGATACTGCATGTTGTCTCGATAAGATCGTAACAGTTTGATTTCAAAAATCGTATTTTCGTAACTCACGCCGTGCTCGCGCTGCGACGAATAGACTCTGTTTTTACCCCAGACACCGCATACAAAAACAAACGCTAATGTGTAACGCATATCCAGGCACCAGACTGTTCCTCATTTGCATACGTGTGCAAAAATCTTACACATATGCAAATGATCCAATACCAGGGTGAGAGAGCAGGTAGTGGTGGGCGCGTACTGCTCGACACCCTGGGGACGAGGTTTGGGTTTGACCTTTTTTCCCACTAGCTAGCCGGGCTACTGAAACAGACTCTTAACTAGCCATGCCCGCATGTTTTTCTTTTATAGAGTGTCTCATGAACAACAACACGTGCAGGGTTCCAAATTAGCGGTAGCCCACTAGCCAAATGCTAGTCAAAACAGCGGCAGGCTAGTTAAACTATTCCTTAAGTAGCCCGGCTGGCGAGTCAAAAACTTATTGGGATACGGCAAAGATGAAAGAACAGGAAGAAATAAATCATTTAATTCAGAAAGAAAACCTCATCAATTTGTGTCTAATTTTACCAACTGGTTTAAAAGGTTAAATTATTAGATATGTTTATTAAAAACACTGACAAAATTGCCTCGGATTGAGCCTGAAAATTTTGTACTTGAGCTAAAAAAAAAAAAAGTGGGCTAGTGAAAATGCCCTTGGGCTAGTTAAGAGTCTGTTTCTGCACCCCGGCTGGCAAGTGGACAAAAAAAGTTTAAAAAAAGGTTGAACCCTGTGGGTATGTGTACATGTATATGTGCATAAATGTGTCAAGTGTATCCTGAGGCAATCTTGTCAGTGTTTTAATAAACACTTCTAATAATTTAACCCTAAACATTTAATAAAATTATACAAAAAGTGATACAGGTTTGCTTTCTGAATTTAATATTTATTTCTTCCTGTCCTTTCATCTTTGCCGTAGCCAAACAATTTTTGACTCGACAGCCGGGCTACTTTAGGAATAGTTTGACTAGCCCGTCGCTGTCTTGACTAGCATTTGGCTAGCGGGCTACCGCTAAAGTCGAACCCTGCTCAAGTGAGACTATTATTTACTTACAGTCATGTTGTATTTTATAACAATTTGGTAGTTTCAAGTTTAACATGTTTAAATGTTTGCAAATGTTGTACATTACCTTTTTCATAGAACTTGACAAGAGTTTTCTGACCTTCTTTATAGCCCCAAGCCTACATAAAAGTATTTTTGGCCACAACTGGATTTGGATTCTGCGTCCCTAATGCAACCATTCCATGGCAAGCATGGTAAAGCCACCACAGAAGTAGAGGGCATTATCAACGAGATAAATCAAACCTACATTTGTAATCTTACAAAACCTTGGCACCATACCACAAAACTTCTGAGCGTTCCACAATCATGCGCATTCCTTGTACATGTGTACATGTATATTTTTAGAGCGTCTATTACTCGGTCCAAGTGCCAGAGTTCCCAAGCCTAGATCTGATTTTTCCGGTGATTGGCGTCCTCCACCACAGCTTGGCCGACACTGTCTTGCCAAAGACCGGCTACTTTAACCCTAACCCTCCAGGGTATTTTGGCTAGAAACCCTGCCAAACGCAGCAACATGCAACAGTTGTGTAAGTGACAAGCCTGCCCAGTGTAGCATGATCCATCGGGTCAAAAGTCTCTAGGCCAAACTGCCTCAGAGTCAGTGGTCACCGAGTGCAGCAGGATACAACTGTGGCATTGTTCAATGGGACTACATGTACATTTGTAGCTCTCATTGTTTTAGGAGCGGCAGTTTATGCACTGGTGTTGGTAGCTGAATGCATCAAAGTGCACTGGTCAGACGTTTACTCCTAATGCACTGTACATGTGTTGCACCTAACAGGGTTAGGGTTAAGGAAATAAACTCCTCATCCAATCTTGGACAAAGATTAAGATTACAGCAATGAACTTACTTCTTGTGCTGATGCAACGGTAGCCACATGCTCCATCGCACAGGCATTCCCTACTCCCTTTGCAGATATCGTATTCGATGCTGCACAGTCTGTTGGTGGTGCAGTTCCGACCAGTCGCTGTGGCAACATCTTCATCATACAAACAGGCTGGGAGAAATGAAGGATAAAATTATGCTTTAGTAAATGAATTTGTCTTATCTTGGGTTTGTCTAGCCCGACTGCATCTGGCCGTACAGTACTATCGCAAGCTCTGTAGTACGGCGAGACCGCCAATGCTCCCCTAAACGCTAAACTCTGATGTAGCGATTTTGCTACCGATTTTGATGAGATTATCTTTTCATCCAGGACAGAAATTTCCAAAGTTAAGGTTCCTAGTCGTAGAGGAACTCATACCTTTTCGAAAAAACGTTCTTTTATTCCAAAATCTTCATCCATCTGGCCAAAAGCTGACATTCAGTCATCATCGCCCACGAAAATTGTCCCGAAAATTTTCCTCCATGCGATTTCAAAATGGCGGCCGCATTGTAATGTATGCATTATGCGGGTGTGTTGGGCAAGATTATAAATATGCATTATTCAGTTCATAAACTCGTATTTGTATGGCCAGCTGCGCCGCGTGCCCGACAAACGTCAAAAACTTCAATGCATATTCATAATCTTGCCCAAGCACGCCCGCATAATGCATACATTACAACGCGGCCGCCATTTTGAAATTGCATGGAGGACATTTTCGGAACGATATTTGTGAAAGACTGAGAGTCTTCTTTTGGCCAGATGGATGAAAATATTGGGACCAAAGAACGTTTTATCGAAAAGGTATGAGTTCCTCTACGACTAGGAACCTTAACTTTGGAATTTTTTGTCCTGGATGAGAAGATACTCTCGATCAAAATCGGTAGCAAAATCGCTACATCAGAGTTCAGCGTTTAGGGGAGCTTTGGAGGTCTGGCCGTACTACAGAGCTTGCGATAGTACTGTACGGCCAGATGCAGTCGGGCTAGGGTTTGTCATAACCTCCAGTGCAGGATCACATGACAACGGTACGCATCACGTGACAACGATATCCCCGCACTTGATCTCGAACACGAGATCAATTTCCATTTTCATTCACATCACCTCATGCTGGGCACAACCACAGCGACGTCACTAGCACTGTCTTGCCATTCACACAATTTGGAAGTTTAACATGTCATAACGTCAGTCAACCATCTGGTTCCCTGACCAGACAATATTCAACTGTTCAACATAAGGATCGTAATCTTTGGCTCATGGAACCAGACTATGAGAAGAGTTCTGTATCTGGCCACCATTTACTCGCCGCCAAACAACAACTTTCACCTCACCTTGTGTTTTCTTTGGAGACAATTCCAAAAAATTGAGTATTGAAAAATGTGCTAGATCATGCGCTCGAGTCGAGTGCGTGATCTAGCAGAGTTTTGGATCTTGGATTTTTTTATTTTCATCTGGTAACCCTGACTGACACTTGCGCATGCGCACAGGTATGCCACCACCAAAAACACAGCCGTGACCAGTGACAGCAAAACTGGACGCTTTTTCTTAAGAAGCCAACGAAAACATCAACATTTTCATATGTTAGTCTATGTTGTTCTGTTTCAAGTCGATTGTTACGTAAATTGACCTCCAGCGGTACATGTAAATGTCAAATTTCTGATGAGGAGTTAGGCCAACTCAAGCTAGTAAATTGAGATGATAGGCCTATATGAAGAAAAAAGTGGTGTCACATAAAACTCAGGTTACAACATTCTTTCCGAACAATTTGATTAAAAACCTAAAACTTAAGGACTCTAAAAATAAGTATCAAGTCTTCGGACGTTGTTTTTGTGAGCTGCCACAGGGAGCGGCCATCTTGCTTAATAACATATTGGAAGGACGTCATGAAAGTGCCTTGCATGTACATGTGGCCTTTCTCCTTTGACTTATAACCTTATCCCTATCAATCATGCAGATTATGAAACCCACTATCCATTGATACGTTATTTGGTGCATATGGGTGGAGCCATACCGTTGATAGATTCAGTTGAACTTGAACTTGCACCAAAAAACAGGTACATTTTCTTCTCAAGTTGTTGTCAGGAAAATGATGGATTTTAGCCATAAAGGAGTTTAATACACCATCTCAAACCATGGTCGCATTGCGCGGTGTGGGCCTAGACATGGCTCGGACATGTCGGACAATTGTCATGATCGTGCGTTGTTAAGGAAAACAAATCATAACTTTTTTGTAATGAGAGTTAAAATACTGAGTGGGGGGTCCACTTGAGAACGAAGCAACACAAAATGAATGGGAGTTGCTAAAAAAATTCCAAGTCCAAACAAACTACCCTGTTGCCGGCTACGCAGATACAGAGTGGCAGTGCAGTGGAGCATAACGTGTACTGTGTAGGTCTACTAGTACTACTAGTATAGCGCTGAGAAGGTTTATTGAGGGCAGTCAACCGTGACTCCGTAGCCGGCTACGAGGTGCATAGATTGAGTGGCGGGGTATTCCGCAATTGTGCAGATTTTGTTCCCTTATACCATGTAGGAACCGGACACTACACGATCGCCCTAGATTCATACATCAATAGTTTCATCATTTTTGCAATGACTGACCTTCATAATGAAGGTCAGTCAATCAATTATATAGGCGCACGCGCCTGCATGCGGTCGACCGTATTGTGGCCGATCGCGCCGTCTTGATACGTGGTTGCATGATACACATCATTTCACTAAAAACAAAAAATAGATATTGGCCTACTTTTTGGGTAAGGGAGACGGGGGTTAGTTGGAACGATTTTCACAAAAACCTATCCATAACACAAACAGGTTTTCTTCAAGAAACAACAACTATATGCCAATTTATTCATACACATGTGTGTTGCAAATGTAGCATATAAACTTCTCAGAATTGTTGATGGTTATTTAAAAAATCCATCTTGATCACAACTATGACATGCGTTCCAACTAACCCCTCCTATGGGGTTAGTTGGAACATGGTATGGGGTAAGTTGGAACTTGGTATGCTGTTAATCTGAAAGTATACTACAATTACTTAAAAACTGCATTTATATTTGAGTTTCAAATAAAATAATTGTTCCAAGCACTGGTGATGCTCCTAACATTTTTTTTAATTAACAAACTGGCAAGAAATGGCACAAACAGCACCAAGACAAAAAAACACAGGAAAATTGCGAGGCAAGAGTCAGCTACAAGCCTGATCATAAAAAGAAAACATCAAAATGGGAAATTTAACTCCCAAAAATAACATGAAAAGCTTGCATAAAATTGAGGTAAGGTCAACGTGACCTGTCTATGTGCTTTCAAAATTGTTTGCTAAGTCAGAATATTTCCTCAATTATCATCATTATGTTCCAACTAGCCCCCATCAAAATGTTCCAACTAGCCCCAGTGGCCCATGTGACATTTGTTTGCTCACTCTACAAAACAGGGGCTCCAATAACATATCTTTTTAACCTTATTTTGTAGCTTAGTACTCGAGCATATAATACCCCCAAACTAGTCACTGTTATCTATAAACATCATTAAGAAAGTACACATTTTTTGAATGGTGAAAAAATTACTCAAAAGGTGAAAAAACAAACTTATCTTTCCCACTTGAGCACTATTGTTGCAGTGTGGCTGCAGGCAATATGGTGGATGGCTGTTGCTAAGGGACATCTCTTGAGGGCAACATTTTATAAAATTTAATTAAGATGATCAAGAAAAATTCATTGTTTCAACTAACCCCGTGTTCCAACTAACCCCCATCTCCACATTACGATTAGGTCTATTCCGACAGAAATATATTTTAAGGCATATTCATTCCAACAAACAACTTGGTACCGAAATCTGCATCTCGGCGAAACAGATCGTAAAATGAAAACGCGATATACGGCGCACGTCGTATTTCATGCTCCGTAATTTTGATTACGCCCTCTGTTGTTAAGTGAAAGTCGACCGAAGTTGTCTTTCACGTTTCGGGGTTGGATGGCGACACTGATTGGAAATTTGTAGCGATGTTTTTATTAGTTTTCTGGGCCGTTCAATAATGTTTATGTTTTGTATCTAGGCCTAGTCAGTACGGCAATAATTAACACTCTCTTTGATTTCTTTCCAATTAGGCCCTACTTCTCGGAAAAGCTTTTGATTTCTGCATAACTGCATCGAGAAGAAAGGCGATGTGACGATGGATCATCGACGGTGATTTGACGTGGGTCCGTGTTGTGTGAAAAAAGATACGAGCCGAGAAAGTTGGTTGCGCGAATATTGGGCAGCGCGAATTTGGGGCACCGGACGATAACAATAATATGATGGCGTTAGCTTGAGTAACTCCAGCTGACATGCTCCATATTCATTCGCATGTAACGCTGGAGGCATAACCTGTTCGTTAGAATGTGGTAGCAAGAGACCCTAAAAAAATGGCCTACCTCGGTAACGGAATCGCACTCGGGATACGGGGACCATCGAATGTACGCTGGGCATGAAGAAGAAATCGCGTCGTTCAAACATTAAACACGATCGGAAATTTAACGTGTTCAAGATCGCGAGGGGAGCTCTCCGAAATGAATGGAAAATTTCATTTTTTTCCGGATCGTAAGTAAACTTCAGTACAACCATCTTAATCATCGATGTCTACTTGTACCTCAGGTGGCATACATGTAATCTAGTCGACTGTATCTAGTAATTTGGAGGCCGTTTTGAAGGTGAAATCTGATGTTTTTTGTTGGAAACTGTTGGTTTTTGGGACGGTGTTGTCCAGCTCGCGGTATTAGCTTTGACCTTACTATCGCCAGACCATGTCCAAATGTTAAAAAAGGCGATAAGTTGGGTCCAAGTTACTCGGGCTAGTCAAGCTATGACTGAGTATGATGGCGTTAAGCCCGCAAAATTGCCTGCAGCACAAAACACTAATAAAGTACAAAAACGTCCATCAAAATGCAGCCATTTCACACAGAACCGCTGCACAGTTTGCCCCTATACTCCGTACTTTATCTCTTGACATACTCACGTATCTTGTGCGGAACTAACATTAAACATAGGTGGATTCTGTCGGTTTTTAGGCCAAAATGATGAAAAATATGCCCTTTCTGCATTGAGCCAACCTGACACTTGAAACGTGCACGCATTATGATCGAGCGATGATTTTCGGTTCGCTCGGAGCGCACCGCGGGGGGTATGGTACATGCACTTGTACGCATGCACATCATTTCGCTTGTACCTTACCCCCCGCGGCGCGCTCCGAACGAACCGAAAATCATCGCTCGATCATATGCGTGCACGTTTCAAGTGTTCGGTTGGCTCAGTGCGGAAAGAGCATATTTTTCATCATTTTGGCCTAAAAACCGACAGAATCCACCTATGTTAGTTCCGCACAAGATACGTGAGTATGTCAAGAGATAAAGTACGGAGTATAGGGGCAAACTGTGCAGCGGTTCTGTGTGAAATGGCTGCATTTTGATGGACGTTTTTGTACTTTATTAGTGTTTTGTGCTGCAGGCAATTTTGCGGGCTTCTTGATCTATGGAGTATGACTATGATGGCGTCAGGTTGCAACATTTTTCCCCGCAATTCATTTCTTTCTTACCATTTTATCATCCACTCACCATCACAGTACAGCTCGTTGTCTACATACCGCAAAGAATTTTCTCCCGGCCGTTTAGCCTACAACATTGCAAGTTATTGAATTCATGTAGGCCCTATGCCATGTCATGTCATGATGAATGTTCGTACTTGAGCGCCACCACTACTGGATGGACCAGCCCAATAATTTGTGCGTCGAATAACACACCATGTAGTCTGGGTACCACACTTGTATAACTATAGAGGGCGGTACACACACCTCTTTGACAGGGTGACCGTAAGGATATGCCCAAATTCTGCTAAATGCACTTCAAAAATCTGTCAGATTTAACAAAAATCTGCCAATTTCCCCAGAATTACTCGAAATACATTATAAACACTTCAAATCACATGCCGATTTGTAGCATTGTCTTAATTAAGGTTCAAATTACATTATAAACAATCTATAGTCACATAAGTATTTAATGAAATCACAAATTTCAGACAAATTGCGGTTGCTTCACGCCGGACGAATTCGGTTCCCAGTTAACCTCAGCACCTAGACAGCCAACCTGTCCCATAATGCAAGGGTTTGTTTGAAAAGATCGAAGCTTTTTAAAAACGAATGTTCCATTTTTCAAATTTGCTATGTTTTTCTGTCAACTAACCATTTGTGCAGAATTCTGCCAGAAATCTGCCAATTTTTACCAAACAATCTGTCAAAGTTAGCCGAAAATCGGCTAAAACGGTCACCCTGCTCTTTGATGTCGGGGTGGTACGCAACGGTGTCTTCTGCAGGTGTATTTTTTTTTTTTTTTGGCAGCCAGTAAACATCATATTTTAACCAACACATCACCGCACACCAAATACTTATGACGCTGAGCTGCGTGACGTGGATGGTTCTCGGTAGTGTTTTCCAAACCCGCACAGATTTTGCCATCCATAGTTCATTCCATGGAGAAATTTCTTCCTCCATGATGTTCATTCCAAGGCCTCTAGTGCACGGCAGCCGTAGCTCGACGAAAGAAATGCCGCTTCCATGGACTGAGTGATCAATGGCGTTACGTCCTGTATTTTCTTATGAATAAACATCTACAGCTGAATAATCATGATCATTGACGACGTGTGCAGCAGATAAAAACACCGCGGCCTCTGCTGGCCTTGGGCCCCACGCGTGGGGCCTACGTACGTGCTGGGAAGGAGATTCTGCACCCCCCCCCCCCCCCCGGACAGTTAAATTTGTACGGGGAATTCAAAAATGATTTTGAGTGCAGATTTGAGTGCCTCGTATCTATCTACAGGAAATTAAGCCACTTTAAGTGTCCACCGGCACATTAATTGGACCCTAGTACGCCCCTGGATCTAAAGCTTGCGCAGCTAACGGACTCCTCCGTCCGCTCATTAATGACCGCTTCAATCGTGTCCACCGCGGACCCCAGGTTATTACGGAAAATGCTACCGATAACAGTTGCGGACCACATATTTTGGGTGGCCGAGATGTTGCATGAACCATGGAGGATGCATGAACTCAAATTTTTTTTTTTGGGGGGGGGGGGGGAATCAAGGGCCATGCAGGGCAAACGTGTGGAAGCCCCCCCCCCCCCCCATTTTCTTTGGTTTGGGCCTGTGTATTATTTCAGTCTTCACCACGCAGATTCCTTATGCAATAAGCGGACACGACGTGCGTAAACTTCAGATGGCAGGGGCACGTGTGGTACGTGTCCGAGTATGAAGACTGGAATGATTGCCAAATAGCTATCCTCACTTGCACGCCCGAAAGGTCAGAAAAAATATCATAATCGCATAATGCCCTGCCTAGGCCTAGTCAAGCATCACCCATTGTCCAACGGAGCCCTGTCTCTTATCCAACCTATGATTATCGAAGCATTATACATTATGATATATCATGTCTGATCAGTATGAGCGTACGTGCCACCCCGTGCGTCAGCCAATCGGAGTCGACTTCTGAAACTGTGACGACGTGTTTCGATCAAATGCGGACAAAGCTGTTGCATGATTGGTCAATTTGGATGCAAAGTTTTTGTAATACGGCAAAGGATTATGTGGCAAAAGTAATTTTGTGGCATCGCCGAATCTGCCCGAATATTATATAGACGCTAAGCTAATTGTCTGCAAGCGGATATTCAATAGACCTTTAGCCTTATAGGCTAGGCCTGCACTTCGACCAACAGAAATGTGTCATTTTGCAGGCCTATAACGTAAAGAATGCGCCGTTGAGAAATAATGCACTGAGGTCAGTTGTTTTATCTCGATCTGTACATGTACATGTACATACAGGAAGTGTACACACGGCAAGTTTCACCCCACAACGCAACTGCTTTGTAACGGACAGACGAGCTGGTTCACTTCGCCGCGAATTATTTTTTCCCCAAACAGTAAAGACGGACAACAAGGAACAAGTTCGATCTGTGAATTGTGCGTGTGTTCGTCAAACACTGATAGTGAGTGTAGTGATTGTCATGCAAAGCATAGCAGAGTGAAGCTCGATCTGCCGATTTTCACGCTCGTCAATCGTGTCACAAACGTATATACCCTTCTGTGCGTGATGCATGGTGTCACGTTTTAACAATTTGACAGGGGACAAAATTACATCCTGTTTTTTTAGTTTAACTGGATGCACACTTAATTTCAATGGCTGGAAACGTCCCAAACCAGGCTCCTCTTCCCTCTATCCCCCCCCCCCCCCCCCCCCAACAAAAGTTGACAAGAAAACAACATCACACCAAAAAATAACTAACGCAGTTGAAGAACCTGGACACACCACGCGGCAAACAGGCACCGATCGTGCCTCTCACTTTTTTGGCGGAGGGTGCTTTTAATTTGAAATCAAGGCCAGTGAGGTCACAAACAAAGGAATGACGTAATACTAATCTGGATTGTTTTTCTTATTTAAAAATGACCCAAAATTTATGGTTAGATCGTAAGTTTAAAATTTAAAAGGATTTTTTTTTTTTAGTCATCGATTATTAGTATTTGGGGAGGGGGTTGGAATCTTCAGAGAGGGTACTAGAATACGGATCACAACCAACTCGCTGATGGACGGTACACATAGGCCTGAGCTGAAAGTTGTCCCCATGCACAGACTTTACAAATTCATGTTATGGCAGGCCCTAACTTAACTGCGGCTGGACTTTTCTGATAAAACGTTAATATACGCTAATGATGTGTCACCATTAGCAGATATTGCTTTTGGTAAGAGAACGTATGAAACACTATGGCCCGGTCAATAGCAACATTCAACATTTCGATATTAAGATGTCTTTACTCGAGACATATCAAAATAAAGTGCATGAGTTTCTGATAAAAACCCATTTCCCTAATACGTTGTATAGTCCTGAACGATCACACCGGTTAATCCGTGCATGATCCGTGGCACAGCTGAGGGTCTGCGAGTTTGGATTTGTGCCCACGAATTAACTACTCTTTTATCATATTCAACATACATGCAGCTTCTTAAGCTAGTGCTTGAAGTTGTGCGTCTTACCTTCATTCCTGGAAGCTGAGCTGATGATCGGCCATAAAACGCAAAGAAACAACAGCAATCCTAAACATAGGTTGTCCGCCATCCTCTTCAACGGGCTTGCTGTTGCGTATGTGGTCTGATCACGCCGCGTTTCAACATACATGCAGCTTCTTAAGCTACTGCTTGAAATTGTGCGTCTTACCTTCATTGCTGGAAGCTGAGCTGATGATCGGCCATAAAACGCAAAGAAACAACAGCAATCCTAAACAAAGGTTGTCCGCCATCCTCTTCAACGGGCTTGCTGTTGCGTATGTGGTCTGATCACGCCGCGTCCGACTCTTCCCCGATGTTATGTTGAGTCACTGGATACCTTCAGTTTGTTTTTGACTGGAACCGGAAATAGCTATGCTACTGCATACCAATGCGATTCTTATCACAAAATAGTGCGAGATTTCCCTAAAAGTATCATAACTAGGCCTATAATTACGCAAACACTCGAATCCGCGTCGACCCAGACGTCAAAGATTTGCTATTAGAGCAGCTGTGCTGAGAATTATTAGCGCTATAAGGAAACTTGTAATACATGCAATTGTCCAAGTTGTCTGATTTCAAGGAAAGACGTACATTCCCTTGCCGTTGAGCTATCTGTGGCCGGAACCAACTATACGTGACAACCTTCTCTGGGTGTCATGATGCAGCACAAAGTAATTTTAACATGAAGCCTGGGCGTCAGTCCTGGGGGGACAGGGGGACATGACACCCCCCCCCCCCCCCCCCCCCACACACACACACACACACGCACAGTCACACACGTTTTGAAGGATGGGGGACACAATATCAAATGTCTTTATCCCCCCCAGATTTTTGAACTTGCGTCTCATTTACAGGGGCCCTATTATGTACTACCGGTACAATGTATCTTTTGCTAAGAAGTTATTGGTTAAGGTGGTCAGAAATTGCCTCAGATCGCACCACAGAGTATTTAGAATCCAAACAATTTTCGGGGCCCTTAAGCGGGCCCCGAACCCTACGCCAATCTATAGCCCAGAAAAGCTGATTCAATTACTCCAACCTTGAAAACGATGTTCAAATTATTATCTTTTGCTTAGAAAATATTGGTTAACTTCAGAAATTGCCTCAGATCACACCACAGAGCATCTAGAATCGAAAAAAAATTCGGGGCCCTGAAGCGGGCCCGAACCACAAACCGTGAGGGCTTCGCGCTTCGCACACGCATTCTGTTCTCATTAATATGTCCCCCACTTTTAAGAAGCGATTGACGTCCTTGACATGAAGGAATTTACAGGTCTTCAGCCCTAATTCAGTTTCCAATGGTTACAATCTTAGCGAATAGCGATTGCATTTCGGAACATCTTAGAATCCCTTTCGTTAACTGCAGGGCTCCAGGGTGTTTCTGCATGTTTTTGGTTGCAATTGATTTTCTTTGGCACAACATGAAATTCCATCCAATAAATTACAACAGCGCCCTCACTTGTCAGAAAAAAGTCACGAAATTTTCGAAGTCAGGAAAAGATGATGCCACGACTCTTCACGTTAAAAATCTTCATCTCACTTATTTTTTTCCAAACTACTTTTTCAAACTATAAAATTTCAGATAGGCCTTTCTGCACCAGAAATGTGACATTCGACATGACACTTACACTAACTCCAAGTTACAGATTAAAAACAAATGAGTCTAAATAATTCTGTGGTTGTTTTTACCGGTAACTGCATGCATCTGAAAACCTGTAGGCCCCTATCCCCGGAAAATGTGGCCATTATTTTCTACAATCGTTTTAAAACCCGTCGTTCCCTTGTACGCGTAAAAACCAAAATATCCCACATCAATTACACATTGTCTGCAGGATGATCATCAGAATCAGTTTAATAATTGTTGTAAACAATCTTGCTTGGGGACACCAAACAATGAAAATGTGCGGTTGAGCGCTCTCTCGAGTGTACCACGAATAATGCAGTGCTCTGATCATACTGAAAAGTATGAACCTAGGATGCTGTCAGAGATAAAGGGGAGCAAATATCAAACCTGGCCGGGTTACCTTCCCACACTAACATTCTTCCAAAATGATTAACAATATCATGTCAAAATAGGCATGACAATTCAAAAACATCGCCTGATAAGGTTGTTATGTTCCGCGTTACTACATTTTGTCATATTTATTTCCACAAAGTAGAGGCGTTTTTCTGTTTTATTTTATGCATTGACCCCTTAAACATAATGGTTTTAAGATGTTGCCAGGATGATTGAGAATGTGAGGGAAAGTTCCTGAAATCGGGTACGTGTCTGGAAATCTGCCAATTGTGTAATCAAAAACAAGGCCAGACGGAGTCAGACAGGCACGTCCTGTGTCGATAGGGAAAGTGAAACTTCTTGCCGGATCCGGGATCAGTTCCCTTGGCCCCAGCGACATCCGTGACCTGTTGATTATTTTAACGAGGATATCGGTAAACACATCCGTGTTTATTTACCGGTAACATGTGGCGCGATCGGTGCCAGATTACTAGCCAAAGTTGAACAGGATCCAACACCCCCACCTGTCTTCTCTATCAGCGGGCGTGCTGTTAAACTTGATATGCTCACTCCCTCTGAAATTATTCGATCCTAAAACCTGTTCCAGAGTTGAACAACAAGCGGGAAAAAGTCATTACAAATAATAATATTATTAAGAACAAAATAAATAAGAAAAAAAAGAACAATCATACGGAGATGATCTGAAATTGAAAATAAAACATCGAAAATTGAAAAGAAAATACAGGTCATTAATGTTTGTTTACAATATGCAGAGCTGAATCGGAATAAAAATTGTAAAAGTTGGTTCAAGTGTTGTGCAGGTAGTGTGGAATTATTATGCAACCTCATCCAACTCCAAGCAGCAACGGTCACTGTCCTATAGTATAATGTGGAGTGTGTGAGATTTGAATGCGACCGTGAAGTTCGTACTCGTATAAGTTTGTTTCTTGTCGTTAAAACACAGAGGAACAACTTTCATCCATCTTCCATTTCCGTGTATTTCCCCCTGTGTCTGATACGGCCACCGGGACTCAGTCTATATGGCCGGTTTGGTCAGCCATTTGGTTCTTGGGACGATCTTGCTTGCTTGGTTGAACCAACACTTCGCAGTTAACGCCATCGCTAAGACGTCTCGCCGGCCTGGTAAGTGTGATAATGGTTTCTAACGTTGCACACAATCCCATACAGTGTGGTGTGTTGCTATAAACATGGAGCTATGCTATAAATAAGGTCCCAACCATTTTATCCCATACAGTGTGGTGTGTTGCTATAAATAAGGTCCCAACCATTTTGAACTAAATCTGATGCGACTACCAACATTTTCAGTGACCGTTTACGCATGGTTTACGTATACCATAATCATGACCACTAAAAGAAAATGCAAAGTTTGAGCATGAATTTGTTTTATTACAGTGAAGTTGGATTATTCCAGAGATTACCGGCACTTGTGGTCCTAAAACCACGCATGTTTTGTTATTCAAGAGTTTTCTACCCTAGCTTACTGTTTTATGGTAATGACTCGGTCAAAGGTTACTCTGATCCATATAGTCTAGCGTCCTTCGATCGATGGTCTTTGATTCTATGATAGACTAGATGATATTTGTGAAGGTTACTAGCAACTGTTTTGCTTGAAAAAGAAACACTATTAAGACCATATTCATCCATGTTTAGACTTTGGCTTGATCGTAAATCAAACGCCTTCGCAGGGGTGTCCGATGAGTGTGTTTGACAATGTTTGAGGAGACGATTAAAAAAGTTCTATACTTTTCCCCTAAAAGTTAACAAAAGGTGTTTTATCGGCTGATTGACATGTCTTGGAACAGCTTTCGGCCAGTTTTATAATATTGCCTGCCTGGAGTTTTATGCCAAATGGGATACTAGTGGTACAGATCATGACAGAATGATGTACATTCTTGTATTTGTGCGCTTATGCCCTTTAAACCTTGCATCCTCAAAACGGCGCATTTGAAACATTTGTATTTTTAGTGCTATTAAATACATTATGGTTGTTGGGAAGTTAAAAAAATACCTCGAATTCAGCATTTTATGTTTCTCACCATGAAAAGGTTTTGGATGATCCAACACTGCAACAGCCCATCCCACGGTCAAAAAGTGTGTTTATGTGGGGATATATATAGGCTACCCCCGTCTGGATATACGCTAATTTGCTTTGAATTCAAAAAGTCGGAAGAAAGTCATGGTGCTTCACATAAAAAGTGCTTTTATGAATGTTTGTGAAGTAAATAATAATAATAATATAAAACAAAAAGAAACACATCGCTTAAAGCTAAGGCCAAAAAAGGCTCCAGTTTCTGTTTTAAAAGGTGGTTTTTTTTTTCAATTTATAAGATGATGTCTAAAAACAGCCAAACTCACTGGTTTGACTGGAATCCTGCTGCTGCACAATTTTAACGTGTATTTAGATGGGGTTACGATCGAGTATAAGCTTTAGGTGGCCTCTCTAGGCTCCTTGTATTTTGTACTAAATTTAGTCCGGCACCATTTGCAGTCATCAGCCGACATTTGAAGAAAATAAAGTTAAAAAAAAAAAGCCGCGTCGTCGCCCCACTTTTGGGGTAAGCTTCATACCAGAAACCGAAGACTTTTTTGGCCTAAACGTAAGTGTTTTGATTTTCGAGAGCTTGAAAATTCTGAGCTCTCCCTGGAAATGTCAAAAAAGGCAAACCTTTGTTGAGTGAAACAAATGTTTTTTATGAGACTGCTTTCTTCACGAAGACATTCTGGCATTTCACCAAAATAAAAAAGGTATCTTTGTTTTTTCCGTGTATCAGAGTTCTAATGGGGTCATAAATACATGTATGACATTAGTGAATTATTTCAATAGCTAAAAGTTGCTTTCCCAGGCTTGTTATAATAATAATAAATTGCAAACTTTTTTCTTGTGAATGTTCAACTCGTATGTTTTATTCAAATCAAAAACGTTTCTTTTGCATTTCTTTTCGGGTCTCATACATTCAAAAGTGAATACCTTTTGTATTGAAAACAAATATCAATTTGGAGCAGGAATCTAATTTGGCGGATGAAACTTGAAAATATCACGGGGAGTGCAGCTTTAATTGTTGACTTGATGATTTTATAAATCTTAAAATTAATGTGGCCTGACGTTGCGAACTTAGCAAGTTCTTCTTCAGAGGCTAAAACAGAAATGACAGAGGTACATACATTAACATGGGGTGCACACAAACATGCAGGGCTGAAAGAAGAAACACAAAAGGAGGATTAGGTGTGAAAGGTGTGGAAAGATGCAGGGGAGGGTGGATGAGAGAACAAAGAAACAAAGGGAGATGGCAAACCACAAGGGGTCTTGTGTAAACAGGGGAGGGACCAGAAAGGGGAAGGATCAAAGGTCACAGGGAGTGGGAACGGACAAAAGAGTGTGAGAGTGAAGGGATGATGTGGGAACAGTACTGAGGTGCAAAGGGATGAAAGAAGGGGGAAGATGGGTAAACACAAACAAGGGAGACCAGATGGATTATCTGTAAGAGATAATCAGATAATGTTTCTTTGTTCTCTCATCCACCCTCCCCTGCATCTTTCCACACCTTTCACACCTAATCCTCCTTTTGTGTTTCTTCTTTCAGCCCTGCATGTTTGTGTGCACCCCATGTTAATGTATGTACCTCTGTCATTTCTGTTTTAGCCTCTGAAGAAGAACTTGCTAAGTTCGCAACGTCAGGCCACATTAATTTTAAGATTTATATATTTCAGGTCCATTTAGTCAGTAAGCAGTTTGCAGCAGTTTTACTTTTTTTCTTGATGATTTTATGAATTAATAGCGATTACTTACAATGAATCGATTACAGCTGTGCATGCTATGTATTGTATTACCCATACTATGTCTTTCCCTGCCAGTGTGTTTATTATCAGAGGCGTTGGCCAATGGCGCCTACGTCGACAATGCGACGGGTGATCGTCTGAGGGGTAGGCGCGTCCGACCTGGTCACGTGATCGAAGCACAGTGCGACTCCGGCTACGGAAGAAGAGGAGCTAAGCTGCGGCGATGCAACGCAAAGACCAAGGAGTTCGACAAGGATGCACCCATCTGTGAAGGTATACGCACATGCCACATCCGCATCGCATCCCGCAAAATGAGTCTTAAGAATACATTTTCACTTAGAGCCCCAGCAATTTGTATTTTACTTTTCGTGTGTTTCGTTTTACTGGTTCGCGAGATGATCCATGGTACGCTGAAGCCGTGAAGGGATGAATTTGTTGCGCCACGATGGGTGAAAAAATCAAGAGATATAGTTTGTGTGGGACAAAATATTTTAATTGGGCCGACAAATCAGGGTTTGAGCAAAGTGTTCCAGAAATAAAAGGACACACAAACTGCTTTTCCCCGCGGCTGGAAATTGTACTGGAAAATGTATTTTCACACCAAAGGCACAAATTAGGACCAACTATTGGCCTTTTTCAGCACCCCTCCCTCTCCCGCAACCAATGAACCGGCCTTGCATTTAAACGTGGTGTTGGAAACTACGTGGCCTGCATCATATATTGTGGCTTCCCATCCACGAAAACGTACCATTTGTAATTGTGAATAGCGCCCCCAAGACAGTACCTGCATAATGTTGCAAACAGCTCTCAACTCGTACTCATTCACACCGCACCATTTCGCTGAACACTTTGGTAACCCTGAGACCCGGGTTCCAATATTCGTATGACTAATATTCCACCTGATCATATTCTCTCATATTCCCAAAGAATAAAAATTCACTTGATTTGGTTGAAAACTCGTTCAATCCGACTAAAACTAGTTGAGGGAGAGGAAGCTTAGAGCAAAATTCAAGCAAAAGATCGAGCATTCACTCGAATTTCGACCTAAGCGATTCTTTTTCAAAAATTTCAGTCTAAGATTAGGCTGATTATTTTGTTTTCACTCTAAATCGTTTCCTCATTAGTTTCACTCTTTGGGAAATTAGAGAATAACACTCACGGCGTGCAACTGAGCTGCCCATAATGCATTTGCCGTAATGTGTATCCCTTCTGTACAAGATTGAAGGTTGCTCTTCTGTATAGTGTCAGTTCAATTTCTCGTCATGACTGCGTGTGCAAAATATCCCGGCCTTAACGCTACAAACGAGGAAGAGTTAACTAGCTCTTAATGGTTTGCAACGTTTAGGCCGGGGTATTTGCATGTAAGATATTTTAACCAACGAAATAGAGCAGCCATCATACTCGGGCGCGCTCTCGATGAATATGCAGCGCCTTCATTTTGTTCACGTAGGCCTACACATGCATCTTAACATGAACTTTACTTGAGAACGTATTTTGTGCAACTCCTCTTATATGTATAAAAACTGTTTGACAGCCCTTTTCGGTTAATTTAATTGAAAAGTGCACTTCCTTAACCCTATAATGCCCTTGCATTTTTCCCCGACCAGAGCTTTCCTGACTGTTTAGCCTCGAGTCTTGCGCATCTTTTCGATATCAAAAGCATTGAAATCCGACCATGGGTTGCCGAAAAAGTTTTCGGCGCTACGCACCGAGAAAACTGAATTTCCCCATATGTAGTGTGCACAAAGCAGAATTACCTTTGGTGCATATGAATAATTAATTAGCCATTATTCCAAAAACCTTTAGCCTATAGTCATGAAATTTCTTGTCGATGTTCATATGAAGTTGTTTTATGCGTGCACCGAGTTTCATAATTTTTCGTCACTCGATGGCCGAGATGTGAAGGGGGGGGGGGCGGAATCCGCCCGCTGTGAGATGGTCCAAATAACCCGGCCCCTAATAGAGTTAATTAAACATTAAAACTTTCCCATTCTTTTCCGGACAGATGAGGGCGCTGTTGCAGTGATGTAATTTCAAGAAGACACTGTTCAGTTTAGGGGTTTTGTGTTAAAACTTGCTGCTGTGAAAACATTTACTGAAACAACAAATCTATGAAGAAAAGAAAATTAAACACAGCATTATATAAAAAATCTGCCATTTTTTTTTTGGGGGGGGCTGAAATAGCTGTACATTGAGGTTTCTGTCTGAAATGACATTACACTTTTGCTAATGAATATGCAAATTCTCATTTGCATAAAAATAAAAAGGCGCATAATGTCAAAATGAAAATTTAAAATAAGGTTAAATAGGATATAAAGGTGCTTAATACAGGGACTGCATTAAAAACAAATTACATTTCATGGGCCAAAAAAAATTATGTGTTCAGGCACGGAGACTGTAGCGCTATAAGTACATCTGAACCTGATGCGACGTCGTACGGCAGATAGGTGATGGGATTGTGCCGTTGATGATACAAGCATGGCATTTAATTGACACACAGTCAGAATATGGCATGAGAAAGATATTTGGCTATTGGGCCATCGCAAATTTGTCCTTTGAAAAAAATATAGGTAGAATAACAAGCAATTGGAGCCATTTGGAAAATTTTGAAAATTGCTTGTTATTCTATCTGCGATGGCCCTATGGCCAAATACTTTTTTTAACTAGACATACTGCGACTGTGCCAATGCCTGCTTGTATCATCATCAAATCCACAGTTCCCCCAAATATTTCCCCTATCTGCCCCACAATTACAGCGATAATAAAATACGTTCTATTATGTTCACAGTGGAAAATATTTACTTTTGATACAGACATCGACGAATGTTACTACTCTGAACTGGTTGGCGTTGCCTCTGGTGACGCGTCTGAGTGGGAGCCGTCGTCTGTGGAGGACTCTTGGGGCAGTTCAGAGGATGATCTCTTACTGGACTTCGATCTATCGGCACTGCCGATGGTCAGTTGTCATAGCAGGGGACATTGCGTCAACACGCCTGGGTCTTTCCGATGTGAGTGTAACGAGGGTTACGAAGGGGACGGCATTCACTCATGCAGAGGTAAGAAACCTCCAATAATACCTTTCTATCTGATTATTTCTTGTAAAACAAAGGATCTTTGTCTTTACAAATAGTACCAACTTCCATATGTTCCTAATTGTGCCTCCTGTCTCGCCCATAACAATGTTGAAACAAGTTATGACTCGGTCGAGTCCAGTAGTTTCAATTATGGCAGTGACTCGATTGCGTCGAGTTGAGTCACTGGGTCAACAATGTTGAGACAACTTGAGTCGAGTCATAATAGTCTGTGGGCTACGGCCGGGGGTCCCAGTGTAACCCTCCCCCGACCCCACCGTCCTCAATAGTGAAAATGTAGGGATGCACTCTCTCAAAAAGTCACAATTATTGGAACCGCCTCTGATTGAGCTTACATGCATTTTCTTAGCACTAGGGTTGAACGGGAAAGAAACAAAACACCATTATCTGAGCACACCTTGACAAATCTTAATCAAACTTGGCGCAATTAAAAGTGATCTCTACTAGAAGGGGGCCAAGACCTGAAACCCGTCGCCATGGCGACTCCCGGGTCTATTGTCATCCCAATTATATTCTCAAGATCGTACGGAGCTCAGACCCTTTGGTTTTTAAAACTCTGAAAGGCGGGGCCAAAATAAGTCTGTATTCTATCATTATTTTGGTCGGTGTAGGAAACTTGGAGCCTATTTACTGGCATGCAGCATTGCATAATTATCAAGTATCCTGTTCAGCCGTCCGGCCTTGCTGTATATGGTTTAACCTCATTCCCCCAACAGAGCTAGAGCAAAAGGCATGCGAGCCGCTCCAGCCGCCAGCGCACGGCTCCATGAGCGGGAGCCCGGACCGTCTAGTGAGGTTCTCATGCAACGAAGGTTACCGCATTTACGGTGCCGAATCTCGCAGGTGCTCGGATGGCAAATGGACGGGTCTGCATCCAGTTTGTGAAGGTAGGACGCCTATTTGCTCTGGTTGAGATAAAGAAGATTTCACTTACAAGAAATGCACAAGGGACGTGCTCATCCTTGTGGACAGTTGCGTAAATCCGGCACCGAGTGGGTCGGAGAGGTTGGGGTGTGGGGGATGGGGGATGATCATATATATCCTTGATGTACCGGTTGTAAGGATTTATTTCAAGCAACAGAAAAATACCGACATAGCCTTCTGTTTCCAAATTTATTGGGCTGGCGGTGGAACACGTACCCGCGCACACACAACTAATCAACTGGTTGTGTGGTACGAATCTGCACGTGTGCGTCGCTACAAGGTCAAAACTTGAAAACGTGATGCTTCAAAAACAGGTACACGGACAATACGACAAAATCCTGAAATTGCCCGACCATGGGTAATTGGAGGGGGAGGCGCTGGACACCACGTGACACTGGGGGAAACATACGTCATAGAATTAAGCATGTTATATTGCATATTTGTATGTTCTTTTATATTTTTTACTTCCTTCCGGACACTGACGTGTTCCAGTGGTGGGTTGTGGCGATCCAGGAACGCCCACTAATGGAGACAAGTTCGGCAGCAAATATGACGTTGGTAACCATGTTTACTTCTACTGTGAGGAGGGCTATGAGCTCGTGGGACCTGGCACCAGAGTCTGTCTGGACGGAGGCGATGATTTCTGGTCACATGACTTCTGGTCCGGGGTTCAGCCTGTATGCAGACGTGAGTTTACGATTTAAAGCTTTGCGTGATTTACAGTCGTAGACCGCAAAATGTTTGAAGGTTCCATTAATATTATAACTAAAGGTTCTTATAGTTATAGTACCCACAAGTTTTCACAGAAATCCTTCTAGGTCACTTACAAGTCATTAATCGGTCACGACACAAGCCACAATCTACTCATTAATGTAACAAACTTGGCATTGCTTCGGTATAGATTTGTATCATGTTGCAGCTATACTTGATTTTTTCCCCATTCAAATCGAAGTAACCAAAGCGAGGCTGGAAGTTAATAGTCTGGTTTCTTTTTGCACAAAAACCATTATCATTTAGTACTGTTATTGGATACAGAGAACACGACTGAAATGGTTGCAGCATGACAAAGGTCTGTTGCTCATTCCCTTATTGTGCCCATTGCTCATTGAGGTTTACCTGTGACCGTCTTGTGACTTGTCAGGACTTGACTGGACTGCACACCGTCTCATAAGAAATCGACGTCCGCGATAAGTGTATATAGGCCAATGCAGTGGGGAAAGCAATAAACATAGTCTGTTCCCCTACACCTAACAATTATTCCCGACGCTCACGTCTAAATTGTAGGTCAGGCAGCCTCCGTGGCTAATAACAAACATGACGACATTGACGGCCCTTTTTCAAAGCTTGGCTTCGTTTCCGATTTCGCTTTATCACTTATAACTTTTAGTTGTTCTGATCAGATTTGTAAATAAATCACTTGCTTCGTAATATCATACAGTTATGATAGTACAGTTTGATATATTTCTGTAAGATAACATGGACTAATGTTGATCTGGAATCTTTAAAATTAGGCACCCAAATAGCAGTGTTAGCAGGCGGAGCCGAATGAAGACCGAGTTTTGGAAAATTCCGGTAACGGTCGTCAAATTCAAAATAGTACATGACGCAGCAAAAGTTCGCCCATACGATCCGAGTATATTTGATGCACACAATGTCGTTGAATTTCAAGTTTTTATTAAAAAAAGCAATGAATATTAATTATCAACTCATTTTACAAAGTTTTTAATAAGCAATTAGCAGTTAATTAAACCTATATTATACTCGGAAATACTCGGGCGCTATCCGATTGTCGACGAAATGAACTCGGCAAACTTCAGATATTTTCGGAAAGAGGAGGAATTCCTCCCGTTTTAGTCACGTGACGTAAAGTGTAATACAATGTATTACCGGAGGCTACCTGACCTATGATTTATCAGGAATAGTCAGAAAATGTTGGGAACCAGACCACTATAAACTTACAAACAAATCCCCACATTAAAAAAAAGTTTTGTTAATTTCCAATGACTGATATCCACCTTTTTTGCATAGGACAAAAGTATCATGACGAATATTATTCCTCTTAAAGACGATTGAAACACACCAACAATAATGTTGAGTTCTTTCCACTACACCCCAACACCTTCTATGTACAGTTCATTTCAGTCTATGAGCGCTGGAGGTTATAACATTTAATGTACGTTTGTAAGAAGCCGAGGGAATATAAAACTTGATGTATCGAAAGCCGCAACTTATATCCTAATCGGGCTTCTAAAAAGTGGATTCTGTGATGGAACAGAGGCCGATTTGTATAGGTCACGGCGAAGAATCTGTTTAACCAATGACTGCAAATCGATGGCGTGATTCATTCTTGCAACTCCTGATCCTTTCTCAGCCGTTTCGAAATCCGTAGTCGACATTGCGCAGAAAATCCAGACGGATTTCGTGGACCACTTGGAGGTGTTCACGCACGCTGGGCGCGGCAGGTTGGCGGTGTCTGATAACATCGGCCTGGATCTAGTCTTCGCCTACGATACCTCGTCTAGCCTGAATCGTGTCAACTTCGAGAGAGGGGTCAATTTTACCGAAAGCCTGCTGCGAGAGTTCGGTGTTTCATACGACAATGGTGAGTCGTATTTCTGCAGATGTAAACTGTGCATGCCCTTCAATGATTTTTCTCTTAAATAATTTTCAAATTTATATGATTTTTTTTTAAATATAGGTTTTCAGCCCTCTGAAGACGGTGAAAATAAAAAAAAATGACACTGACAGTACTACCGCTGAAGAGAAACTGATTTTATGGGGAAATGTGCATGTCGATGGTAGTGAAAATGTTATAGTTAATATCGAACGTGCCGTCTTAGCATGTAGACATTTATATTAACTTTAGGAAATTGTTGTTGAGTACCATAGCACAGATAGATTGATAAATATCACCCGAATTTAGTTTAGGCCCATCGCGAATTTGCCTGAAAACCAAATGTCGTATGCAATTGAAAAGATTTTGTTCATCGGGAGACAAATTTTAGCAGTACTGTTTTGATCTTGGATGTTTAGGTCCCATTTGAATTTTGTTTTTGGAGGGCGATTTAATTGTTATTGTTCTCAACACTATAGGTGGCACTAGAGTGGCAACGATATCGTTTGATAATGCGGCTGAGATTGTGTTCACCTACGGGAATGACGTGGACACGTTTGAGAAAGTGATGACGCGAATTAACCGCTTAAAGGTAAGTTCTTCATCTGGTACTATCACCACCGCTTAAACCATTATCATTAGCCCCATAACAAAATCATTCGCAATGAGAATATCAACTTCAATTGAGCAGCATATTTTGACTGAAACCCGATTCTCTAACGCCCTTTTCACGCTGTAATAGCGTTCCACAAGCGCAGTGTTTGAAGCGACCGAGGCCTATACCGTAATAGTATATTCTTGGTTTCTGAACAGCGAACTTGGTGCATTTCTTCCATTTAAAAGAGGCAACCTGGTCGATTTTGTTCCGAAAGACAACAGTCGAACATGTAACGTTTGCATGCACGTGTATAGCCGTCCCTAACAACCATTTTTGATTGAGTGGGGTCGCACTAACTTATTCAGGAGACTTCCAATTCTACACGTGCAGGACCAACTTTTGAAGTCGTTCGAAACATCAGAGTCCGTCCAGTTGAAGTAAAATAACACTCCACTCTGGTACGCCAGTCTGAAACGGATTTAAGTGCAAAGCGAACAAATAACATCACGTCAACTTAAAGTATCATTGACAGGTTTTCTTCATTCCGTTGCGCCACATGAAATATTGTGTGCCGCAGATAATTAGGATGCAAAAACTTCATGTTTTCATTCGTCTTCGCTTGACATTGGTACGGTTCAGGGCTTATAGGCCTAATTTCTTCTTCACACACAGGACAATCTTGGCGGAGGCACAGCTCTAGGGGACGCCCTCGAACTGGTGTTTGAGGTGTTGAAGGACATGCGCAATGGATCAAAGAGGGCTCTGTTCCTAATGACCGATGGCATGGCAACCGTTGGTGTGGACCCCGCTTCAATTGCCAAGAGTCTTAGGTAAAACCAAGCGGGGTCTCCCATTTTGCCCTTATAGTCAGAGTTAGTAGTTGAGTACATTCCCAGACCGAAATCATCAGTCGATCACAAGTCACAAAGTCAAGTATACTCACAAGTTACAAGGGATTGTGCCAAAGAAATGTCTCCCCTCATGAAAAAAATTCTAATCAAGCAGAAAGTGCCGGTTTTCGATTGGATTGTTTAAACATGCAAATTCTTAGACTGTGCGTTCTCTTCGCTCTGAAGAAAACTGAGCTCATGAGTTGTGGTCCAGAGCATCTAATATCCCAGATCCCTGGGTATTAAAGTCTACAGGCGGTTGGAGTCCATACGGGGTTGCGGTGTGCGTGTCCTTGGGAAGACACATATCCACTTATTGCTTTTACTTACCTAGACGAAAATGTGTACCTGTGAGAGAAGAGATCGTAATTTTGTATAAATTAGATTTTCGTGCCTGAAAAAGAGCCAGGGATGCATCGAGTTGTATTAGGAGCTGAGGTATAAGGAAGATTATAAAATGTGATAACAATGTAAAGCGTTTTGATCGTTGTTTAAGCGCAATATAATAATTTGTAATAATTATTTTATGACCCAGGCAGGACGAACGAGTAGAAATATTTGTGGTGGCTGTGGGCCAGGCCATCGATCAAAGACAGCTCCGCAAGATCGCCTCTCAGCCCTACTCAACACACGTCTTCCTGCTGGAGAACTTCGAGGATCTTGCCAAGCTCACGGCGATTATCTCGGAAAAAGGAGTCGGTGAGAAATCCAAACAGTTATCCCTGAGTCTTAAAAATGCTAATGTATATACAATCGTAACATATTGTTGGGTCTATCTATCTCATGGACAGAAATGGACTTTTAGTGTGTTGCTGTAAATGTGTAGGTCAAGGATCTTTCTTTCTAGCTAGATCCAATCGGAGGTTGTGGTTAACTTCGATCACGAGAAAGGCGATATTGCGTGATAGTTTATGATATTTTACCCCCCGGAAACAACAGTTTCGCTTCAGTGTTCCAAACATTGCGTTGCCGTACAAAGAGTGGATAGCAGTTAATATATTGTCTTTCGAAGTTGGAGTTTGGTGCTTTTTGAACCACTCGTCTCCGATATTTGAAGGGTACTTCAATCAGGGTATGAATTACGCATCTGCTGTCATACAAAGGCTGAACATAATGGACTTTATCCACAACTAAACTAAACAAGTAATTAACAAAATCTCACTGCTCTCACGTCTTTGTACTTTCAGAGTACAAACGATGTGGCCAGGCAGGCAACTTGGAGTTGCCCTACGGTGGTAATCAGCAAAAAGACAAAAACAACGCCAACCCGGGGCATGGCCATGGCTCGCCCAGATCCTGACGGTGACCAAAAATGGCCCCTTTCTGCAGTGTGGGGGCGCCCTCCTGTGTGGAGAATGGGTCGTTACGGCAGGAAGTTGTGCCTGGAATGAAAGCGGCATTTCCCAATATCCATCAGATTACGTAAGTCAGTTAATAATACAAAAAAAATCGTCATGAGATATCCAACATGATATACATGCAGCTCGACTCAATTACACTACCCAATCTATATTTAAAATGGTTCCCGTGCTGTTTTTGAGCTTCACCTAGAATTTGTGTTTTTAGTTACTATTCTTCTTGCAGTATAAAAGTTATTTATTCACTTTTGAATGAGACATCGATCGAAAATAATACACCGACGGTTAGTTATTTAATTATATCTTCCTGAAATTTTACTAGTTTGCTGCCAGATAATAATTCGGCTCTCGTAGGGCTAGTTCATTAATGCGCAAAAGGAAAACCCTTTTAAAAAGGGGCTGCGGATACCCAAAATCAGACTAAAGATTTTGTTTTGTTAATCCAAAACTTACAAATTGAAATGTCGTTAGGAGAATCACAATGCACAGCTTTAATGTAATCCTCTCAAACCTAACATGAACAGATTCAACACAACTCAACCAACCAACCAAAGTCAATTGAAACAATCCCAACCAAACCCTATCTGATTTTAACCCAACCTTACCCAACACACAACCCAACCCAACCCCCAACCCGACCCAACCCGACCCAACCAACCCAACCTAACTCAACCCACGTAAGTGTGTTGCCTGCAATCGGGGACCCCCTTTTGTCCCTCTTTTATTTTGTACACGAATCCATATTGGGGACCTCTCGGGAATTGAGGACCATGTCCTCTACTGTTCAACGTCCCCTTTATAATTTAATGCAGAAACAAATTCAACCTAACCCAACCTAAACTAACCTAACACAAACAAAACCAGCTCAACCCAACTCGACCCAACCCAACCCAACCCGACCCCACCCAACCCAACTAAAAAAAACCCAACCCGACCCAACCCAACTCGACACAAAACCCAAGAAAACCAAGCCAATTAACTCAGACCAATCCAAGCCCACCCAACCCACTTCAGCCAAACCTGACTCCGCACGAACCATTCAAACCCAGTTAATCCGACCCAAAACAAACCAGGCAACCCAAACTATTCATGTAACTCCACCCACCCAAATTTACACAGTCCAATCCAACCAATCCCAGTTCAACACAACCAAAAACATCCCTGCATCCCCAATCCCAATCAAACTCAGCCAAACCCGACCATTCCAAGCGCAATGCAATTTTAACTATTCCAACCTTCCCCGACCTGAAACCACCATCTCGACCTTTCTTCCCAAAACCAACTAAACCATATTAAACCAACCCAAATTTAAACCTGAACTTCACATTACTTACCGACATCCGTCACCTTTTGTTTAAGTTTCGTGTTCGGCTCGGCGCCTATCAACTCGGAGTCGAAGAAGACACTCAGCGCGAGTTTGGTGTGTCAGAGGTTCACATCCACGAAGATTATGATCCAGGCAATCGATACAACGACATTGCCCTGCTAAAACTGAATCAGTCAGTCAACCTTACCAGCAACATTCGAACCCTCTGCGTCCCATCAGGTAAATCGTGTAGGAATTTAATCAACCCTGCATACCCACCCACCCACCCCCCCCCCCCCCAAAAAAAAAGAAGAAGAAGAGTAATAGTAATTAAGCTTGTGCATGTTTGTATTGTCAAATTTGGTTATTCCCTGGATTAGCCTACACACTTTACGAATAACTAGGAGCCAATTTGATCTCAATTGAGAAGCAGTGCAAAATGATTTGAATTGACCTCCTCTCTTCGGTTTTTCACCCCCAAACCCTTCGCAGTACAGGGCCAACCCTAGCTCATTGGAGAATAAGATGAAAAGAGCAGTATAAATGTATGTATTTATACATACTAAGGAAAGTTCAAATGACAAATTCATCCTTTCTTAACTCACAGAAATCGAGCTGGTCCGATTGAAACCTAGCAGCCTGTGCTACATCGCTGGTTGGGGCATCGTGGATCCGATAGAGGACCAGACTAGGAACGCCAGTATGCCGTCTGTGTTTCCTCAGCAGCTCAAAATTCCCCTAGTAAACGACCGTGAATGTCGTGAAGCAATGCAGCGCCCGTACCCATACGACGGACAACGGAAGCTGTGCGCAGGAACAATGTAAGATCGGGCTCATTTTACATCACCCCAACGCAAAATCCATCTTACGAATAGCTTGGTTGCGGTACCTGCTGCCTAGCGGTATCATTGGTTCGAGTTCCACCCGAGTCATTTTTTTCTTACAAGCACTCAGAACAACACTGAGTATACTTTTTTGGTAAAAACAAATGATAATATTATACGTCGGTGAAGGGCAAAACCCGATATTGAAATTCACTTCACCCGGGCGCAAATTCCGTCTTATGACTTTTTGTTTCGAGTCTCATCCTAATTTGTTTTTAATCAATATTTAAAAAGGGACATAGAACGAATAGTCGTCCCACGTTTAAGAATGAAATAATAATAAAGTCTTTGCGGCCCAACAATATTAAGTTCTCGCAGTGTGTGTAGACTTGTTCCTGCCCCTATCATAATCGATAATGTAGGGACCGGGAAACAATCTACTGGCTTTGAGGATCTGCTCGCCGCAATTACAGCTTGGAAGCTAAAAAGTAGGGCAGGGGGGAACGCACCTGAAGAGCGCGGAGAGTACATCTTAAAAATATGGGGTTTGGTCTTAGTCTTTGTGGAGGAGGGGGATGTATGGGAAAGTGTACGAATAACGCACTCCCCCTTAAATCCAATTTCTTAAAGATCAAACGTTTTTAATTGCAGATACCAAACTCATGAGGCTTGCCGAGGAGACACTGGAACACCCCTGGTGTGCCAGCAGATCGACGGGTCCTGGGCGGTCAGTGGAATCGCCTCCTACACGAAGGAATGCACGGACAAACGGAAATTCGACGTGTTTACACGCATCAATGAGTTAATGACTACATGGCTGCACCGTCAGACGGCGAACTGCACGGAGAAATACGAGGCAGTTTCGGTTGGTGGTTTCCACAGAGGGACCGAAAGTGAGCAAGAAGAGCCCAACGGTCCTAATGCTACTGCTTAAGGGAGTTCGGTATTCCAGCTGCGCATGTGCACGTCAAGATTTGCCGCTATTTCTTTCGGGAAAAAAGTCATCCTATGCGTGCAAAAGCAAAGCGGGGTACCAGCAAAATTGAAGAGATCATCATTTTCTGAAGTATAATATTTTGCAAAACAAAAATCTTTGGACGGCAAAGTGTTTTGAGTGTCTTGTGTGTCAATACGTTTGTGCGAAAGAAAGTTCCATCTCTTTTCGATTGCACGAACAATTGCACAAAATGCAGATTTGGTTACAACGTCCCCCATAGCCTTGCGTGCATTAATCTGCCGCGGTGATCTCCCCCTCCCCCGCAAAAAAAATCGTCGAATCTTGCTGTGCACCAGACTATTTTGGAATATACCGAACTGGCTTATTAACATAACAAATGATTCACTCTAAAATGGCCGCTACACGCACAGGGTCAATAATCAATATTTTAATTAATCTGCATTGGTTTTGTCTCAATGAGGCGCTTTAACACAGCGAAATATTCTGGGCACAAGATATTAGGCATACGCGAGAGATGCAGTTTTTATGAAAGTTACAAAGAAATGAAGATTGTATAAATCTGTCACCGCGAAATGAGCTTGAAATGCTCATGCGGTGAATTTGTATGCACAAAAAATGGACTTTTTAACGTTATTGAAAATTTTTGTTTGGCCATTTTTAAGGGGAGTTTGGTGCCGTTTCTGGGTTTTATGCTAATGCCAATTTCTCTATTTGTGAGAAAAAGTGTAATGTCATTTTCAGGCAGTGTTACAGTTATGTCAGCACCAAAAATTGCCAGAATGTTGGATATTTTGCTGTCATAAAATTTTCTGTGATGATTCTTTGTTGTATCGATACATGACAGTATTAGCCAGCGAGCAAACTGTTCTCACAGATGTTTTCAATTTGTAAACTTTTAGGTTCACAGTTTGAACAGAAAACCCCTATATAAATTGAAAAGTGAACATTTTTGCTTACAGTGGTAAGATGTCCGAGAAAGGACAATTCGATTGTGGAGTTTAAGTTGTCAACAATAATCCTTGAACTCAAATGGCTTTTTTTCGCACAGCAGCCATGATTGAGGTGTGGTTTTTGTTCCACAAGGCATGAGTAGACCTATTGTGCAGTCATTGTTATCAAAGGTACAGTCGGACCCTTCGTGTTCTCTTGTAAAAATATGACATTGCAAATGTCCAAAGGGCAGTAGTACACATAGTGCCTACCCTTTTCAAATGATTAAAACAAATTTAAAAGAGTTAAATGTGTCTATTACAACCACCAGTAGGACCTTTGGGGGACACTTTACCATTATAAGTTATACCTTTGGGGACTGACATGTGGAATTAGGGAAAACAATTCAATGTCGCCCTAATGCCTCAGCCTGTTGAGAGGCACAATTTTAATGTCACACATAGCTTAGAGCATATCGATTGCTCGTGGTCCAATTAGCAAAACAAAACTCAAGTTCGTGGGGTAGGATAAATTAGGATTAGAGGTCATTAAAGTTGGAAAGGAAATGCGTGCACAAGAGCTGTCCGAATGTCTCCCCATACCGATTATCGATTAGGCTATAAATAACAACCACGCTATGTATGATTGCTGCATTAGTACAATTTATTCCGCTTCGTGCACTGCAAAAGCAGGTATAGCCGTTTGCACTTGATATGTAACAAACGTGTGATATAACAATAAAACTGTTACAAAATTAAAATCATAGAGTAAAGAAATATTTGACTGTACTACTATCAAATGATGTCAAGGGCGGATACAGAAGCACGTTTTGGGGGATAGGGAGGGAGGGGGCCAAGGGGGCTCGAGTTGGTTTCTTTTTTCAAGGAGATTAAAGTATATAATATTTAGCGCTATTTCCATATTGTCACATTGAAACTAAAAGGCATGTGTAGCTGATGGCTTGCCAGGGAGATACGTAACATTCAGGGGTGCCAGGCGCGGATCCAGGGGGGGGGGGGGAACCAAAACAGCTCTGTCAAAAAAAAAAATTATCATAAAAATTCCTAAAAAATAAGTCGAATCCCCCCCCCCCCGTGACACACCCCCCCCCAAAAAAAAATTATACTGTCCGCCTGTTCAAAATACGGTACACCGTTCTGTGATCTAGTGTTAATAATCGTCGAATTTGAACAGCGCCCCTTATTGAAATATGGTACCAGCCCCCCCCCCCCCCCCCGGCCCCCCAGGTCCGGAGAAAAAAACCTGTGTACATTTTCAGATTTTTTTGCTGGTGAACCCCCCCCCCCCCCCCCTGCGAAAATTCCTGGATCCGCCCCTGGGTCGGGAGAGAACTCCTGACCCGCCAGCAAATTTTTTTTCCCAAACTACATCCGCATACATGGTTGTTTAGCGCCCTCTACGATACTTTTATGATACGTACGCAGGTATTTTACTAGACTGGTTCCCAGACCAAAAGATTCTGACTATTCCCGATGAATCTTAGGTCCGGTAGCCTCCGGTAATACATTGTATTACAATTTAGGTCACGTGACTTAAACGGGAGGAATTCCTCCTTTTTCCGAAAATTTCCGAAGTTTGCCGAATTCGTTTCGTCGACAATTGGATAGCGCCCGAGTATTTCCGAGTATAACATAGGTTTAATTAACTGCTAATTGCTTATTAATTTTTTTTTTAAATGTGTTGATAATTAATAGTCATTGCTTTCATTTAGAAAACTTGAAATTCAACGACGATTTTGTCCATTAAATATACTCGGATCGTATGGGCGAACTTTTTGCTGCGTCATGTACAATTTTGAAATTGACTACCGTTACCGAGAGTTTCCAAAACTCGGTCTTCATTCGGCTCCGCCTGCTAACATTGCTATTTGGGTGCCTAATCTTGAAAATTCCAGATCACCATTAGTCAGTGTTATCTTACAAAAACATAAAACTGTATTTTCATTACTGAATGATATTACGATATTATTTAAAAAATTGATCAGAACATTAAAAGCTAAAAGTGATAGAGCGAAATTGGAAACGAAGCCGAGCTTTGAAAAAGGGCCATCAGTGTCGTCATGTTTATTTTTAGCCAAGGAGGCTGCCTGACCTAAGATTCATCAGGAATAGTCAAATCTTTTGGTCTGGGAACCAGACTAGTATTTTACCTCCCATGTTTTGGCGAGCAGTGCGATAGCTCAGTCAATACAGGGTCGTGATTTTGCACCGCGAGGTTGTGGGTACGAATCACCGTTTTGTACCCGACATTTTTTTTCTAACCTGAGGCTTCGGAGGATTTTTTTTAAAGGGAAATTAAGTCCGAATTTCATTACGTTCGAATTATTTTTTTTTCTAATTTTATATTTTTTTCTCATGTTTTTAGAAAAGTTGAGTCCAAAACGCCATAGCGTAGCCTACTACATATTTTTGTATATACGAGGATGCCCAGCATCGGACAGTTTCTGATGTATTTTTTGCATTTCCCTATTAATGACTATTCACTTTTTTTGTCTTGATGCTGCTAAAATGTAAAAAAAAACCAATACCCTTAAAAGAACTTTTAATATTCAGACACCCAATTGTGCGGTGTCTGACCTATCATAATTACTTCTAGTGCTCTATATAATAAATCGAATCTTTCAGAATAATTAGACGAAGGCTTCGAATGAGGGGTTTTGTAGGCCCCTACAAGCTGCCCATGGAACTGTGGTGCGTTTTGCATCTTACATTAAGCCTAAGCCTCAGTGCATCAGTAGATCAATAGTGCAAACTTAAATTTAACATGGTATAGAAGCTAATCATGAGGGTTGTTCAAGTCGTTTCCGTTCAAGGGCCAACAGCATAAAACTACCAAGAATTATTGGACAGGGTATCATTTGGACTTTAAACCAGAATCGTTAGTTTTATGTTGACCTATTGAAACATGGTGATCAGGCTGGCAGATCAGGCAAGCGTATATATAAGGCCAAGAAAAAAACATGTTCAACGTCTTACCTTTTTGAAAAAAATAAAGAAGCCCTTTTTTCTCTCCAAAATAGCCGCCCGACCGGGCAATTCTTCAAGATGGCCGCCATTTTTTTTAAATGGCCGCCACTTGGACTCATGCCATACTAGCTTTATACGGGCTAGATGCAACGGACAACCTGGCCAAAATTATGTTACTGTTTAAAATTTATCATTTTTTCGGTTAAAGAAAAGTAGGCGGCCTCCAAAAAGGAAGCGGGCGGGACGCTGAAGATGTTTTTGTTTACGTGGCCTTATGAAACCAAGGATTCCTTTGAAATCAGCCAGTACATTGTGGCTCTCAATTCAGCCTGAAGGAAAATGTGGAGAGAAAACGATCGCCGGAAGAAAGTATTCATTTTAAGATGCGAGTGTGAAAACTCGTTCACATATTCGTGGGTTTTAGGACTTCAAACCAAGTTACATGTCAGCCTGTGTGGGATATGCTAACGTCACAGTTTTTTGCCCATCTATCAACTCTGTTCAACACCAGTTGGCCCCGGGGTCATTATGGGTACACTCTGATAACACTCAAGTCAGATTGCACTAGACAACAGCCAATTTGGACCCACCTTACTATAGTAACTGTATAGTGAGCTCGTACAGATGTGACTGTTTTCTCTCCAAATCTAACTTGGTGTATTCATAGTGAGTTAATTCTGGATGACATTGAGGTTCTGCACCCAGCCGGCACAAGAAACAGCCGCTTGTATATCCTCCTCAAGTTCAGCCGTCCACTCGGCCACATAGCTGTGCTCGTCAAGTTTTAGGTGGTTCCCGCGGTAAGTTGAGGACATGAAGATATAGGACTGGTCAACTAGAGGCACGAGACGCGGGCAGAGGTCGCATGGGCTGTCCAAGTGTAGATTGATGCCTTCGCAGAAAATGAACTGGTCTGTACCGCGGACGAAGTTCACTTCGCCCGGCCGGTCTGGCGTCAGGACGGCTTCCACGTCCACCGTCAGCCGAATGTAGTCGTTCCTCACGAAGCGTTCGGCTTTGGTCACCGTAATGATCATAGCTATTGCAAATTGTAAATTAAGAGGAAAAAAAGCTCATCAAAAATCTGATCAGTCCTGTAGTAGAGTTTTTCAGAAGTCCATCGAAATTCCGGTCAAAAGTATATCACAAGTCCATTCACAACTAATACAGAGGATATAACAATGACAATGGAATGTTTTTATCAAAGTTCATTTGAATATCTGATGGTTGCTTGACTTGGGACTGGATTTAATATTTACGATGGACTTTGGATGGAGTTGTCAGGATTTGTGATGAACTCGACTACAATACCGAACCGGATGAATGATGTTAATAGTTTCCTTTAAATTTATTTCACTTGACTTGAAGGGCCCATGAAATGTCGTTTTTGAATGAAATACTTGAAAATGCACCTTTGTGTTCCATTTAACCTTGTTTTCAGTTTTCATTTTTAAGGGCATTTTGGTGCCTTTTTATTTTCATACTAATGCAAATGTCTACATTCATGAGCAAAAGTGTGATGTCATTTCAGGCAGAAACCTCAATGTTACAGTTTTTTCACCACCAACATTTTTGTCAGAATTTCGGAAACATGTACTTTGCTGCCGTAAATTGTCTTTTCTTTGGTGATTCGTGGTTGTATCAGTAGGCTACTTGAAATTACGCCTTTGAGCAACGTTTTTTTTTCAAAAACGTTTTTTTTTTCAAAAATGTTATTATTGAGCAAAGTTTGGGTTCACAATTTGAACAGAAACCTCCTAAAGTTAATAAAGTCTTCCTGAAATGACATCACTGCAACAGCTCCCTCATTTGTCAGTAAAAGCACGACACATTTTAAATGTTTAAAACAAGTCCACTTTTCAATAAAAAAATGTCAATAGTTCTCATACATTTAAGAGGAGTAGAAAGTTGCACAAAATGTGTTCCCAAGTAAAATTCATGTCAAGAGCCTTTCAGCAAAACAACAGGTATGACGTCGTAGATGACGGGGCAGGGCGGGGAAAGGGGCGAATGCGAATGCGTACGCACCTTTAAGATCGGTCACGATTTGAATATATACAAACTATCGTACCATGTTTGCCGTAGAAGCAGGCGTTACTCACAGTCATTGTATATGGACAGGGTTGGCACACCTCACCAACTATGGAAAGAAACCAAATGAATCTTACGAGATTAAAGTGATACCATTAACCAACTTAATTGTATAATCCTTATAACGCACAATATATTAATCATATCAGTTAAGTACAGCAATCCGGAGTTCGCAGATTCCGCTGGTCAGTTTCTTTGTTCAACTTTACAATTATTATTTGTGCATCAAGCCAATTTCCATGTGGTTTATTAGAGTATTTGAAAACTAATAATTATTTGAGTATTTGAAAACTAATAATTATTTGAGCATTTGAAAACTAATCAGAAAATGTGACAATTTGTGGGATCTGGTCACAAATGCACATCTTACCTGAAATCATACTTTAAAAAACCAGTCATTTGTATTGGCACACCTTTTCAATTCAAGTCTGCGCTTAAGGCAACATTTAAGATTTTCACGTGTTTGACTCACGGGAGCAGCTGCGGATACAGTCATTCAGCGTCTCGAAACGATTTTGGTTGCCGCGGGTACCGCTGCATCCCCCGTACAGGAAGGGCTGACACTGCTTCGTATTGGAGTCATAGGTCCAGTACGTCTGGTGTTGATTACATGGGCCGACCTCGCTTGGTGGATCGTAGCAAAAATTCCCTGAAAGACGAAAGAGATGTTAATGTCTGAAAAGTTACCCCTTTTACTGACGTAGTCCGAATGTGATGGGGAAGGGGTTTATTGTGAAGGGGTTAAGGTCAGGGGTGTAGCTTAGGGGCCTACTTTGCTGGAGGGAGATGCATACAAAGGGATTGGTCATAGTTACAAACGATAAAAAGCTCAAGATTTGTCTACTTGAAAATCTGTATGGAGGCACAAGTTGCACATGGCCTCAAGTGTAGGCCTCATTTCACTTTTTTGTTACTGTTGGCACGTATCCCCCTCATAAATACTGAGAGCTCAAAGTTGCTCTTACACAAGATACATTGCTGCAACAAATATCAATATTTGCTGCCACTGGTCCCAGGACACATGCTTTGAAAGCATGTGTTCTGGGACCAATGGCAGCAAATATGGTATAACGGATTCCTGGTCTCGCTATACTGAAGAAATCAAGATAGACAATTTACATGCATGTTGACACTTGAAAATGATAGTCCAAAACATATGGAGTAAAGCGAAACCTGTTCACCTTGGGACACTCTAGGAAGTCATGTGCCTGATATTCCCTTCACAAATTACAAGCTACGGCCAGGTACTTAAACAACTCTCACGTAAGAGAGCTAGCGCGTTTTTTAGGATTGAACTGTATTAAAATTGTTCTGGTGGTCGACATACTTGAGCAATTCCCTTCACAGTAGGCCATGGATTCGAAGCCTCCCTCCAGCATGCATTCATCGCCATTGACGGCTGTGCAGCTAACGACATTTGGGTCCGAGTTGTAGTAGAACACCCTCTCGAGTTGTGGGCATAACGGGGACCGCCGCCCCATGAATGTAGGAAGAGCATAACAGAGGCTTCCTGGAAGATGATAAAATGGCATATGATAGTCTGTGAGAATCAGCCTGTAAGTTTTGCTGTTTCTATTGAGATAGGCCTAGTCTATATATCCTATCAGCTTGAGTTATTTCAACAGCAGAGACGACTTTGGAAGAAGTTAAGTGTATTCCTGAACTGAGTAGGCCTATACATGATGGCCTGCCATACGGTTTCTCAACTCGTACTTTGCTTACATATAGCTTTGAAATATGTTCACAAACCATGTCATAGTATGGGATCTGTAGATGACGCTTTGTGAACACTTAACTTACAAGCATTGATCTCCATTATATGAATGGAGATCAATGCTTAGGCCAAAAAAAATCATTTGAAGAAAAATTTGAAGAAAAATAAAGTAGGGGGGAAAAAGCCGCGTCGCCGCACCACTTTTGAGGCAAGCTCCATACCAGAAACAGAAGACTTTTGGGGGTGCCTTACAAGTGACATGCGTGCGCGCACTGGTTCCCGCGCGTATATAGCGCCCTATAGGCATACGCACGACTAATAAAGTATGAGTATCACTCGTTGTCCAATGTTGAGCACTGCCAATTGTATGCGACCCCGCACGCTAGCCAATAGAAGAGGCTTTATATATTGTGACGTCATGTCGATCGGAAATGTGGACTACAATTTGGCTACCATGTTGTTGTGATACAGCAACGGGTTACTGAAGACCCGATAGAAGGCGCTTGCTGAATGGTGACAATCTCGAGGTTAAGACGCAGTTTAGTTGCATAATCAATCACCGAATCTGCTCACATCATAAACCCTTGCTGTGCAAGGGGATATTCCATAGACCAGAGTATTATGTAACCGACATAAAGATCCTTGTCATTTGATTGGTGGAACTCACATCACGTGACATTCGTTACTACTCCCATTCACGCCGAGGCTCAAAAAGTCCCATTCGCCCATGGGTAATGGGAAATACTATTGAACAGTTACACACACATTGCGCGCGTGATGTATTCACTTCGGCACTCTATAGGATCATTAGAGATCAGTGGTGCGCTTGCGGGATATATGTAGTAAATGTAATAGACTCTTGCGAAGCAAGGGTCTATTATATGTGAGCTGATTCGGAGATAAATTATGCAAGAAGACTACGTCTTTACCTCGACATACTGACCAATGATCGGGTGCTTTCTGTATCGGGTCTCGTCACCGTTATCTATAAATAAAACCTAGACACGACATCTATTCTTCCTTTTTTTACGCTGTGAATTGAGCAAAATGTATGCAGTCACGCGCTCTGTATGTTACGCGATACGCCGAGCAATAATAGAGCCGCCCAATCACGGTCGTGTCTCGGTTTTGTAGATATCCCCGGTCGTTTTTGCATTTCAAAATACTGCATCCGAATCGACCAATCACAATCTTAGTCCACATTTGGGAATGAAATGACGTCACGATTTAGTAAAGCCGACTAGGCATCCGCGGTGGGTCGCATAAGCAATGCATTGGACCGGAGATAGGGCTCCCTGGACAACGGTTGATACTCAGACTAGAACAAATGTTGAGTAAATTTTTGATGGTTATTTCACCAAAACCCGTGTAGCTGCATGTCAACATTTTGACTTGAGATGTACATCGCTGATTTTGTAACAAATGAAATTGCAACGAACAAGCAACTATTTCCGAGCCGCATACCATACAACCTGTTCCCCAGGGCCTACATGATTTTCAACCTCGTTTCCAATTGTGAAACTTGCATCCTGTATCCTTATTCGATACCGCATTATTTTCAAGTAATGGATTTACATCGTGTACTTAACGTGTTTTACGTGTTTTAACGTTCAAAGTGAATTATTGGGCGTACTCCTCAAAAACATTCTCCCTTTTCCATTTACTTATTAAACATGTAGTGTAATACAGCATTATTGGATGGATAAAGATTGCTAAATGACAACTTTGAAAAAAATCGTGTTTTCGGATCGCTCGCTATACGACGGATTGATCCCGTCTGTATACCAAGGGCGCCCCATACAAAAACACACAGATCTAGGATGGGCAGGCAATTTGCAGGTAAAAGATTATTGAACATGCAAATGATCCAGTAACCAGGGTGGGAGAACAGGAAGCGAGAGCGAACTGCTCGACACCATGGAAACGAGGTTGGGGTAGGGCCTACGTGTGCACGCAGGACATTTCGATAATGGTCATGATAATGTATTTATACAGGAATGTGCAACATCCATACGTTATGTGCATGTCTACTATGTAGTATATCTGTTCTGCTCTCAACAGGCATCTATAGACTGTATAGTTTTGGCAGTGCACCTTGAATACAGGGGCCATCGAAGGCTTTTGAAAGGGACGAGTCGCCGTTCTTGCATGCCGTCACTCCCAGCACGCAGGCGTTCGGGTAGTCCTGTGCGTCGGTGCCACAAACTGTGCCTTCGTCAGCTCCCAATAAGGGACAGTCGGACTCGTCCAGGCAACTTACGCAACCCGGTCCATCACCCACCAGGCTACAGCGCCAGCCAAGTGGACATTCATGATCAAGGCACGGATCTTTTGAACACACACGAAGAACATGAACAGATAAACAATTTATAAGTTGTACTCATTATCAAAGCAAAATTTCTTCGCGATGGAGATTGGCTGGGCATGTGCCAATCAAAAGGAGGTAGAAACGACACTGATGTTATGCTTGTCATTTTTTTTGGAAAATACATTGAACAAAAGAATTACATTACGGCTTACAAGATGAAGCCTTTACAAGACAAAATCGCACGCCGGGATGAAGGTTCTAACGACCCCTCCCTCCCCCGGTCACAGATGAGTTGCGCCTTTTCTGCTTTTACAAACTTGTGCACACGTAGCCTCATTTAATGTGAACAGAAAAGCTGTAATTCGTTCTTCGTGCACACCAAAGACCACTCGTCCTTCGGTATGTATAGGATAAACATAAAACATCTCATATTACCTGTGCAGGTTGGCGCCCCTTGCTCTAGATACAACGTGCCGTTTTCCCTGCACACGATTTCCGTCGATCCGGAGAGCAGCATACCGTCTTCACACCTGACGCTGACTGTGGCTCCGATAGGAATGATCTTACCGTTCACATCGGGACTAGTGATTGCTCCTACTGGCAGATCTAGTGACGGACAGTATGCCACTGGCGGGAAAGGGGGAATATTATATTCATTGTGAAGAGGTATACGTGTTTTTGGGTTGTTGTTTTTTGTAATACCTGACTGGTTAAAAAGTCAGTTTGTCTTATACATGTGGGTACAGAATGATTAAACACTTAAAGAGGTCCCTTTTTGTGGTGGATGGTTGGGCCAACTTTGGTACAATGCAACCGTTCCATGACGGATATTCATGACGATAGCAAACAAGTACTTCCGTCATTAAAGGGAATATACATCATTTGCTTTTGCTGTAATTTTCAGAAATGGATGGAATCGGGGGGTTGGAAATATATAGCAAATATAGTTACACTGACTTTTTTGAGGTTTCGGGTTCGAAAATGCTATAAAAACCAAGAAAAACAATCATTTTCTTGTAGTCTGGCTCCCTGACTCCATTTAAGAAGAAACAGAGCAGTTTACATATATTGGGGAATTGTAGGTCAGGGAACCAGTCTAGCTGGCTTGTACCCGTTCATAGGTGTGTAATCGATTGCAAACAAGTGCGATGGTCAACTGGGGCCTGTATTTGAAAAAAAGCCAGTTTTTTCCAACGCTGATCGGCCGATCAGCGTTGGAAATTGATACAAAAATACCACTTTTCTTGAAAATGACAGTATACCAGGTGCCATGATTTTACAGGATGCTTTACACTTTCATTCACTAACAGTCCAGCAAGGTATTTCAAAATGATTTGGTAGTTTTATTTTTTGATGTTTGCAAATGTTGTATATTCCCTTTAATTGCAGACTTCCGTGAGTGTAGGATTGATTCCGTGTGCCAGCGTGTTCATACTTGGTTCAATTTAGACAGACGAACTATGATATGCATTCCCTGGAAGATTTTCCACGGAAATTAGTCATTTTTTTTTAATGAAGCTAAATATATATGAGGTGTAATATAATGCATTATGATTTTCTTGGAGTTGGCTGATTTAGACTACTTTCCTCCGTTTCGCGTAGGGAGAACGTCTCAGCCAACATCTCGGGACCGGCAATTTCGCTTTATTTCCCCGTGCTGGATTGTTTACACTATCACTTAATATATTTAAGAGACTGAGATACAACGCTGCCTTTTTACTTGGTAGTTCATATGCCTCCTTTCCGTAAACTCACATGTACATATCGGTGCTTCGTTGCTCCAGTCCCCATTAGCTTGACACTGTCGCTGGCGGACACCATTCAGTGCGTAGAGTTCCAAACACTCATACGAAGCGAACGACAGGTAGCTTGTGCCATTAGATAGCACGACATTTCCGTTGGCGAGGGGTGCAGGAGTCCCACAAGGAACTACAGAATAAGAATATAATATGACTGGCATCAACTAATATTAACAAGATTAATGACAGAATTTGCAACAGGGATGTAATTTAAAATGCACTGATTTAATCTTCAATGAGTAGGCCTACTTTTGCCACAACTCTATCAACATGTGATGGGAACCTAGATCACGAGAGACACGGAGAAAATGTTATGTGCAGAAACAATGGAAACATGAATTGTCACAGCAGATCAAAATAATGTCAAGAAAATGACACTCCACGCTCAGAAAATAATCTACTTGCATTTTGCGAGATGAATCATCAGGAACATACAACTAAAGTGAGAAAACAGTCCCAAATAAACATCGTTCATTAATTATATATAGGTTCAGAGATGGTAGACTTTGGAAAGAGATATATGTGTAAGCTCGAAGTTTGAGTCAGTAGCAGAAATTGAGAGGAATTGCATTGGTGACAAAGAGGATAAAGTGACCGAAACGTCAAGTCCACAACTCTGGCTCATTTCAGAACCACATCCCTTCTGGATCAGTACCGAAACAAACTGCCTGCGATGGTTTCTTTTTAGTTTGTACATGAAGAGGATGAAGTATCGCTTTCGAGAAATATAGTCACTTCACATTGCAAGATAAGTATTGCCAAATTGCCTGTCCTATCGTAACCCTAGGATTCGGATTCAGTCAAAAGTTGATGTCCACTTTGCAAACCCTTGATATATACCCACCGGTTACAAAGAGTGTGCAGACCGACCCTTCCTGGGCAATTGTTCCGCATACATACGGGCTGGTAAAATCAGTGGTGAGATCTGAAAGCACTAAGCGCAGTAGATGCAAATCGTCGTAGTTCAAAAGACGCTGGTGTGTTGCCATGCTTATCCTGTCATCATTGAGGAGATAATGAGTGGGAAATGCTTAAACAAAATTATGGTAGTCTCCACCTGTACGAGTACTAAGGCAAAAAAAAAGTCTCCGGCTTCTGGTATGCGCGCGCGTCGCCGTAGCCATGCGCGTCGGCAAAATAAAAGCGTTGTTTTTTTTTCAATGAAAGATAATGTCTAAAAACTATGAAGCCCGGGAAGGGACAGGGTGGATTTTTTTTTGGAATTTCCTAATTCGTTCGCACGAATTACTAATTCGTTCGCACGAATTACTAATTCGTTCGCACGAATTGCTAATTCGTTCGCACGAATTCCTAATTCGTTCGCACGAATTAGTAATTCGTTCGCACGAATTGCTATTTCGTTCGCACGAATTCCTATTTCGTTCGCACGAATTCCTATTTCGTTTGCACGAATTCCTAATTCGTCGGAACGAATTAGTAATTCGTGCGAACGAATTACTGGAGTTATTCGTGCGAACGAATTGGTAATTCGTGCGAACGAATTACTGGAGTTTGCTAATTCGTTCCCACGAATTAGTAATTCGTGGGAACGAATTAGTAATTCGTTGGCACGAATTAGTAATTCGTCCCACGAATTACTAATTCGTGCGAACGAATTACTAATTCGTTCCCACGAATTAGTAATTCGTGCGAACGAATTAGTAATTCGTGCGAACGAATTAGGAAATTCCAAAAAAAAATTCCACCCTGTCCCTTCCCGGGCTTCATATAAAACCGCCAAACTCACTAGTTTGACTGGAATCCTGCTGCTGCACAATTTTAACGTGTTTTTAGATGGGGTTATGATCGAGAATAAGCTTTACGTGGCCTCTAATATTTAAAAAATGCATAAGAAATCAACCGTACACGTCCGCAGCATCTGTTGCTGGCAAGAGGTAGAGTAGGTTGAGGTCTTTATTTCATTCAGTGTGCGTGAAATCACGTGACCCTTGCTTCCGGTCGAAAAAGGCTAAAACCGGAAGTGGCTTATTATTTGAAAGTGGTAATAGATATTAACTTGCTTTCAACGGTGTTTGTCTCTTGGCTTATAGTATTCTTCAAATCATTTATCGATGACGTCATGCAATCTTCGAGCGCCCTCTAGCGACAGGTTGAAATTTTTTTTAAATGTATTTTGAATAGATGTCTGTGGCGAAGTTTGTCGGAATCGCCTAAATATTGGTGTATATGATGACATTGACCCACTTAAGACGTGTGCGAAGTTTAAGGTGTATGACGTTATCAGATCGGAAGTTATAATGAAAAGACCATTTTTCCGTAGAAAATTCCTGAAAAATCAACCATGGCAGATTTTATATTAGTTTTTACTTTAATTGTCTATTTAAGGGTAGGTCTAAAACATTTCAAAGCTTCGAGGCAATAAGCAAACTCGGACATGCCATGCGCACGCTTAAAACTTCAGGTTGACAATAACTCATAAAACATGCACAGGACGTCCACAATGTACATGTACATGTACGTGCACGTAAGTTGTACATATCGCATGTCAGTCAGCCCGCGCAGCGCACGTGTTGCTGAGGTCAAATCCTGTCCATAGTGACCGTTTTAGCCGATTTCCGGCTAACTTTGACAGATTTTATGTTCATGCATAGTCAGGGACCTAATTTTGATAAAAACAAATCATAATGCGGAAAAGCCCTATCTTCTGTTGCAAACAGACATATATCTCTACTTATATGTCTATGGGTCCAACAGATAATCAATATTGGGAACAGCTCTGTGGTTGTTCACAACCACAATTTCTAGTTAATCTTACTTTTGCTCGCGCTCATGGAAATCGACTCATAGGACTGCTCATACTTGTTGAAAGTTTTACTCTCAGTGGTAATTGTATTCATGGAGATTTTAATCGACAACAAGACTGTCACGTGATTACCAGGGTGCGGCAGGTAAATGATTAAAACTGAATTCAAAGGTATTCAGTAATGATTAGTTTCAGGAAAACTTTTTTTACCAATGGCCGCTGGTTGTCGACAACTTGATGACTTGGTAAAATGTTGCAATGAGAAAACCATTGAAAATTTGGATGCCAACAATTTCTTGATAAAAAGCATGCACCAAAATTAATGTAGGGGTGCGGGATTTTCCCTATCGCATATTATTTGTCATTTCCCCCAATTGCATGTGACCCCGACAGAGTGAAGGGTGTATTTATCCGCTGTTGACATAGTGCCCCAATCATCTCAAAGTCTATCATTAAGCTTATATTTAAGTAATTACTTTTTGATCTCTGATAAAATGAGTATAGTTTAATTATATATAACGTCATTCATGTAAGTTTTCCAACTCGGATTTGTAATATTAAGACCAGTTTCAGAAAGCTTTGGATCTTGTTGCTATAGGTGCGTAGCTTACGTGCACAAACTACTGTCGTTTCGCTTGCTGTGGGCCCATGTTGCTGCGTTGTGACTGGCTTTTCGTCGGCTTTTCGTCACACTTTTGAGATGTCGGTAGATCCTTTTCTCACCCTCAACTATCATTGTATAATGGGTGACATTGTGTAGATGCTGTTGGTGAGTCTTTGTGAACATTTCACATTATTTGAGCGGGGTAATTTTCAGTTGTTTTCTCGCCCCAGGTCACCCTTTGGTTTAACGTGTCATTCACGTACGTGTGCCTATTTTCCCACGTGAGAACGCCATTGAAACATGCATTTACAAGGAACTCATTTGTGTGCTATGTAGGGAGGACAATAGTGACGGGATCCACCTCCTGAACGCTCGGGGACTTTTTGAACTTAATTCATAAATAGTTAACTGGGGAATTTTAGCTAAAAAAATTTAGAGTTATTTAATTGGGAAATAACTGTCTTGTTCTGAATTGTAACTCGAGCTTTTGAAATCTAATTAAATCTTAGTGATTCACTTAAGTGAAGGATTAGCCTTGGTCAATGCTCTCGTCGTTATTCGTCCCGTACGCGGTCAATCGTCGGCATATATCCTCACTCGCTATGCACATGCATGTAAAATTACAGCGAGAACAGCGACCTCACGCGGCCACTATTTTTATATGCAAATCAGTTGGGGACGATCTCGAGCCTTGGTTCAATCGTCCATGTGTGGTTTTGGGGGTGTTGCTCATTATGTTAATAGCCTTAGCTGACCTCAAATGTCGTTTTCTTATTGGTCGATCGTTGCGTGGAAACTTGCATAGTGAAACGTGGCACCGTACATAATCCATACACGTTCACGTTGTGTGTCTCTGCACACGGCACCAATGCACAAAAACTGTGGTTCCTGTCACGTCCGCAAAGGCGAATAGCTGCAAATAATTTGATGACGTCCGGATTTACCAAGGTGTGATTGGACACTCCACATATTAGCCCCGCCTACACTTATCTTTATTCGCATACGAAGTCGTGCGCTAGAAATCCAGCGCAAAATAAAGAAAAGCATAAGTTTTTGCCGACGATTGAACCAAGGCTCGAGATCGTCCTCAACTGATTTGCATAAAAAAATAGTGGCCGCATGAGGTCGCTGTTCGCGCTGTATTTTAACATGCATGTGCATAGCGCGTGAGGAGATATGCCGACGATTGACCGCGTACGGGACGAATAACGACGAGCGCATTGACCAAGGTTAGTGTAGGATGGACCTTCCACACACACACACACCCACCCACAAACAGTGCCGTGAGTGAGATCCTTACATTGAATTCGACAATGGCGTATGTACTATGGTGGCCGTATGGAGGACAAGCACAAACATTGAGGTACGAGCATACCTTTCTCCATTAGGTGTTATTCTCCACCACCCAATCAAATCATCCACAGAGGCGTCTTGACTGGATACATTATAGCCACAGTCCAATATAACGGTAGCTCCCGTAGTGCTGAGCACATTGGAACCAGATATGAGGTACTTCCCATCTTTGTATATACCTAGGTTGACACCTGCTCATACCAGAACACACACGATATAAGTTAGAAAAGACGGTGACAGGGCCAGGGTATAATATTAGTTTCAGGGCCTTCTAATTATGTATCTCTCAACTGAATCTGACCACCGTAAAGTTAACGGGATTGCCCTTCACTAATGTGATTCATGTCACTGTATATACTCAGTGTTGCCCGAGAGCTTGCGAGTTTGCTCGAGTTGGACTCGTAGCCGAAGCCCCTGCTAACAGCTCTCAATTGAGTTCCTCACCTATTAGATACCAACCATTTAAGTGACGCATTTTAAATTCAATTGGATGCAACCAATTTTCTGAGAGGTCTTTTCAATGGTGTTCTCTAAGTTTCAAGGAGAGCATCGTGCTTAGAACGAACAATTATTTATTGGAAGAGCGAACTTCTTCAATCCGGGCACAAAAATAAATTTCACTCTGTTATGTCTAGTTCCCGCTTAATTTATTCCTCTGCATATCATGAAATTCGGCCGTAGTTAAGTCATTACCTACGACACATTCTGGGAATGTTGCGTTCCAGCCATCGTCGGTGCATTGGATGTAGTTGCTACCGTGTAAGATGAAGCCCTCGTCGCAATCGAAAGCAACTACGTCGTCAACGTAGTATGCTAGACGACTCGTTGACTGGTCCGTGATTACATGGGGAATCACGGGGGGATCAGCGCATCTGGCTGTACCAAGAACACAGAGAATTCAATTCAACTAGACATCTATTGTAACACTGACTGACATCATTAATAATGACTGTTCACAGAAGGCTTATAGAAAATAGGAATCTGCAAGTATTAAAGGTATTCGCTGTTGCTTAGATTTAAACACTTTTTGCTACCACCTTTTCCATATGTTTATTCGAAGACAGGTTATGAGTTCACTGAGTACGAACTCCCTTCAGTTTAAAGCTACAGTCCATCATTTGTAAAGTGTGCATTTTGTTCGTTTGAAGCAACAAGAGAGTTCAAAATCTAATGAAGGATACTGAGCAACCAACCTGATGAAGTTTCAGCTAAGCTTCAGCTGTACATTCCGAGAAAAACAACATTCTTAGATCTTAATTTCAAATCAAAAGTTACTGAATCATGTTTTGAATTGCAGCTATACGCGACGTCGCGCACTGATCCGATGAATTACAACAACCGCGCGCGCGTGTGCGTCGTTCCAATACTTGTGCGCGCTGCGCTGAATAACAAAACGAACTACTAATTTAAATTTTCCTACGGTGCTTTTTAAGAATCACCGTTGGAAATGCCTTCGTTCGTTGATTACTTCAAAATGACAGCTTCCCAGAAAGAATAACTTCACAGGGAGTTTAGTTCCCTTACTATCTTTCAACCAAGTTTGTTTTTCAACAATAATTACGCCAGTTACTTTTCGGATGGCTGCAAATGATGGACTCTCGCTTTAATACGTTTAAAAGTAATGTGTATGTTATTTTCGGAATTTATTGGTACTAACAGGTGTATAAACGTCTGATGTAAACCTGTAGCTTAACGATTTGGTATACAGACAAGGCACGAAACGGCTACACATTGCATACGTGCAGTGGGGCTCGGTACAACTGGTCAATGTTATACGTATCCTGTGTAACAAACATAAACGTCTTTCAGTTACCTTGCATAGAAGTTGGTCGAACCAACAAATGCTTTCAGTGGTAATGAATTCTGGGAACTAACCAAGTACTAAACCTACCTATGACCTTCAGGTTGACTGTCTCTGCATATGACATGTCCAAGTTGCTACACGCGTATTCTCCCGCGTCGGCAACGCTCACCGTTGGAAAACGCAGAACTACATCACCCGCAACATTCTCCGCCGCCAAGTCTAGGATCTGCAATGTTTAATCAGAAACCAACCTGAAAGTTCAAGTCTCCTCTCAACATATAAATAGAGCGGTCTCAGATCATGTACATGTACGTTATAGAGGGAATTGTTAAAGGGGAAATTGGGACAATATAGCTGGCTTTAAAAAGGAAATTTAGCACTCAGGGAGAACATTCAGGGAAAACATTTTCAGTATGAAATTTGAACCGAAGGGCGCACTCTTTGCAATGGAGTGCGGGGATCATTTTTTCAAAATAGTGATGGGCTGAAAGACTTCTTTAAGTTTTACGGGCCCTAACCACCAACAACATTAATTTGATGTACGTGTATGTCTTGCACAACTTGGAGAAATGTGTGCATTGTCCTCATTGTTTTTTAATGAAGGTATTGAACATTGGTGTCTCTGTCTGTAAATTTACTGATCTGCACCCACAAATCAACTGCTTTGTCGCCATAACTGGGGTCCATCGAGAGCGAACAATATTTCAGTAACCAGATTGGTCGGTAGCTCTTACGTCATCATCTACCAACATGGACCACCGTGGTTGAGGCTGTGGTCCTATCTGAGTGCAGTTAATCTCCACCACATTCCCACCATATGCGGTGATGTCACGATGCGCCATCTCAGCATTCGTTGTAATCGTTATCATGTCGCCACCTTAAATGAGAATAACAGTTGTAATAGAAATAAACCAGCACGATTTGGGGTAGAGGGAACCCCCCACTACCCAGTATGTCTATAGTATACCCTATACACACTCTCACGTACTGTCACCTCCCAAAATATGTCTCAATTCATTTGACTCCGGGAACACAATGGCCAACACAAAAGTGGGGTGGGGTTCCCTCTGCCCATATCTTGCTAAAAATGTGAATGAAAATGAGTTGTAATTGAATCAATCTCAGCTCTAACACAAGCCAATTTACGAATCAGATTAGGAGTAACAGTGCCAACCGAGCATGAACAACGGCAAAGAAATGTCTGAATTGTCGCCGTTCATTTGCTACTTCTAAATTGATGAAATGTGAATTTGCCAGGATTGACTCAGGAGAACTTTAATTTCAGCCCTGCAAAATGACCATAGCAGAGAAGTTCATTCTGCTAGAGTTCCTTGCGTCCAATTGGTTATGTATATTGTAATACATGAAGTGGTTTTCTGCCTTAGTGCATTGCATTTTCGTACTGGCATGAGCATTGATATTCAGAGACGGGTGTTACTCGAAAAGCAGGCGTGCTAAGATTTCTATAACAAAAGACAAAGCTATTGTGTATCGATTAACAAGTGCCTCATGGACCTTCATAATATTACGAGAGGACGAAAATGAATCAGTCAACCAACCAATTTGTAATCACTGCCACTCAATCAACCATTCCGCCTGAACAATCAGCTAGCGTTTCAACTGAAAACCCACTAATTAACCAACCGACTTAACCATTAACGTACCGACCATTGGACACACATACAAACTGACTAACTGACTGACTAACAGACCTTGGCAACTGACCGACCAAACTGGCAAACCAACCAACTAATTAACAAGACCAGCCAACCGAACAACCGAGCAACTGATCACCCGACCCGTTATTGCATATAAAAGTCTCGCTCACGTTGCACACAGGAGGGTGTAGTTCCATCCCATACACCATCTTGGCAGGTGATGATAAGATGTTCGTCAAGCACAGTGTCGCCACCTTGCAGCATGCGGTACCCGACCGGGCAATAGAAAGTCTGAGTAGCAGTGCCATCTTCTAATACAGCTCTTTCACTGAATCCATAGTCCGGATCATCTCGGAATGAATCCAGACAGTTCGCTTGAGAATGAACAGAATAAGAAAAATGACAATATGCGTGTGGTTGTAAAATTTCAAGCCAAGCCGTCATTATGTTTACAAAGCAACACAACATCGTATTGTCTAATAACATGAATTTTGGACAACTACAAACACATTTTTTTGAAAAAAAGTAAACAGCTTTTCGGGAAAGAAAATTAAATTAAAAAAAACAACTTATTTTGCAACTTCAAAGCTGCTATGTAAGGCGAAATTTCAATTGAATGGCTCGAAAACCTTGTCCTGCAATTAGGCCGCGAACAAATTTTAAAGAACTTTGTTGCCACTTGCAACTTACGTTTGACACAGTCTGGCGGGTTATAGTTCCAGTTGCCGTCAATGTTGCATCCAATCTGGTCGTAGTCGCCAATCATGTCGTAGCCTTCGTCACAGGTAAACTTGACGAAACCCCTCCGGCCAGCCGTAACGCCGCCGGTGGTTTCGCGGTTTGTTTGTCGCCCCTCCTGGTAGCCAGGGTCCGGGCAAGTTGCTGCGTGGTCAACAAAATCAATCAGATACATTTTATCTCAGCTCCTGCATTGACTGCAGAAAGGCGTTTTTGTTTCAAAACAAGGAAGGTTTTGTGTGCCCCTAACTTATGAGACTCTTGGGCATTATTGATCCATGTTCGGCTTTCTTTCTCTTTGTGACAGAGATGCATCGGCAAGAGATACGATACTCCACCGATATGATATACGACGAAATCTTACATAAAATTTATTTCCACCTATAAACATATTGAACAAAGCTCAATATTATTCTCAATATCTGCATCATGCTGACACCCTCTTCTTCGTGAACAATAAAAGTCCGAACGTGGGATTCTGCAGTATAGACTAGATAATAAAATTGTGTTGTTCAAAACCACTCACTGATGACTTCTATTCGGACTGTGCTGCTATGTTGCCGTTGGTCATTGGTTGTGCATTGATATATTCCTGCATCAGACTGTGCCACGTTATAGAGACTCAGCCGGTACCAGTAATGGGCTGGAATATAATCAGTGAGAATAGAAATCCAGCGTTAAAATAGCATGCCATGAACTTTGGGGTATACTAATACATTTATTTCAACCTCCAACTCTATTGCAAAATGCTGGGTGGAAACTATTCGTAACCACCGCCCTAGCAATGAGGCTAAAGTGGCCCCCTATAATGTTATTGAGCTTTCATGCAGCCTGTATTTCCTTTACAATATTGCTTTGAAAGAGATAAGCAGTAATATTGCCCTTTGAAAAGGCTTACTCGTTTGATCTTCCCCGGAGACGTCTTGCCGACCGGAGGGCCTTTGTCCGTCCCTCTCCCACACTGGATCCCCAGAGGACGTGGGAAAGCTGCAGTCTAGTGTGACTACGGCTTCCCGCTGTTTGACCGTCAGCACGCCGTTCACGATAGGGTGGGTGAGAGATCTGATCGGGTAAGCCTGACCGCTGCTGCTGCCTGAAAGAACGATCCAATAAAACACAGCTGTTTCAAAAGGCAAATGCTATCGGGAAGTATGGACACAAGTTTCACCAAAAGCGCTCAGATCATTCTCTGCAACCAACGACGAGTCTGCGCACTGAAAAGAAAACAGCCATACTATCGTTGAATGTACAGTTTATGATTTCATACAATAGAAAACCCACATTAAGATTTTCACTTCTTTTAATATAAATCCTAATGAAACAGTTTCCATGCATGTTGCCAACAAGTAACGACTGTTAGGGGCGGATCCAGGAATTTTTGCAGAGGAGGGGGGTTTCATCAGCACACAATTCTGAAATGTAGACAGGTTTTTTCTCCGGACACTTGGCCTCCGTAAAATAAAAAACTGGGGGGGGGGGGAGGGGGAGGGGGGGGGAGGAGGGGGAGGGGGAGGGGGGCTGGTACCATATTTCAATAGGGGCGCTGTTCAAATTCGACGATTATTAACCATTGATTACATAATGGTGTACAAATACTCCCTATCTAAGGCCAAGTTCGGGCAAGGACCATTAGTCGAGTAGTGGTTGATTTGTGACGTACCTTACGCCTGCGCACTGATAGCAACGTGCGAACGTCTCTAGTCAAACGCTGGTCAAAATGTCATCGCAAAACTTCTGGATCCTGGCTCTCTGCTAGAGTTATGAATGCGCGCAGCTATTGGTTACCAGCGAAGCAACCAACCACAGTAGGCTGGTTCCAAATAGTCGACTAGCGTAGTCAACCACCGTCGACTAGACAGAGTTCGGGCAAACGTTAGTTAACCATTGGTCAACTATAGTCCTTGCGCGAACTTGCTCTAAGCTGCCTCTGTATACGTATTTTGAACAGGCAGACATTATACCAGTATACTTGGGGGGGGGGGGGGGGGGGGGTCGGAGCGGGGGGGGGGGGGGCTCGTATTATTTTTTTAGGAGTTTCTATGACAAACTTTTTTTTGGACAGAGCTGGGGGTGTGACCCCCCCCCCCCCCCAGATCCGCGCCTGACTATTATGCGTGTTTAAAATGTAGGTCGGTGTTTTAGTCATATAAGACTTTATAAGTGTACGGATAGACAGAAACCTATTAACCATATTTTATGTAATTTCCATGTTCATGCCGATTTAATACACTTGGAACTTGTAATCTTTCTCCAAGAACCGAAAATCCCAGGCCTTTAGGGAACGATCATCAGTGACTATAGATAAGGCCTACTTACGATCCTCTTCGCATCGAGGGAAATCACTTGAGCTCCATTCACCATTTTGGCACAAGAAGATACTTGTACCGACCATACGGAAGAACTCATTGCAGAAATAGATCCTTTGGCCACCGTTCCAATTGTACTTAGCATCTGACGGCAAATCGACCCATTCGCCTCCTGGAATCCCATACCGGAGGGCAGTGCATATCTCTGGAAGAAAATTTAAGTTAAGTTATGCGTTAAGTGATTTGTAATAAGAGGTACACTATAGGAGTTATGCATAACCCACAGTCGAATTACATCTCCCATAATAGTTTAAAGGCTAATCAAAGGTGCTGATTTTTTTTTTTAATATCCTAGGTGTTTGTTCAGCTGATATGTACACTTCTCATCAACTATGACAAGGCTTAAAGAGGTATTACGGCCTGAAATACCCGAAAAAGTCACGTTTAGGAGTGTTTAGTTATCCTATTTTAAAGATCTGATTGAAAGGAAACTTACTTAATGTCCTACCGTTCCCGAGAAAAGAAGGGAAAAACCGGTTGTTTACATCGAACGTGGCGGACATTTAATTTGTGGCATACGCATACGTATTTCAAGCTGTGTCTATCCAATGTACCACACACGTTGATCTGAAATACCGTACCCTCTGGAGACATGTGTACAATAGGGAACAAAAGATTGTATACGTCTACGAAAAAGATATATGGATTTTACTCAAAAACTAGGAATTTCTAAGGTGGGTTGATCCGTCGCAAATGGAAGAGTTTTAGAAAAGGGATATTAGGCCAAAAAAAAAAATATTCGGTCTCTGGTCAGACCAAAGTTCCAGAATTGACGCGGGGACGCGGCTTTTTTTTTTTTTTTTTTTTGCTTTTTTTTCTTCAAGCTTGGATTGTACTGACAAGGTGGGGTACTATTTTGCTTTTTTTGGTGTCCTCATGTACACTGGTGCCCTCCATATTTTGCCTTGGTGCTCTCGATCATTTGCCTTGGTGCAATTTTCCATTCCTTGGTGCTCTTTGGTAAAAAAAAAATTGAGGAGGTGCGGCAATAGAGGGCGCTGTTGGAGCTACCGCGGAACATTTTGGAAAAAAAAAAGATTGACGCGCATGATTAAAATCGACGCGCGCGCTGACCAGAGACCGACTTATTTTTTTTTTGGCCTTAAGTCCAAATTTCAGCCAAGGAAATTAATTCTGGTTAAAATAATAGCATTTTGAAACTTCACTTTCAAACTCGAAAAAATTTACTACACGAGAACAAAGAAATGTCTCCACAATGATAACAATTTGAGTGTGTGGGTGTGTGGGTGTTCCTGCATGGCATTACGCCTGAGGACAGACAACAAAAGGAGCACAAAGGGGCCATTGATCCTCGAAGGAAGGTGCCTATTGTCCTCGAACGCAGGTTTGTGTGCTTAGTCTATGGGAGAGTGTTATATTACAGGGACAAAGGAAAACACAAAGCCAATCCTCGGAAGCATAGCAAAAAACGACCAGGTGCGTGTGGGTGAGTCTGGGTGAGCTTGTCTTACATACGCAGTGTGGACTTCCGAACAAAAGACGTCCACATAATGTAGGTAGCAGCGACGAAGTGTGGACTTGCCCACGTCCACACAGTGTTTCCCCATTTCTGGAAAACAGGTTTAGAGGCATTTTTGGGTTAGGTTTATCTGTAGCAGAATGAAGAGAAACACTAAAGGGAATCATTGAAAAAAAATTGGGTTGTAAGAGTTTTCACAGTTTGAGAAAAATGAGTTTTTCCACTGGTGTTCCTTAACTACACGAAAAGAAAGGAAAGTCCACACTAGGTATGTGAAACAAGTCTTGGTGTGTGGGTGTGTGTGCGTCACATAATACACACATCACCAATACACAAATGTTGTTTCTTGCACGTCCGCAGAATACGAAGCGCTGTGTGGCAGGATTAACAACTAGCCTATAACTCAACAGCTCGATTTTTGAGATTCAGAATTTTGACCCCCGAAAATCGTTCTCGCATGGTTCTCGCAAGAATGACACAAAACGCCCAGTTTTTAAAAGCTCTTTCTAATTAATATAGTTTCGTTAAAAATTCGTTCTGTATCCCAATTGGGCGCATTCCAGGCCGTAATTCTCCCTCTTATTGAACTAGTTTATCCGATTTGCGCATAAAACAGGTGCGTATGCAAATGTTTTCTTATCACCCTGTGAGTCACATTGATAGAACTGTTGTACACTGTTGCAGCGGTGTGGGGACGCAATGCACGCAGCACAGGGGATTCTTGGTTTTGATACTTTTCTTAATGCGCCTATCAATTGTTCCCCCCCCCCCCGGGCTGCCCCACCCAAAACGTTGGGATTGTCACTTTTGAAGTGAAAAATGCCCTCCCCTCGAGCAAAATTTAAGTAACAATTTCCTTCATACATACGTGGGGCACACTAGTGATAGCCTTTCCATGTAGTACGCCAATGTAACAATGTTTTTGAGCGACCAAAATCCCCACATTGGGGCATGAAAAACGTGACCTAATCCCGACATCGGAACTGGGGCAGCGGGGGGGGGGGGGAGGCGGGGGGGGGGACATTTGATAAGCGCATAAGACAGTGACTTTTCTGTCGATTTTCTTCAGGGAGCAACGCAAACATATTTCCCTTGTTCTGGGCCCACCGTGACAGCTGGGTTCTTTGCCCGTCCAACGGCCACCTATGCCACACTGTCTGGTATGGTCCCCGTGTAGTTGTTCTCTCCACTTCAGACATCTATAAGTGATACTTTCACCGGAGCTGAAGACAAGCCTGGGAGTTGTGATGCTTAATCCACTGGTCTGTATGTTAGGCCGAATGCATGTTGCCACTGTGGGTATAACCACATGAGACTATTGGTAGAAAAAGGTATGCAACTTGTGATTTGGTAGTTGCTTTGCTGGATATTTGTCCGCGATTGACATTGATGTCATCTCGATATTTCCCACCCGCAGCCCACTCTATTATTAAAAGTTTTGCACGTATGACCATCAAGTCCATTTGAAAAATCATTGCCAATTTTTCTTTCAGGCCAAATGACTACGAGCTAAATGCTTCTCTGTCAGTAAAATACTTTAATCTGCAAACAAAATACAACTACAAATGGTTTCAACACATTATGCAATGTATTCCTGCCGAGCTGATTCAGCTGATACGGTTTAGTTCGGACATGTTAAAAATGCTTACCCTTTGAGAAAGTTAACAACATGTCAATTTAATCCTTATGTAGAGCCGGGTGTTTGGGTCATATTTCCACTCCAGATCTCCCCAAAATTGAATGAACATTTGCAATGAAATTTAGTATAAAAGATCGTGTTTATTACATATTAAAAGCTCCCTTCAATAGAACAAAGCGTTTTATAATCATGCGAATCATAACAATTATGTGTTTATGTTTCTGTCATTTAATAACGGGAGGTTGTTTATTAAAGCAGCCCTCAGGTCGACTTTGTGACGACTCAGAACAGTAGGCGACTGACTTTTCAGGATCAAGCTTCGCCTGAGCTACGACTGTCGGGAACTTCAGTCACCGGGTTTTTTTTTCTTTTCTTTTTGGGCGACCTGAGTGTAACTGCGAAGATATTGAGACGGTCGGCATCAGTCGGCGCTCAAAAGAAATCAACGGTCGCAAGAGAAGAACATTTTCAACTTCTGTGCCGCGGCGCGCCGCGACGGAACAAGGTCCCGACAAGCGAGAATCAATCGCCGTCGACCTGTGAGAAGTTACGACGTCGTACGCTCATCCCGATCATCTAATTCGGTGACATGCGCATGGTTGCGATTATTCTGTGCCAAGATAACGCTTGTTTCACGATAATCACACGATTTCTCAGTTTTGTGACCTGAGCATGACTTTTCTGCTTGATGTCTACTTGCAAGTCGGCCTGAGGCCGGCTTTATAACTTCGCGTCGACAAGTTGGCTATATTTGCCTTTGAAACCGATTATAATCCTCGATGTAACTCACAGTCCTACCTTCGCAGTCCGGCGGAGCGTTACTCCATGTCAAATCATCCAGACACTCAACCGAGTCTGGGCCTTTCAGATCATACCCCGCAGGACACTGGAAAGACGCCTGGGTTCCTATGAGGAGCTTTTCGTCTGATAGCGAGACTGTGCCACCGGGAAATACTGGCGAAGGGCAACTCAAAACTATATGTGACAAAGAAAGAAAACAAGCGCAGGTTTTGATAGGACTTTGGTGGATTTCGTATCCAGGATTGGAATATGAGGCGGATAGATGGCAAAACGGATTTCTTTTTTGAAAAGTGGGAACCATCTTTAAGGAGGAGGCGGGGCTCACTGTACCAGTTCAACTTATGAATTGCTGTCACAAAATGATGGTATGGCAGAAGAATTACGAAGGGTCCTAAGTTTGTTCCCAGTAAAAGATATAAATACTGCTGTTTGTTATCCAAACTCATTCAAACTTACAAATTGTTAATATAATGTGCGACGTGCAATTATTGTTAATCCAAAAGCGTGCCTCGAAATAGTCTTATCCAAGATATTATCAATCGATAATGGACTGCAGCACCTAAACGTTTTTCATAGTAGTACGTTCTCGCATGACTTGTTATGCCTCCATTCGAAGTATGTCGAAGTATACTAGCAAAACGCTGGTGATTCGGGTATAAAGTAAGGCGAGAGTGCGCGTTTTAAATTACCTTCACACGTCGGTACTTCGTTATCCCAGTTGCCATTGGATAAGCAGGTGAGGCTTGCAGGCCCATTCACGACGAAAGATGGAAGGCACTTGTAGGCGACGGTTGAACCATATCGGAAATCCAGTGACATGATGATACCGTTGATTGGTGTACCGGGACTGCTGCACTTCATTCCTATACAGAAAAAGTTATGAATCGTCTGTCACTCCTTTTATATGAAAGAAAATGCTCATGAATAGTGAGCACACAACAAGATTTTTTTTAAATCCTCCATCTATCTTGAATCATTTGGTAAAAAAAAAAACAAGTTTGCTATTTGTATAATATTGGATGGCTTTGGGGATACAAAAATATATTGGACGAGCTTTAACAATATTGCACTATAGTCGAAGATGAGTGTCATATTGTCAGGGGCGTCGCTAGACCATTTAGAATGCCATCATGAAATTTGCCGACGGACCGTTACGCAAAATGAGTGAAATTGATAATTTCCGCCCAAAATGAACGTTTAACTCAATTTGTAATTCCTCCACAAATATGAATGGTTAGTTGTGTTGATTACTTTGAATGGATTTAATTTGTCAGTGGGATAAGTTCAACTTCAAAAGTAAATCGTCAAAATTTAGCTCTATCATATTGAAATGTCACCTAACTGCGTGAACACGCTTAATACGTGTGCACAGGCCCGTTCAGGCCCGTTCCCTAATTCCAGACTCGGGGGGTCTTTAAATCCTAAAGTGGAACTCTTCATACGCGGGGGGGGGGGGGGGGGCGGGGGGGGTCTTTAAATCCTAAAGTGGAACTCTTCATACGCGAGCGCGGAGCGCGAAGCCCTGAAGGCATGGGGTCTAGATGCACTGTGAATTATATATGCTCGTGTTTAGGATGATTGGGATGGGTCATCAAAGTCAGCAAGCTAACCAAGCGCCTGTGTAAGCCCCTTTGCTGGCTGGCGGTTCTTCAAACTCAGTGTGAACCTCTTTTTGAGGAAGTCACCAAGGATAGATGGGTCGATGTTATTTGGTTGGTTGAGAAGTGTACTCAAGTGTTGCTTCCAACGGTACAAGATGTCATCCTTGTCAGTGGGCCGGTATCCCTCAGCATCATTGATATAGACTTAGACTAGTTGAACGACGTCGGGATACAAGCTTCACTGCCTAAAAGAAGGTCTTCGGAACGTGCCACTCGGCATGAGACTCAATATCTTTGGCACCATCGAGCCACCATTGGTATTGCAGCTGGCGTAGCTCTTTCGGGGCACTTGTTTCTCGTTTGACGGCAACGTTGGCGATTTTGCGGTGTATCGTCCTGGAGAACAAACAGGAAGCTGTCGTGTTTTTTTTTCAACGGTTCAATTACGGGTTTTTTTTTCTTCACCAAACGGATCGCGTGGACCAAACGCCTGCCCGTATTGAAAACCAAAAATACATCGCGGGGATTCAAACGCGGTCCCCGAGATTGGCGGATAATGAACCTACCAACTCGGCCATAGCTACCCTTAATGTTTTTTTTTGCAAACTGTTCAGCTTCATCTGCTTTTGTTACAAGCTGAGCGAAATAGAGACTGCATTTTTGGGCCGTGCATTTTATTTGTCTGATTATGCCATGTCTTAAACATCTGTAACGGCAACAATGATCTCTAAAATAATACCATAACAAAGGGATCGTATGCGGGGGCGCAGACTATTTTTTTTTATTGGGGCATAAGGCCAAAAAAAAAAAGTCTCCGGTTTCTGGTATGGAGCTTGCCCCAAAAGTGGTGCGGCGACGCGGCTTTTTTTTTTTTTACCTGTTTTTTTTTTTGGCTTCAAATGTCGGCTGATGACTGCAAATTGTGCCCGACTAAACTTAGTGCAAATATATGGGAGTCCAGAGAGGCCACATAAATCTTATTCTCGATCATAACCCCATCTAAAAACACGTTAAAATTGTGCAGCAGCAGAATTCCAGTCAAACCAGTGAGTTTGGCGGTTTTGAAACATCATCTTGTATTGAAAAAAAAAAAAAAAATTATTTTCCCGACGCGCATGGCTACGGCGACGCGCGCGCATACCAGAAACCGGAGACTTTTTTTTTTGGCCTAAGGGTTGGATTACAGATCCTCAACCTCCGTGTACTAACAGACTGTCTGCGGCTTAAGATGTGCATGTCAGTTGATAACGGTTTTTTTTAAAGTAATTTGTCTACTCGGCGCCGCTGACCCATAAATTCCAAATGTACATGAATTTTGCTATACGTAATATTGTGGTGTTAAGAAATTGGTGAAGTCATTGCGCACTTACTAATGCATTCAATCTGCAGCGGTTCCCAGCCCACTCCGGGGATGCATCTGATGTTTGGATACCGGCCTGTCATAGTGTAACCCTCCTGGCAGTCGTACCGGGCCTCGGACCGGTTATCCGCTACCACCACTACGCCATTCTCAAGTCCGGCAGGTTCGACGCAATCAGCCTGTACGTCAGCTGAAAAGACAAAAAGTAAGCATGCAATATGCCACTATCACACGATAAAGGACAATTTTGAGTCGCATACGCAGTGGCGTCACCAGACTTTTCAGTCTGGGGGGGGGGGGGCACGGGGGGGCACCAGCATTTGATGGGGGGGGGCACTTAGGTGGATACGGATCGCCGTCCTGGGGGAGGGGTCTAAGGGGAGGGGTGCCCTTTGGAAAATTTTCGCATACGGAGGATGGGCTAGATGCAAAATGGTGCCACATTTGATGCTAAATTCGATCTGAAGATATCTCCATAAATTGCTATTTTTGAGGTAATGATTTTAACAACGCGCAGAATTTTGCAGAGGATAGGGGGGCACCAGCATTTGATAGGGGGCACTCGGGGGGGGGGGGGCACTAGGTTTTCCAGGGGGGGCACGTGCCCCCCCCCCCCCCTGCCCCCCCCCCCCCCCCCCCCCCCCTTGGCGACGCCACTGCGCATACGTCTGCCATACTCGCGTCAGTTCAACCCATCTTGGTCCTAAACGTTTCCAAAAGACGCCTGGTACAAAAAAAGGTATTTTATGATCAACTTTAGGCTCTTGGTTTAAAAATGCGTAAAAGTATAACACATAGCAATTTACCATTGAAAATCTTTAACTTTTTTTTCCTTTTCAGAACTCTCTCGTATGTTCAAATAAGTTATCGTTTCGACTGACTTCTGCAGTTTCTTGTCGGCTATGGATTCATGCGAATTTGTCTTTGCTTCGGATTGTCATGGGAAAAAAATTCACGGCGTGCCATTCGGCCAAGACGGATTTTGCCCCACCCATGTATGTCATATTTACTGTTCTGGTAGGTTAATGTTGCATAAATATAAAATTCCAGGTCACAATGTTGATATTGATGTGGTTTTTTTTTTTAGAAACGTGTTTTATTTATTTTATTTTGTATAGAAATGTCGTTATTATTATTTGAACAATGTATTGTTAGGAATTCCACGAAGAAGTTGTCACGGGCATGCAATATGAACGGAAAGAATATATGCATATGAGCAATGCATGGTATGGGAGTAACATCGGTCGGTGGCCAAACAATGATGGCCATGGCTACATGAATTATGTTCAATGGCTTCATTTCTGCACCGCAGCCTGTTGTTCAAGTATTAAAGAATTGACGAGGACCTTGATATTTTAGTTATATAAGGCTCATAAATCATTCTCACTTCATGCATTTTGTTTGTTTTCAATAATAACACCACACAAAATCCAAAGGAGAATGTTAACGGCCTAACCTGTTGAAGTTTATCAGCTCAGTGGATATTGCACTTTTCAAGACAACTGAAAACACTGAACAACTTTTTATCGTGGAAAACGATTTCGTCTACAGCACTCTTTTATTCTTTTCTTTTTACAAAAATCAGTAAGCTAACTGATAGTTGAAAACCTCCTACATTTCTTGATTTCATCTAACTTAAAGCAATCCAGACCAAAAACTCACGGTTTTTTTGAATACCAGTATGATCTTTAATCCAAGTAAGCGTTGGATAATATTTCTGTATACTTTTGGGATATATGCAAAGGATCCTATGTGCCTTTAACAAGCTAATTTTGGTGCCAATGTGCTTATCAAACTATCTAATATCAAGTTTCATCCAAAATCAACCTTGGAGGATATGTTAATTGATTTAAAAAATAGAATTAAAAAAGGTTCCACACCATATATATGTATATGCATGTATTTCCGAAACCTAAACGAAATCCTATCCTAGAATAACTGGGGTCTTGTTAGTTCACAATTTTAAAGAATATAAAATGGCAACAGAGCATATGAAGTTTTTGTGACAGGAGCATTTAAGCACGTTATTATCGTCATTGACATCATCATCATCAGACTGCCCCAAACCTCTACCTGAAGCCTCTACTGCAGGTCGACGGCAAGGATATGTTTGTTCATTTCTATAAATGAAGTGTTGACGTTTTTAGATTTAAAGTTCTCATGATTTCACAACATTTGCAACCATTGGCGTCGCGAGGAGTGGGCAATTCCCCCCTAACGGAATAGCACACACAAAAAGGAGGAAAAAAAGAAGAAAAATAGAAGAAGACGAGGTGCGAAGTCATATTGCTGTTAATGTAATGCACACTTAACAACATGGGTGTCCACAGGGGTGTCAATGGGGTTGGGCAAATGTCCATCCGTCCACCCTAAAAAAAAATAATGAATTGAGAATATGCTAGAGAATATTTAGAAATTGGGTGTAGGCCTATTAGGGATTTTGTTTGTATTTATTTATTTTTTGGAACGTCCCTCTAAGTTGCCAATTAAAAACTTGCTGCATACATTTCACGTGTGTTTATGGAAGCTGCCACCCTTGTTTTACCCGTCGACATCAATATCAATATATAAAGTAACGGGATAGGTATAAGGTACATGTACTTCATTTGTGGCTGTGCTTTTTTTTTTTTTACAAAAATTGAACTTGTAAAAAAAAAAATGGTCATGAATCTGAAACAACGCTAAATATGTATAAGATATAAAAGTTTTTTTAAGAGTGTCCTTCTGCTTAGGTTATTTACCAATACTTAGGATAGAAACAAAATTACACGTGTGTGCCCCTGCTCCGCCCCTAAAAAAACACCCAGTTTGCGACGATAGAATAACACATTATACCCGACCTGATGTCCTGTCCAGGCTCGTATATAATGGTGTTTGTTGTCTTCAAGTGGGCCAAACTATGTGTTTTTTTGCCATGACGTCACAAAGAGTAGACAAGTGTTTTTTTGTGAGGAGCAGGAAGACATATTTCTCTGTCTCTAATTACTATCCCCCTTTTTCTAGACTCATGTGGACTGAAAATCGAGTATCATTTGTTCAACGCAGGCAGGGAGAAACTTACGACTTATACAGTAGGGTGAGTCCTCCGACCACTGGCCAGTCGACGTGCAGGTTGACTCCGCGTGGCCGATCAATTCATACCCGGGATTGCAACTGAAATGTACGGTTGTATCGAAGCCCCCTGGCACCGAGGCGCCCTGGGGAGGAGACAGCCATACCATGGCATTGTTATGGACGGTTATTGGTAGTGGACACGATGAAGTATCACCTTATGGGAGAGAAAGAAAGTAATGAACCTGGTCGGCACTATACCCATTTCGGCAATTGACTGTAACCCAACCCATGAAAAGGGGTCTCAAGTCAGTATAGGCAGAACTACACTGACCATGGAATTCTATATATAGGAACAGTCAACATTTTCCCCTACATACCCAATGATTGAAATGAGATGAGTGAAATTAAAGTCATAAACGAGTATTGAGACATGAAATTAATTTTGTTTAAAAAGGGTGGAAATCGAGAAAGGGACCCCACAAATGATTTGTAACGGCGGTCACATGTTCTCGCTGCTTGGTCGAAATCCACGCTGTATTCAAGGACAGCTAGCAATATGTTCTTCGTTTGTAAAGAGGCGATAATTTTATCGGCATACATGTCAATTTCTTAAAAGTAGACCCAGGACGTTATTCTCCTTTTGTGGCCGTAGTCTCGATTTAACAAGTTAATAAATCAACAGAAGGACCTACTGATATCAACGCAGCTTGGTCCACATCTTCCATCGCACAGGCACTGTTCAGCAGCTTGGCAGTCATCCGTTGTAACGCAAGCCAGTTTGCAGACATGGCGGAGGGAATAGTACTCATCCCGCTCTCCACATCCTGGTTGGATACGAATACGACGTAAGATCGTGATAAGTGCGTCAGGGGCGAACAGAATATCAGGTCAACCAATTTCGAGGGCTTGGCATGAGTGCTTTCATTTTCCCTCCTCGTATCTCGGCTTTTATACCAACACCACTTAAGCTTTGTATGCATATGGACACACCCCACGCATATCGAGGTTAGAGAAAGTTGTACAGTCCAATGAGAGCAAATGGTTTTGTAATAATGTCATAAATAATTTACAGCACACTTTGTTTTAGAGCATCTTGTTTTCAAAACAGATATTCTGCGAGAAAGTACTTCCAAAGATTTTAATTGTTAAACTCTAAAATAATTCAATGAACACACAAGTAAATGTTGAGGGTAGATTCTTCCACGGCTCTTGGTGGAAAAAAAAACAAGTGTCTGCTTACGCACATTATTTTAAAAAACCTTTTTCTAAACCTTGCGCCTTCAGTCAACCTTTAAAAGTAACAACTTTCTCCACAAAATACTTATAATTGAGTACCTTCGGTGACCGTCTGCTCATCGCACTCTGCAGTCCTCGGAAAAACCAGCAAGACTGACACTGCCAATACCAATAGAACGGTTGGTCGAAAAGGAATCACCATCTTCGCTTTCATCGGCTACTACTTCTCTCTATTTGTCCATAAGAGGAAGTGAAAGCAGCAGATATCTTCGCCTCTCCCTGATGTAACTGTGGTTGGTTTTCAAAACATTTCAATGAGTCTGAATGGATATCCCAGTGTTGTGATAAGCGTATCACCTTGTTTATAACATTGGGAATTCTTCAAATTGTTCTTCTATCTATCTTCAAGATATGTTGTGTTGATTTCGGTGGCAAGGAATGCGATATATTTTGTTTATTGAAGAGCGATATGGAAGTATTAACGACAAACCCTGGGAATCTTAGCTTATAGCGCCATTCTGCAGTGCTGTGGACTCCAAACAAGTAATGAAGATGGCGCCGTGCAAGTTGCTTAAAAGATACGCAACAACACTAATCTTCACAAACGGGCGACAGTTAGCACATCTGCGCCGCACATTAGTGGTTAGCACTCTTTTCTGCTACAGTAAGCACAATTTTTTCTGTTTATTGTTAGAAAGCAGCGCGATGAATACTGGCCCCTGCAGATTGCACGCAGAAAATGTATTTGAAAAAAAATGTCAACGCCAACCAAATCATTGCGCACATTGTAAACGCCTCTTTTAATACAGAGTATATAGTGACATAGTATATAGGGTTTTTAAAAGTGAAAGGTCCTATATGCACCATATAAAGCCGTTCTACGAACGTTTGCTACGGAAATCTTGAAAGGAAATTGGACTAAAAGACAGGCTCTATTTTGCGATGAGGGACGACGTCTGTGGGTAGCACCCTAATAAGGCTTGCGACGGAAAGGCGTGTGAGGGTCCAGTAGATAGGAAGTACATTTTACAGTTGCATCAATATGTTTTGCATGAGGTCTGGTGTCCAGATTGAAACGCATGCATAGAATTTCCATTTAATGTGGTCACATCCATTGTATCCTGCTCCGTAAATTACAAAAATATTGCAATTATTGAATACGCATAAGATATACCTGTATCATAAAAAATATAATTGCTTGCTTCGGGTAGGCAGTCAATATTAGCTTCCCTCGGCATTGGAAGTGGCAAACAAGTTTCTAGTGTTTAAGTTTGTCCACTTTCGATGGGCCTTTCAGAGGGTGATGCTTGCAGCCCATCTTTTACGATGGCGGCTACACAAAAGCTAGGTCTATACCGAGAACAGCTTTCCCGATCACATTACCACGTGATTTTCACGAAACTCCTTTCAATGGCGAAAACAACAGCCCCATGATGGATTGTCTGAACAACATGCATGATCTATAAGGGTCCAGACCAGTAAATAGGCCCAAAATTGCCTACACCGGCCATATCACGATTTGCATTCCCTTAAAATCTTCAGTATTTGAGCACACTGTGGGCCATGAACTAAAGGGTTTGTAAAAAAAAAAAAATGGGTGGAAGCCGTGCACAGGACTGTGAGCTTGTAGTTCCGTTCAATTTGTATGAAATTGGGGCCCTAAAAGCGCTCTATTTTGCAATGGAGTGTAGACATCATTTTTCAAAATGGGGATGGGCTTCAGGACTATTTTAAGGGGTGATCATCTTCGGATGGAAATTTCTCCTAAAAGTCATCAGTTAAGCCCCCGTAAATTGAAAAGAAAACGAAATATGATGAAATAAGCTTTAATTTCATGTATGTCTCGAACACCGTGGAGAGTTGTGAGTATTTGTCCCGAATTTAAGTGGGAGCATTTACCATTGGGGTCAATGGAAGTTTATTTACTGGTCTGCAACAGTAAATCGGTCCGAAATTGCCTACGCCGGCCAAATCGCGATTTGCATGCCCTCACATTCTTCGGTATTTAGAGCATTTTGTGGGCCATGAACTGGAGGGTTTGTAAAATAGAAGGGTGGAAGCCGTCCACACGACTGTGAAGTTGTTTTTCTGTGAAATTTGGATGAAATTTGCCCCTAAAAGCGATCCATTTTACAATGGAGCGTAGGCGTCGTTTTTCAAATTGGCGATGGGCTACAGGACTATTTTTAGGGGTGATCATCTTCGGATGGACATTTCTCCCAAACCCCCCAAAAAATTCACAAATGATGAAAATATGAAAGATGATGAAAAAAGCTTTAATTGATATTGAACACCTCAGAGATTTGTGAGTATTTTTAATAAATTTGGGAAGTGCACGTATTTACCACTAAAGGTCTATGGCAGTCTAATTACTGGTCTGTGCCCATTAACGGGCGCGGACATCCGGTTTTCATAGTAAAAGTAAAATAAAATCGGGAAAGAACGTCTGATCAAAATATAATTTCAATGTAAACTTTATAATGGCCAGTCTATATTCAAATGAATGTGTCTCTGGTGCATGTATTTCGTTTGGACTTTATTAAAAATGTTGAGGCGTTAACTTGCCAATGGCTGTCTGGTGTTCTACTGAATATGTTTATGTTGGCCAAAACTTCATTCAAAATTAAATGTTGTTTACTATTTTTTCTTTTTGTCAACAGATTAAGGGTCTTTGTGCAATCGACGCTACCTTACCTCATCATTTGTCAAACAAAGTTCCAATACAGGCAGTATATAACAGTGAAAAGTGGAGAGATCTTCCTCGCATTGGGATATCATTTCCCATCTTGTAGAAACCCAAAGTTTCTTTACCATCACCGTATGAAAGCGTTCAAGGAACAGCTATAATTATGTTTACGTTTCAAGTGCAATGGACGGATAGCAACGGTTTGTAATAAGAGTTAAATTGTTTCTAAAGTTCGCCATTTACAGCTGCCTTCAAAGACAAATAGGCTTTCACCATATTAACGGACGATTCGCTTGTGCCGCGACAGCAATAGACTTGGTTCAAGGCGTTCGTCCTAATATCCGTGATGTTATCTGGCCGCGAAAAAAACATAAACAATGGCCGCACGCTGTGCACTGTGCAAAAACGAACGTACGTTCTTCGAACACTATCGATGAACGCCTTGCCAAAGGCTAGTTCCGTCGCGATGCAAGCAAAAGGCAGGTCGACCCGAGGCCAGCCTTAGTCACGTGTTTATGTACTGACAAATTGTTCCTATGTGTCCCTTTCTTTGGAAGTCAATGTTCTATCAGAACTCTTTTATCACCCGAATAAAAGTGTTCACAGACGCTTGGCATTTTAATGTTAATGTAGAATTCAGTTACATATTCTACGTTTCGTTTTGCACTCTGTTATAGTTCCTGCTACAGAAAGACTTGGTATCCCTCCGGTCTCGCCATAATGCAGGTTAAACGTGACAACATGACCCTCTGGACACAGTATTCACCTAATACTTTGCCGCTTGGGAAATGTATAAATTACTCAAAACTATTCACTTTGGTAATGTCGCTTGGAATATTTATTAATTACTCAAAACTATTCACTACATTGTATCATGCATGTAATACATTTATGAATTAAATTGACTAGGTTAAGAAATTTGAAAAACAAAAAAAGTGACTGGAGTGGGCTTTGAACTGGTGACCTCCAGATTGCCGAATTTTAACTGAGCTGTCCAGTCCTTTGGCAGTTCCCCATTTTGTCAAGGGGCGCTTGTTTCAGATGTCCTTGTTCAACCCATACATCCCTGTGTAGCCAGGGATAACGCCCAAAGTCACGATATAAGCATTGTTTGTTAAATTAAAATAACTACAAATGCCTTGCTAAAATATATTTTGATTGTGAAAAAGCCCAAAGGCAAATGTCAATGTTTACAGTTTTACAATGTTTACAGTCTTAATACATTCATTAGGCCTCAAACGTCAATACCTGGTGTAAAAAGCAGCTTAAAGGTATAGCGCCATTATAATTTTGTACCTTCGTCTGTCATATAACATTAAAAAAAAATTAAAAAAGACACCCAACTCTTGGGCCCGCTTAAAATGTTGAGCCATGATTGTTTTGAACTAGACACGACAGAAGTTCGACGATTGCAATGGACTTTACTGTTACTTTAAGTCTCTATCGTTATTTAAATTGATAAACAAGCTGCATTAGATGAACAAGTAGGTACAAAAACATTTCTTAATTCGCATCTGTTTCAATTTTTTAGATCGAGACAACCTAAGTCTACCTGCTAATACGTTAAGTATTATGCAAAGATTATTATACATGTATCAGAATATTGATTAATGCTCTGTACACAATTAAAAATGCATTATCCTCTAGTTCTTCTGCTTCAGATTCAAAGTTCATTTTGTTTCAGATTATTGGCCTAACTGGGCTTAAACTTCTGAGAGGCACCTGAGAGGCATCATGGGGGCACTGAATATATATTTTATTTACTGTTATATACTTTTGTTCAGTTCAAGAATTAAAACGGGGACGATCCGGGAGGGCACGCACATTTGCCGGCGGGGGGGGGGGGGGACTTTTCCTTGTTCCCCACCCCTCCCCCGTAGTTACGCCACTGTTTCTGCCTAAATTAATTTCGATTTGATCATTTATTTGTATTGCTTCCGTGATTCTATCCCGTTGGTGGTAAGCTGTAACATTACGGTCAGGTGATAGCAATAACTTGAATTTCCTCTTTCTGGAGGGTTGACCTAAATAATTTCCGCTCTTCTTTTCTTTCTTAAGTAGAAAAAAAAATATGAACATTTATTTATAGATAACCATTATGAAACCGGCAGAACCGGCATTTGCACCTTCACTGCCATAACACTGCACCAAATATGTAAAGTGTAAACGTGGTTATATCAGCGACTCTTTTGTGGCTGCCTACCTCGTGTTTTTATATGAATAAACCAGAATAAATAAATAAAAAATTGTTGTTGTGAATTTGAAATCACATTTTAACTAATGAGCCCAACAACGTTCTGGAACGATATTAAAGTATGTTTTACTGGAATTTGCATAATGCAAGTGATAAAGTAACCGGGAAAACCTATATCTTTACCCCTCCTTTACGATGCATGTAAAGTACCTCATATACATCGCGTTGCATCCAGACTCCAACCAGTCTTATTTACCGACCAAGCACATATTTATTCCCATTCATAAATACATTTTCGGTAAAAAAAAAAAAAAAACTTTTTGGTCCAAATGTCAACACAAGTCAAAATTAAAACAATTTCCAACGATTTCGTTCAACAATTTTACTTCATGTTTTTCGAAACACCCCTCCGTTTTAATTCAGTCAATGTACGATATACACGTTGTCAATATAGCACCGTGCTTACGAAAAGCGGTGACCAATCACCAATGCACAAAATTGGGTGTCTCACACGCCCGCAAAAGGCGACCACTTTACGGATGAAATCACAACTAGCACCCAAAACGCTCGACTTTTTGGGGTCGCAAAAGTGGACCCCGTAAAGTCGTTTTTGCACGCATAATTCAGGAATAACACAAACACGCCCAGTTTTGAAAGGATAGTTGTGTGGATGTTTTATAATCTACTTAATGTTCTTTCCGATGAACATGGGCTGTTCCAGGACGCAGTGTCCCTTTAGTGAATTGTTAATAAATGCATAAATGCAATGGTATGACAAACTATGCTCTGTGTTGTGATGATGGTCCATTGGTCTGACACACCCTCTGAGGTAATGAATCCCCCCCCCCCCTCTCTGCCGTACAAATACCAAAGTAAACTCACAACACAACAGCCAACTACAGTGTGCGTCAAAAAAACTATACACTTGTATGATTGGCCATAGTTTTATTCTGTTGCAATATAGATAAGATATTTTCATACTTTTAGAGTAACTCTTCCTGCTTCTTTTGGTGAAATTTTCACTGGATTAGTTTTGATGCATGACTGCACAGGAGACAATTAAAGGGGTCGGGTGAAATCTGACTTGCGCCAACTGGTCAGTGCTGGATAAGAATGAGACAATTTAAAAGGGCACAACCATTGTCTCGGTTCTGGTCATGGAATGCATAATCAGTTCAGATTTGAGGATCTTGCTTTCAAGAGTTTCAGAAGCCAAATCTGGATGACCTCCAGGAAAGGATAACTCGTGAAACTGACATTCTCAGACAACTTGACAGGGAGGTGATTCGCCGTGCTGTTGCAGGAATGATGCACCGAGCCTAGCTGTGCATTGAACGAGATGGTGGCCATGTTGTGGACTAAGACACCGTGGAATTTTATTGCCTTTTTTAATTTAATTTAAATGTTTAAAATAAACACGAAGTTTAGAAGGTTTTTTTTTTTTACCCAACAGCTGTTCGCATTCTTAATGATGACACTTTAATAGTGTGAACATGATTGCAGTTTTTAGGTGTAATACTATGGCATACATACTAGTTAAGTTTTACTGGCGTCTTCATGTCCTACTATTTTATTGTAGCTGCGATTGTATATAGGCCATACTGTTTTAGAATTATTGATATAATTATTATGTATATTTCTGTTTGTTCTTGCTGTCTTTGTAATTGTAATTGTAAATGTGTACATGTGATCTTTTCGTGTGTATTTTCGTATGTATTTTAAATGTTTTAGGCACGCAAAATCAAAGAGCATTTCACTGTATATTTATAAATATGTGTGACAATAAATAAATAAAATGAAATTGAAAAGCTAATGAAATCCTGTTTCGTCTCTTTGTTAGACAATGGTTGTGTTATTTTAAATTGTCTCCTGTGCAGTCATGCATGAAAACTAATCCACTGAAAATGTCATCAAAAGAAGCAAGAAGAGTTACTCTAAAAGTATTATGAAAATATCTTATCTATATTGCTACAGAATAAGACTATGGCCAATTTTAAAAGCGTATAGTTTTATTTGACTCGCACTGTATAGGTCACATGTAATTATTATAGGCCTGCCATGTTTTGTGGGGTTCAGTTTTGTATAGCATAGGGTGCAGAGCCAATGTGATCTTGGACCCAATCTTTGTAAGCTGAGAGTCTGGTGTAAATTCCATATCGACCCTTTTGAGCACAGCCTTCTCCCCAGCTGACAATGCCTATCTGGACCCATCGTTTGCTGCCGTCTGCAACGGTCATCTGCCTCATGACTGGCCCTCCCGAGTCTCCCTTACATGCGTCCTGGTTCCCTTCTTCATAGCCTGCACAGAAAGCTAGGTCGTGCTTGTAATTAAATTCACTGTACTTCTTGGTGTAGTTTAGTTTAAGACTCTCCCGACATTCTTTATTTGTGCGCATAGGCACAGCAAGTTGCTTCAGGTATTTTGAAGAATCGTGACGGCGGCATTCAGAGTCGATGTTACACGTTTGGTTGGATCCCCAGCCAGTTACGAAGGCGTCTCCACGTTGTGCATAAATTGTTGAATCTAGATGAATTTAAACCACAAGCTTAGTTTAAGGCCAAATAAAACAAGACGTATTTTCTGCGCCCATAATATATCGACCCCATACAATGTTATCGCCATTTAGTGACCAGTTAGAAATGTTTCTTGAATTCCAAAAGAGAAAACGAGTGATACACTATGCATACTTTATGAACGACCGAAAATCTTCCCAATTGGCAGAGGAACTATTGGCATCTCTACCCTATGTCATTACATGATAATACATCTTGCGCGCTACATGAAAGCAATGCTCTGAATTAACTGGCTCTAAGTGTGAAAGTTTCGCAGACATTTTCTTGATTTCGACCTCTACAACTGCGGTGGATTGACCGTGATTTCCAAGACTTGGGACCGGCTGCATTACCAGACAAAATTCCAAATCCAGACTTAAACCAATATAAGATAGGGGAGCGATAAAGCTGGTACCGGAAATCCAAAACAACACTTCACAAAATGACCACGTCCCCGGGTCAATGATTCTGGAGTCACCTCACCTTGCATTGTTGGCTGTGGCATGCAGACAGGTCTCACGCTTGGACTGAATGTAGCATTCCGGCTCAAACGCAGCAGGGCTATATCATTATCAAGGTTGTGGTCATTGTATTCTCCATGTCTTATCAGGGCGTCTTCACCATCCAAGTTGTACACTAGGGATGGGTTAACATTTTGTAGTTTTCTCTTGGATTTGTTGATTATACCTGAAACATAGTTAAATAAAACGAGTTATTTTTCGATGTTTGGAAAAGGGATGGCACTATTACATTCAGTTACACTTTTTCTCCGGTGACGTGTGTGGCTTGAATTGGATTTTAAGCATGAATTAGTTTTTGCCGGTTTTGTCCGATGAATGTTTGAGTGGGCGGACATAAGAGAATGGGTGACTATGGTAGGTTGGGTAATCAAATGTGTAAAGGTGCGAGCAGAGGATTATATTCGCAAATCCTCTAGTTTAGCAATAAGTGAATTGCCTGGGCATAGGACTAGAGTTATAACCAAGTCACCACTGCAAGTCAAATCCAGGACGTGCAGTTTCAAGTCAAGTGACAAAATGTTGCAACTCAGAGCTTGTTACTTGTGACTAGAATTATGGTGCAACCCAACTACCCATACCAATTACTGAACGACGTTTCTTTCACTCCTACCTGTGTATACTCTGATGTCAGACCATGGGCAGTGGTTGTCTCTGAAGCAGTGTGCAGCTGTCAGAACCCAGTTACGAGCAATGAGACTACCACCACAGAAAAACCTGGGCTGGAAAAGTACAAATGAACACTTTAAACAGTTCCTCTCGGGTGTGCGTTGTCACGTACGTACCAGTTCTTGAGAGAACTGTCTATTGATGCTGGCTAAACATAACTGTTCTAGGCCGACTCAAGTTGAGGGGATGAGCACGTACCGCCTGTAACTCTAAAAACTTTGGCAAAATAGGGATTGCTATTCGGTGAATGTACTGACCAGACGATGATGTACAGATTAGCACGCGACTTTTTTATCAGAAGAAAGAAATAGTTTAATCATACCACATATCCATCAGATCCTGTAACATCCTCACAGAACAGAGCCACTTGCCAGGGCCATTCGCCAGATTTAGCATTATCTCCGCCGACTATTCTTGACGAAGGCTGTTGATGTGATTTTCCATTGCGCCCGCATGGCGAGTAGTCTGAAAAATAAGATGAGCAAGGGATAAACCTTTTGAATGGTTCTGCATCCTCAGCCCAAGCAACAAATGCATGTAGGCCCTATAGTCTGTTGCGACGGCAGGACACCAACATCACAAAACACAAGCAACACAATCACAGAAAAAATGCAGCCAATACAAACACAACCAACAAATACCAGGGGCATAAAGCAAACGAAACCACCACAACAACAAATGACGACACAAACAACAAACAACAACTTGAACAACAAAGAATACCATACAGCACTTACAAGCAACAACAACAAAAATGGTACAATCAACAATAACAAACCACAAACAAAACAAAAACACACACAATAATAATGCAAAAACAATAAAACCAAAACACAAATCGGATTCTCACCCAATTTCTGTCTCGTAATAACCTGGGCCAGGATGTTAAGATCCCAATAGTCTTTTATCAAGAACATGTTATCTTGGCCGGATGCAATCGCCCTCAGTTCCCTGACATCTGTTTCGAGGCCAACTCCAATACAGTGGATTTCAAAATGATAATGCTCGCGCAGGACTTTTGCTTCTGTCTCTGGCAAGCCAATATGGGCACCCATGTTTGTTTTGCCTATAAAGGAGACATTTAAATACGGTTAGACATTTCAGAAAAATAATAAACTGTTCAAGTGTTTCTAAGAACTGTGAATTAATCACGTGTTGCATTATTAACTATAAATCATTCGGGGGAAAATGAATTCAAATGAAAACATTTTAAATGTTAAACAAAGAAAAACAATCTTCAGACATTTAACATACCTCAGAAATGCATTGAAATTAGCCGTACATGAGCTCCAATGTATAAGTTTATCAAATGCTATTCTTTTTGTGTTTTTATAGTGTTTTTAAGTATGTCATTTCAAACGTTTGTTTTTATATCAACGTGAAAAGCAACCGTTGAACATCACAAAAGACAACAGGAAAAAAATACCCAGAAAAGTGTATTTTTCCCACTGAAAAGTGCCATTTCGACCTGCAAAAGTGTCTGCTGAAAAAAATAACTCGGATCCTGGGGCAAATCTGACCACGGACTTCTTTAATATAGATAAGTGTTAAAAATAATACCTGGGAAAACCTTTAAAACTAAACGTTTTTCAACACTGCCTATGGTTCATGTATTATAATGTTCGGGCCTTAAGTTAAAGCCTGGTGTGGATTACAATTATTTTTTTCAATAAAGAACCAAGCAGTTACCATCTGTGAAGAGGAAAAGATATTTCTTTGCTGTCCTATCATCTTCCTTTATGTTTTCGTGGACAAGCTTGAGTGCTTTGCCCGTTGCTGTTCCCTTTCCTGTGGAAACAAATTGACCAGAACTTCTCAGGAATTCGTGTTATGTCCGTATATCTAATTATATGTACGTATAATTCAAGATGCTGTCTGGTGTCTGCTGTTGTGAGATTAGTGACATTTTCTACGCTTGGATTGGAAAGAATTGCACCGTGATCGTTATAAATTCTTGTGTATGTATTAAGTAAGAAGTATAACTTTTCCTGGCTATTTTAAAACGTTTATCATTCGAATTTACCGATTCTGATGTTCAAATTCGTCCACAGGTCACCTGCATCGATTTAGACACACTTCCAGTGTTTAATTTCGTCTTTTGTCAGACAATTTCAAATTTAAATCAGGCAAAATTTAAACTAGGAGCACACATTTTCGTCACGGAGTATTCGATTTCGTCTCATCCACGCCTTGTCATTCAGAATCAGATTCGTCTAATGCCGCACAATTTAATCCTAATTTTGTTGAATTTCGTCACACTTCATTGTGACATCTTCAGCTCAAGGCAGGTAGGAAGCTAATAAGAATAATTCTGCACTTTATTCTTTCCTTGTTTCCTCATCGATTTATTGTTTGATTTTGATTTTATCTTCTTAAAATAATGCTAGCCTCAATATTTTAAGTAAAATTATTACACTGTGACTTAAAGATGAAAGAATCGTGGTTTTTGACATTTTTCTTTAGTTTCATTTTAACACTTTCTTTTCGTTAGTTTATTTTATTTATGTTGTTTTGTTGATCTTTGTAATCTTTGCACTTTTCTTGGTAACAATAATTATTTGAGTTGAGTTCTCTACTTGGTCCGACGAATCATAGGTCTCTACAAGTCCGACGCCTTATTTGTCCGACGCCTCATAAGTCCGACAAAATCTCATCCCCCAACCAAATAAAGGCCGAAAAGTTCGACGCCTCGTAGGTCCGACAATTAAATTTTAACTTTTATTTTGGTTCATAAGTCCGACGCCTTCCCCCACGGATCGCCGCCACTGATATCAAATCCACTGAGGGCCGGATGTTCGCAAGTTCCGACGCCTCCTAAATCCGAAGCCTCGTTTGTCGGACGTCGGACTTGTGAAGCGTCGGAATTATAAGGCGTCGGACTTACCTTATGATACGACTCCGATAAAATCATGAGCTAGAGTGAATATGTGCCGAATCGTGCTTAAGGACAGGTGGAACCCATAAGAAAACACAGCTTGAAATTGAGTGGTAAATGACTAATTGGTTTTGGTAAAAGCGTGTAAAAAAAATCGGACGAAATTGAATGTTAGAGTTTGTGAATTTGAATGAAAAACGTTTTAAAATAGCCGGTCCAAACCTTTATTACTTCAGTGATGTACACTGCTTGGTTAACATAATTATTGGGTTTACCTATTTGGTAGTAGTTTTGTGATAGGCGTGTGATCATATCATCCAGAGCAAAGTGCACAACTCGTACGGTCCTTTGAGGTTCGGAGACATGAATAGCCATTCGAGCCTTAGATGCAAACAGACAGACTCCATACCGAGCACGTGGGCGACCGTTAGCCTCACCAACCTAGACAGACAAAATTGTGACAGAATCTGTGTCGTCATCCAGAAACTGTCCACAGCTGACAGCACTCCCTCACTCTGCATAGCGGGGGGGGGGGGGGGGGGGGGGGTTCACTGTGTGTGATCATGGAGGAATTCCTCCATGCTGTGATCAACCATTAACCCCGATGTATATTCTTGTAATGAACAAATTTCATACACAGATTTATGTAAATCTTTACAAAGCTCAAACGATTTGTTTCCAGAATTAGATCATTATTTGTTGACAGACCAAGGAACAACAAAGAGACTACAGATGAAGGTTCATACCTGTGTAACAAGAACTTTGGCCAGGTCCACGTAGTATTTGAAGTGAGCCTTTGGAATGCTACCAGATGCATCAAAAACAAAGTAGATATCCATCCCTCCAGGGTGTCTGACATCTATGAACCTCCCTCTGGGACCTGGTGCATTGTCGGCGGTGGTGGTTTCCAGATTGGATGCAAGGCCTTCGATGTCGTATGCCATCCTTGCTGCCACCTCAACGCTGTCATCAAAGTCATACGGCCCTGTAGGAAGAGACTTTTTGTTTTACTGACCGACAGAATAATGACTGGCAACTGAAGCAAGAAATAAACTGAACCACCATATTTCTGAGAACCGACCGCGCAGTGTATTAAACATAGGCCTACAAATAGGATGACTTCAGTTTATAAAAATACAACCTTTGTTATTCTCCTTTTTATCAAACTGTCTTAACTCTATTACCTCGACATGTTGGAGGTTCCCCGCTCCAGCCTCTTGATTTGAGGCACTCTCGCTCATCTGAGCCTAGCAACACCCTGTTTCTGTTGCATTCATACGACACTCTTTCGCCTTTCCGGAATCGCACACCCCGTGCATTAACCATTCGCCCTCCAATAGGAATGCCAGGGTTTGGGCAGTAGAAACCTGTCATGAGAGAAGAAGCACACAGTGAGAAACACTTTTTATGTTTGTTTTCACGATTGTTACTATGCGCACCCTTCTCTCTTCCTTTCTGGTGAGTACAGTTTACTTCTTTATCTGAAAATTCAATCCGGATTAGAGCGGGGCCCAATTTCATGGCTCTACTTACCGTTAGCAAAAACTCCCTGCTTACTGTAACAGAGAAATCCGTGCTCAGAATGAGCGTATTTCACGGGTAAGCGAGGAATTTTGGTTTCTGCGCATGCGTACATCCCATAACTAAGGATTCCGTGATTATAGGCGGTTGTACGAGTGTTTGATATGCCAAGAATTTGGCACATTTACTGAACACAGCGGACTCAAAGTTTGTGCCCTGATCGGAGTGAATTTCGTGGGACACCCCAAACTGACAGACAAAGTCATTCACCAATGTGTGCGCGACTGTAACTGCAGTAGCGGCAGGAGGCGGAAATGCTTCCATCCACTTAGTGCAGTAGCCGCCTACCACCAACACCCAACGATTACCATTGTCCGTTATGGGCAATGGACCGAGCAAGTCTATTGCTTCTCGCTCCATCGGAACACCGACTCGGTATTGCTGTAAAAGGGTACGACCCTTTTCTTAGCAGCTGACTTCTTCTGGCACATACATTGCGGCCTCGGAGGAATGACCGCACGTCCGCAGATATGCCTGGCCAGAAGTACCTGGCTTTGACTTTGGCCAGAGTTTTAATGACCCCAATCTGACCAGATCGTGCAACTCAGACAAAATGCCCTTACGGAACTTTGATGGCAGCACAATTAGCCACCGGACGGACTGTCTGTCATCGGAGTCCCCCCCCCCCCCGCCTATACAGAACTCCTTCAATGACCTCCAACTGGTCCCACTGCGACCAATATGTCTTGCAGGCTGCTGACAAGTGGGAACCTGTCTTCCACTCAGGACGACCATCACCCTCTTCTTTCAACCTCATGAGGAAACAAACGGTATCATCCCGTAACTGTGCTTCCCTTAAATAACTTGGTGATTGGGTGACTACGCCCTAAAATAAAAAAATCACCACGGTGAGATTGCCCCTCAGGCACCACACCAGTTGCCTTATCCTCACTAACTAATATCACGGCCGCACTGTTTGCATTACTGTCTCGACAAACTATCAGCATTTCCATGCTACTTGCCGCTTCCGTGTTCAACGACTATTCCATCTTGCCAGCTGACTCTCGGGGTTCTTAAACTTAAGTACCCATCGCAATGCGCCGTGATCAGGTCTGACCGTCACTCTCCTGCCGTACAAATATTTACACTTCCACATCCAAGAAGTCTTTGTGAGTGACACAGTAGTTTCGCTCAGGTTTACTGAGCATCCGGCTCGCATACACCAGCGCAAGCACTTTTTCAAATTTCGTCACCATCTTGGACCTGCGACAACACCTCCCCGATACCTTTACCAGGTATGACAGAACTAGAGCGGCATGGAGCCTGCTCTTCAGCTCGTCAAATGCCATCTGACAACTCTCAGTCCACACAAACTCCTTTGATTTCTCGGTCAAGGCATAAAGTGACTCTCTCGTTCTCTGCAAACCCCTGTATGAACTTCCGGTAGTACGATGTGAGGCCCAAACGCTTCTAACATCTCGTACACACCTTGGAACTGGCCTGTTTGCCACTGCCTCAATCTTCTGGGGATCCGTGGCTACCCCTGCCTTAGGTAAGCCTTTGAAACACAGGACACTTGCTTGGCTTCAATTTCAGCCGGGCGTTTCTCAGCCTGCCCAAGACAACTCGGAGACGATCCAGGGTATCCGTCACCGTTTGACCAAACACGACAGTGCCATCCAAACAAATCAGTAGGATTTCCCACCGCAAGCCGGCCATGACCTTTTTCATGAGCCGCTCAAACGTTGCCGGGACGTTGCACTGCCCGAAAGGCAAACATTTCCACCGGTACAACCCGTTTCTCACAACAAATGTTGACTTTTGGCTGGTGTCCTCATCCAGAGCGACTTGCCAGTACCCCGACGCCAAGTCAAGCGTACAAAACCACTTCGCCCGGCTCAGCGCATCGAATGTTTCATCACTGCACAGCACAGGATAGGCATCCTTGATGGTAACCGAATTCAACTTTCTGTAATCAACACAGACGCGCTTTGTACCACACATCTTGTCAACCAAAACAATATTTGCCGCTCATGGACTGTCGGAAGGTTCAATCACCCCCCCCCCCCACCCCCTCTTCTCCTGATCGCTAACTTGCCTCTGGATTTCTTCCTGATGGCAATACGGATGACGCCTCATCCGTTCTTTCATCGGCTTAGCATCGCCAGTATTTATGTAAGCTTGACTATCCGTAAATAACACGTCCTAGAAGTCTACCAAACACTTCTGGGCATCCCCATGGTACCTATCCTCTACATTGGCTGTACCCCTTTCATGCAGATCTGGCAAGTGCTGGGGCAATTCCTACCTCGCATTTGCCACCACATCCAACGCACCATGAATTGAACTGTCCTTGGAGATTACTCCAGCTGTCGTCCTCCGTCACGGGCAACTATTTTCTCCTTCCAGGGTTGAAGACTCGCAACGGAACAGCGCAACAGTCTAGAGATCCGGTCAACACCAAGCCTATCTTGGCTAAATCGCCACAGCCTTCTATCGGTTCCAGAAATGGCTGGCCCGGCCAAGTTGGGACCCTTCTGAGCAATTATACCCGGGACCGTAGTTTTGGGAACTATAACTCGTCCCAAAAAGGGCTCGCCTGCACCATTCGTGCACTTGATTCGCTCACATGAGCCTCCACTCAAACAACGGAAGTCTAAGTGTCCACCCATGGGCACCGGTAAATCAATAACAAGGATACCACTGTGCTTCATTTCGGCAAACACCGCTTTCACTTGGTGCGTTGCCCTACCAACTTGCACCTCAACCCAAGCTATATACCCAGCACAGCTAGTTCACTACCGTCAACTTGCTTCACCTGAACGTCTTCCGTCTCCAGGACGGGTCTCTTCTCCCTTGGGATTCGGTAATACACCATACTACTTATCAAAGTGTCAGTTGCCCCCGTGTCAATCAGTAATTCACACTTGGTTGACCTTACCATCCCATTCACAAACATATCGAATTGAGGCAGAGTAAATACTCGTTGCCCATCCTCATATTTGGACCTCTGTTTCCATCACCATCGCTGTCACTGAGTCGTCTTTTGGACCCTCCATACCATTTAGCCTTCCCACGCGTCCTATGCGGGGCTGACTGTTGTGTTGGAGTGCCATCCTACCTCGGAGTTTTCTAACACTCCCGGGCAAAGTGCCCTTTCTCATCACATTTGAAACACTTCAAGTTACCAAATTCGGCCCTTGTGTGTCTTAGGAGACAACACGCCCTTGCCCTGACCCTGGCCTTTAATCTGACCAGACAATGACTTCACCAACTTGGCCACAGATTCCAAAGTCTTGGCCTGCTTATTGAGACTTTCCTCTAGAGTCTCAACCTCTGTTCTGTTACGGAGCCCAAGGCCCTCTCTAATTGAGCGGGTTTCCGGTCCAGCAATTTGTGCTGTTCGACCTTAAACTTTCAGTCTCCAGGGCATGCTGCTTCGTCGAAAGTTTTCGGACGGGCCCTATTGATGCCCTCCCTAACTGAATGATTGTCAACGGCGTCTATGAAGAGGTTCTTCGCCAACCTCTCCCGAGCATCCTCCTGCATCTCACGGAATGCTCTCGCTGCAAACTCGTGAGTGGATAATTCCAGCAAGCTCTCCTTCGGCTTTGGGTGCCGATATCTCAGTTCAACGAGATAATGTTCACTCCGTCGAGCTGACCCAAACCTGCGCTCCATCCAGCAGCTTGACAAGTGCACTGTTCGTGTACTTGTGGCCTGAGTCAACCGACAATCGTAGAGCATCTCTAAGCAAGCTTACGGCTAACCACCTCGTAACCTGCTCCTCGCTCAACATGTTTACTTTTTTACTAAAGATGGCGGAAGTACTTTCCCACTATACGGGTTGGGAATAATGTTTGGCCTGCGACTTGGTCGCTCCCAACTTTCCTTCTGACCCACAGTGGACACGTGACTCTCGTTTCAGTGGCCAAGGACCCACTGCACTGACGAGATGTTAACTGCAGTTGCTCTTTGCCTCGACTGGTCGAGTTACGAAGCTTAACAGTTGATGGCTATGTACCAGTGTAGGGGTATCCCCATATCACCAACAAACGAATTGGTATTCGCCTAATTCTTTCCATGCCACCTTGCCCCTACAGGAACAGCGTTAGGTCGTCCATGCATTGACCCTTTCGTTCCCTGGAAAAATGCGTCGACTGCGCTCGGGAAAATATCCCTGAGCTCTGTCCCTTCCGAGTCATACTTCCATACTTTCCAAGCGCACCTCCCTCCCCACTTTAGGGACAAACTCAGGCAGCACATTTGCGCCAAACACTCTCTCCGTTGCTCCCGAGGCATACCCAGAAGTCACTTCGGGCAACCTAAGCTCAAAATCAGAATTAACTCGATGGACCACACGGCTTCTCTCGGCTTGCGTAACCGTATTTTCTACCTTTGCAGGGAAACACCCTACTGCAATTCCAAGGTAGCCTCCAACTCCTTTGCAATGACGTCATTTTACCACTGCAGTAATTTGGCTTCCATTCGCAGTCGTTGCACCGCGGCCCTCGCTCATAGTTCAAAACACACCTCCACAATAACCACAGAAACCTACCGACAATCCACAACACGTGCAACTCAATTGTTTAACAGTGAAATCAACTTCATCAATCACAATCATCCCACTTCTGACAGCATTTGTGGTGGGACCTCCACGGGCCAACACAAGTCTGTTAGGACCAAGTGTGACACCTATTGGGTGCCGGTCAAGATGCTCTTCTCAAATCAAGGCTCTTCCCAAGACGAGAGACCACTCAGAGCGACCTCAAGGCTAAGGATGCATGTCCGTTTTTGTGGAAATATACCACCGATTGTGAGTGATTGTTAATACCCTGTTAATTGTACAATGAACCTGTAACAAAGACAGAACTTTAAGCAACAATGATCATTTATTCAACAATAATCAATAAATGTACAGATATTGAAATTAATTGGCGTGGTTGTTTTATTATCTGGGTCCTGTAATTATAATTGGGAGACAAACAAGTGTTCACATATCAGCAGCAACGCCGACAGCATCAGAAATGCACAATGTAAGCAATAGACCACAATGTAAGCAACTACTAAGTCAGTATAAGTGAGCAACAGTGTAAGCAATGTACCACAGTGTATACGTAATGCACTACCGCACCAGCAATGCCCAACGCGTAAGCAATGAACAATCTTTTCAGCTTTGTACTCGATTACGCTTCACCCCTGCAAGCTAGCGTCAGCATCGCACAGTACTTTGTACAGCTGCACGTCAGCATATGCAAAACGTAACTTTAGCACAGTAACGGCTTGTACCGACAACGCAAGTCAGCATTACACACAATACGGAGTGCAAGCATCGAGCCACCTTATTCTTCGCTGTCCACAGCTAAACTGACCTGCGTGTCCACGTGAGTACCCCTCACGTAATGTACCTACGCGCATACATGCACTATACCATATAAGCCTTTGGGAACCAATCGCATGCGTGCATTCACGCACTAAGCGCTAGATTTAAACCCTGTCCAGTCACGCACGCACTACAGTAATTCATTCATAACATTAGAATACAATAACGCTACATTAGCCCTAGACTGACAATAGTCCTTTCACTTTCCGTTACGGTATTTATACCACCATGTGTGTTCCAACCGCGTGCATCATATGCATAGGGCGCAGTGCTGCACGCATGTCTGACTTGTGCACGCATGTCGGACAAAAATCACGGCTATGATTGGTTAATTAACACCAAGGGGCGGGGCTTTAATAAATCGATATATTTCAGAGCGAATGTTTTAATTGTATGTTCTGCTCTGAGCCATCCCAATAGACTGATGCATTACGCCCCATTCAGGTGTGTTTTGACCAATCACTGCCGTGATTAATGTCCGATCTGCGTGCATTTTGTGTATGAAGCGCGCAACTGGAGCATTAGACTGACGCTTCGGGACAATATCGCGCGTAGTTGAAGAGCTCACTGGATCGGAAGGATGTCATCCTAATGGATAGAGCACATGCTTCCAAACATGCCTGGCACCACAACGAAAGACACTTAAGTCATTATGTGCTAAATTTAGAGTGAGGAAACTGAACTTGCCCTCTTTGATAAACAGTCTGTTGAATAGATATGTTCTACCATTTCTGTGTTAGTAGAATGGTGAATACACCTCATTGGATTGAACATTGGAACGGGAACAAATCCCGACCTTCAAGAAAACCAAGAAAATTTAGGATACTCCATATGTATATTCTGACACTTTGCATACAGTGTGTTCATGAAGGCCTACAATTTGATTCGGTTATCCTGACCAAATTTGCATTTTAACCCGTCATTCAATAAAACTGGACTCACTTTGTGGTAGAGTTTTCATGGTAATAATAATTTTTGACAAGTGCAGTGGAAACCCAGGCGACTTACTCTCATGATCGCATGTGGTTAATGAACCATTCCACTTCCCATTCGGTAGGCAGTGCCTGACTCTTGATCCTTGGAGGCTGTAGCCAGATCGACAACGGAAAGTTACACGTCCTCCTACCTTCCGGGACTCTAGGTACCTACTTCCTCCAAACTGGATGTGACCGGGGTCTGGACATTCAATTTCTATTGATCAGAACATGGCAAATATAGTAAGTAGTTTATTTTTGAAACTGATGAATTTAATTCCATACAGATTCGCTCATACATCAGTACGAGATAACAAAACTGTTTGGGGCTTCATCCAAATAATAAGGATTTCATGTGGAGGTAAGACAGAATGAGCTAAGAGACCAGAATGTCATGTTAAATAAGTCATTATAATTACACCGATTTGGTCCAGAAGGACCGGCAAGGGGCACATTGGGCCCTAAAACCAACTTCCAATTTCCATATGTTTCGCCCCCGCCCCCGATTTCCGAGCATGATTTTGCAGCATATGATTCGAACAGTATTTGTAACATGGTGGTGGTGGTGGTGGCGATGGTTGTTGCTCTAAAAACGTCATCCTAGGCCATAGTTTAACATTATGTAGCATAATTGTACTTTCAAATTTGATAAAATCGTTCTTTGATTTAACAGACATCCATTTACATTACACTTTTTTTTGTTTTTGATACAAAATTAAGTACTTCTGGTAGCGTTACAAATGCTGTACATCTTCTCAGACAGGAATTATCAAATGAAATCCCGAAAAACAAAGACAATTGAGTCCATGGCGGCCATAATAATATCCCTGTTATTTTTTGTACTTGATCCGTTTACATTTTTTTTTTATAAATAATAAAAGTAATATAACCAATGTTTTGGTTGCCCTTGCCTCCTCTGACATCCCGCGCGATTGCTAATGGTATTACAAGAGACATTATAAGAAATTAAACCAAATGTCATGCTGATCTGCAAGAGCATTCCTGCAGACAATGACAAAACTCCTAGAAGGGGCGCATATTGTGCGCTTCCCCCTCCAGCATCCAATCTTGATGGGTTAGAGGTCAAAAGGTATTTTTTTATTGATTAATCAAAGCTTGTCTCAAAATGTCCAGTTTAACTAAGACATTACATTTTGCAATGTAATGTGTACACTCCTCAGCAATGTTGTCAACCTGCTAGACTAGTCCATAAGTGGATAACTACAAAAAAAAGATGTTGACATTGTTGGAAAGATAAGTGTAGGGCCCACCTGTATAGCTGCCGAAGATGTCAGCATTACTAGTTGATAAATAAGCAAATAGAACAAAAGTGGAAAATATTTTAGAAATTCTCTCTTTCTCCAGTGCTGAGGTCGAGTCCATTACATTTCCGGTCACAAATCGCTAATCCTTTCTCAAGGCCAATTACAAGTAGCAGTGGATGAACAATAACTGGCACTTTTCATATCAACCTGAGACTGAATTACTTGTGATTGATTTGTAGGGACTTGTGAGGACTTATGAGGACTTGACAGGACTTGTGAGGATTTGACTACAAAACCGTATAAATGCAATGATTTAAAGGACATACCTGAGCAGATAGGATCAAGGTCTGACCATGTCCTGTTGGGGAAGTGTAAGCTTGGTCCTGAACATTCCCTCCAGGTCTTGCCAAGGATACGATAGCCCGCATCACAGCGGTAGTCCAATACCTCCCCAAGCCTGTAAGTCCTGTTCGCCGTGTTACTTTGTAGATGGCTGATCTCAGCTTCACTCTCCAAAAGCGATGGGCACATCACCTCTACAAAATACATAAGCACAAGTAATTTGAGGTGTTTTTTTCTTGGCATGGTCTTACGCTTTACAATTGAAAACCTTTTGCAGAATTGTAATAAAGTCATTGAAAGTCAATCACAAGTCACTCAATCTCTTAATTGTTCAATTCTATCGAAATGAATTATGATTCATAAATACCTCAGACAGTTTAGCCATTTCTATTGGTCGAGAGCCCGTCACGTGGCTGGTCTTAAACGGATGATAAAGACATGGCTAGCTGGTCTTAAACACTTTTCCAGTGTCACATAAAATGTGGACTCCTAAAAATCCAGTGCCTCTTACCGTTTTATTGGTTGAACATTCACAGTCCTCGCGTAGGCATGCGCAAAACTACCAGTGAGTCAGAATTTTATAGTTCTAAATTTGAAATGCAACGCCCAAGGTGCATTCTGCGCGACATTGCACAGAACGTGCCACGCGCGCGTCAATCGCCATAAAAGGGTTGTTTACATCTTAATCGCCAGCTGAACACTCCATTATTTAGCTAGAGGGATGTTTCAAAAAGCATGAAGTGAACTTGTTGAACAAAATCGGGATTTTTTGACCAAAATATTATATTTTTTTACCGAAAAGGTATTTATGAATGGGAATAAATATGTGCTCGGTCTGTATTAATCACTCTGTTTAAGACCGCTTAGAGTCTGGGTGCTGATAATTACCCTAACCTCCGGGTAATTATCAGCACCCAGACTCTAAGCGGTCTTAAACAGAGTGATTAAAATCTCTCGAGCACACATTTATTCCCTTATTAAAATGGTTGTTTTCCCCTGTAACTTGTAATTTTTTTAATAATTGGGGTGTGACTTGAATCCTGATGGACTGAACTACAACTCTTTTGAATTGTCTTTCTTTGCAATTATGTGTTGCCAATAATAAGATTATGGAAGTGAACTTTGTATGAAACAATTTCATAGCGTTCGTTTGTTTGTTCATATTGTTTTAAATTTTATAAATTTATAACGTTCAAATTTATAACTTTGTAGATGGCTGATCTCAGCTTCACTCTCCAAAAGCGATGTGCATATCACTTCTGTTAGAATATGAAGCGGTCACGGGTAGTCTGTGATCAATGTTTTACGTTGTTTCTTGTGCTGCACAAAATATACGCAGACTCTGTACATACTCTGCACTTATACTTACTGCTTACTGTAACCTTAAAATTCTGGGCTAATCGACTGGACTGATTAATACGTATTTTCAAAATATGACTTTCACAGATCCAGTGCAGGGCTCCTTATGCTTCTCGGGTTAATAAATTAAAGCAAATTGCACTTTTGTGTACTTCGTCCCAAACAGTAGCCACTTGTAAGGAAAAGCAAAAAAAAAAAAAAGATTCAGTGTAACATCGACTGCCTCTGATAGTTAACTATGAAATGTTAATTATGTGCGCGTAGTAGATCGTGTAAGCTAGTCTCTGTATTTTATCCTCTTCGGCTGAAATTTACGGACGTGCACTAATACCGTCGACCACTTTATAATGCGTTATTCGACGCTTTACAAGTGGCGTTTTCCATTTAACACCTGTATACAGACCCGAATTTGTGCACGTGCAATGGGGATAAATGGTGATTTTCAAGTGCCTCCGACGACCGCATGCCCGTCGGCAGACCTCCCATCACATATTTTGCACACTAGTTGTTCGGGGACTCCTTGCTCACATGACCAGTGGCGTAGCCACCGGGGGGGGGGCGTGGGGGCGACCGCCCCTCCCCCCCCCCATGAAACCTTGTCGCCCCCCCCCCCCTGAGATTTTGAGTTTCTAAAAAAATTATCATTGATCTACATGATGCCATGGGCCCTATTATGTACTACAATGTATCTTTTGCTTAGAAAATATTGGTTAAAGTGATCAGAAATAGCCTCAGATAGCACCGCAGAGCATTTAGAATCCAAAATTTTTCGGGGCCCTTAAGCGGGCCCCTAACCCCACGCCTATAGCTCAGAATTCTGGTAGCTGATTCAATGAATCCAACCTCGAAAACAATGTTCACAAAATTTTCTTATGCCTTTAGCTGAGAAAACCTCGAAAATTATGTTTAAATTATTATCTTTTGTGCTAAGATAATTATTGGTTAAAGTGGTAAGAAATTGCCTCAGATCAAACCACAGAGCATCGAAAATCCAATTTGTTTCGGGGCCCTTAAGCGGCCCCCGAACCCCACGCCAATAGCTCAGAATACCGATAGCTGATTTAATGTCTCCAACCTCGAAAACGATGTTCAAATAATTATCTTTTGCCAAGAAAATATTAGTTAAAGCATGGAGGAAAGTCGTAAGAAATTGCTTCAAATCACACCACAGAACATCTAGAATCCAATTTTTTTCGGGGCCCTTAAGCGGGCCCCGAACCCCACGCCGTAAGGGCTTTGCGCTTCGCGCTTGCATCAGTTATGATCAAGGTATGTCCCCCCCCCCCCCACTTTTGAGAAGCGATTGACGCACCTGCTTGACGCCCCCCCCCCCCCATGAAATGTTCCAGCCCCCCCCAAAAACCCTGATATTTATTGTTTAGTTACTTTTTTGGAGGGAATACGATAAAATTCCTTACTTAAAAACGTGTGACAGCATGAACTCACCACGACAAGTTGGCATGGGTGAGCTCCACTCTCCAGACATTCCACAAGTAATCTGGCTGAGACCCACGATTGAGACAAATCCAGGCCAACATGCGACATCGATCTTGGTATTAGGACTGAATGATGCGTCGTCATGGCGACTCCTCCTGTCCGATTCTACCAGCGTCCAGTTTGCACCATGGAGAACACCTGGACTCTGGCAACTGTTCTCCGCTGAATGATGGAGAAGACATTGTATCAAAATATATATGTTTACAAAGTCCATAATTAGTCCTTAATAGGATCAGTCAAACTGCAAAACTCACGCAGGCCAAGGCCCTACACAAAATACACAGTACGTACATGTAGGTCTAGGCTCTATATAAAATATACAATACATCCCAACATACCCACAGCATTTGTTTTTGGGGCTCTAGCATAGCGTCGCCGCGGAAACACGTACCGCCATTATTTTCATATCATGTTAAAGCTTGGATAACTTTTAGTGGAGCTGCTAAGCGAAAAATCGTGCACTTTGGGGTAAAAGCATGAACTTTGGCATGTGGGGTCAATATGGGCTAGAAATCATTTTAAGATCGGGACCCATCCTGGATTTTGCCCATTTTTGGGGCGGAGCTTGATTTTTTGAAAAAGGGGGTGCAAACAATAAAAACTGTATTTAACATCCATTTTCTAGTTTTTCTATGCTTTGAAAATAAACTGAAACATAAAATAAGACATTCTAGCATTTTAGCACCTGTTATTTTTCACCCATTTTGTGGGCGTGGCCTAAATGTGTAAAAGAGGCGGTATATATTAGGAGTTTGGTTCAAATATGGAAAATACCATTCAGTTGGGTGGTAAAATCTTGAAAATTGGCAATCAAAATGGGCTGAAAATCATTTTAAGAGGGTGGATCCATATTGGATCTTGCCCATTTTGGGGGCGGAGCTTGATCGGTTAAAAAGGGGAGTGCAAAATTTAGAAAAACGGTATTTAACATCCATTTTCCTTTGTTCTTCATGCTTTTAAATAAACAGAGGCATGATAAAAAAATTCCAACTTTCAAACACTTGTTATTTTTTACCCTTTTGTGGGCGTGGCCTAAATATGAAAAGGAGGCCGCACATTGGAGCAGCTTGATTCAAACGAGGGAAAATCATCACTTTTGCTGGTAAAAACACAACATCTGCATTGGTTAACTATGTTTTACCATACACAGTAAATATAAATTTAAAAAGGTTGCAAGGATTTTGCCTTTTTAGGGGTGGAGCTACAATTTTAAGTAGGGAGTTGAATATTCTAGAAGATTAAATATTTCTTATTTTAATTAGTGTGATTGGCTACAAGTAACATAGGTTACAGCAGCTGCGGCATTTCCTTGTTTGTAAACACTACCAGCATCAGGGGGGGGGGGGGGGCAACGGTGGACTTCACCTATTCTTGCAAGTGCTTTTATGTGGGCATGTAAACATGAAAATAATTTTTTTTAAATATGCGCAGAGTATACGTCAATTCCTTGCAGTGTGTTCTGCTGAATTTATATCATATGGATGTTTGGACTTGCATGGAAAGTAATATCTTAATGTTTGAAAAGGTGGGATTAATATTTTTGAGAAATTATGTAGCTTCTTAAAAAATATGCTTGCACTTTGATAAACAATTCCAAAATATACAAAGTACATGCAGGAATGTATGTATTGAAAGCACAATATCTTTACATCACAGCAACAATGTAGCTGATAACATTATTTGTGTCATTATTTGTGCCCAAAACATTGCCACTTAATACGAATTAATACAAGACTTATATCTGCGTATCGCATGTGTCGCCTATATATTTTGTGTTCTTAAAAAAATGTTCTTGACATTGTGTGCATTTTTAAGCAACGACCTCAAATGACCCCTACATGACTTTTGACCTCCAATTTTGGAAGAGTTGTGATGAACCCCAACCCAAGGAGCATTACATCCAACTTCAGTGACATTAAACTGATCCATCAAATTCTGTAGACAAAGAAACATTTGAAGCATATTTGAACAATGACGTCTAATGAGCCCTAGATGACCTTTGACCTCAGTAATTCCATGAAGAATTGTGTCTTTTCATGCACCCAAGGGTCACTGCATCTAAGTTTCATCAAAATCCATGAAAACACGTAGAATGTTGTTAGCTTTCCCCAAAAACTGTTAATTACAGTTTTTCCACAGAAGTTCCAAGGGTAAGTTTGGAAAAATGTTGATGAATGGTTTTTAAAAAGTCGGGGGGGGGGCTCTTTCAGGCGATGACAACACCATTCACGTTTTGTAAGCCCCGTATTAAAGTAAAGGTCAAGTGACTTCATGTACTTTAATATTGTTTGTCAATTAATGGTCTATCTGATTACAAAAAATCAACATGAGTTTTCTTTTGTTCAAGACTTCGTTCAAGCGATGGCCACTTTTGAAAATGTTGGATAAGGCCAAAAAAAATAAGTCTCCGGTTTCTGGTATGGAGCTTGCCCCAAAAGTGGTGCGGCAACGCGGCTTTTTTTTTTTTTTTACCTGTTTTTTTTTTTTTGGCTTCAAATGTCGGCTGATGACTGCAAATGGTGCCCGACTAAACTTAGTGCAAATATATGGGAGTCCAGAGAGGCCACATAAAGCTTACTCTCGATCATAACCCCATCTAAAAACACGTTAAAATTGTGCAGCAGCAGAATTCCAGTCAAACCAGTGAGTTTGGCGGTTTTGAGACATCATCTTGTATTGAAAAAAAAAACTTTTTCATTTTTCCGACGCGCATGGCTACGGCGACGCGCGCGCATACCAGAAACCGGAGACTTTTTTTTGGCCTAAGGGTTAATCTTTGTTCAAAGTTTCATGTTTATACAAGGTACTGTTTAGAAGAAAAGAAGCGGAGCATCATGTAGAAAAAAAGGAAACAAAGGGCAGAAGAAAATTGTGACCATTTCATTGTGATCGGGTTGTACCCACAGAGCTATATTAAATCACCAGAGCGCTAACTCCTCGCTTTTTTGCGCAGAAAAGCCATGAAACCGTTCTGGGCGCAGACGTTTTGAATTCATGTGGGTGTTTGTAAAACAAAATGAAATTAGATGAAGTGAATTTCAAAAGTGCACTCTAAATGTGGTATCTACCAAAATGACATCATATAGAGTAGTGGCCAACCAACATTCGTGCCGAATTTTAGGAAAATCACGCAAAAAAATATAGGAATTACAATGGGGGAGTGAGGGGGAACAGCAATGCGGTCTTTAGCAGATCCAAAACACCCCAGTCCTGATAGCGTGATAGGGTTAACTTTCAATAGAGTGTGGTCGTATCAATGAAGAGAGAATCCACAGCCATTGACTCCTGGCAATTGCTTCAATATTTACACATAGGGCCAAAAAATAATAATTCTGCTTCCGGTACCCCACCTACCCTATTTTGACAGCCCCTACCCTAATATTGTTTTGGGAACAATGAAAAAATTAAACAAAAACCATCAATTACCACCTTTTCCCATGATATACACGCAGACACCTACATATGATCAGCACAAAAAGAATGCACCCCACAAGAATTCTTTACCTTCCTACCCTATTTTTCAAATGCCATGTTATCGGAAACAGAACTATTTTTTGGCCTAGGCTGTATGTACCAGGTACATCTAAGGACATGAAACCACTTTGAGTAAGTATACCCAGTAGAAATATTACCATTTTACCTTTCTATGCGAATATTCAGCCCTCTACTTTAAAATGTGGCTCCACCCCTAAAAGGGCAAAGTCCTTGCAACCTTTTAAACTTATCTTTACAGTGTATGGCAAACATAGTTAACCAATGCAGAATTTGTGTTTTACCAGCAAAAGTGTTGATTTTCCCTCGTTTGAATGAAGCTGCTTTAATGTGAGGACTCCTTTTCATATTTAGGCCACGCCCACAAAAGGGTAAAAAATAACAAGTGTTACAATATTGGATTTTTTGTTATCATGTCTCTGTTTATTTAAAAGCATGAAGAACAAAGGAAAATGGATGTTAAATACAGTTTTTCTAAATTGTTATTTGTTTGCACTCCCCTTTTTAACCGATCAAGCTCCGCCCCCAAAATGGCAAGATCCAAGATGGATCCACCTCTTATAATGATTTTTAACCCATTTCGACTAAACATGCCAGTTTTCAAGATTTTACCACCCAACTGAATGGTATTTTTATATATTTGAACCAAACTGCTAATATATACCGCCTCTTTTACACATTTAGGCCACGCCCACAAAATGGGTGGAAAATAACGGGTGTTTACAAGCTAGAATGTCTTATTTTATGTTTTAGCTTACTTTAACACATAGAAAAAACGAGGGAAATGGATGTTAAAAACAGTTTTTATTGTTTGCACCCCCTTTTTCAAAAAATTGAGCTCCGCCCCCAAAATGGGCAAAATCCAGGATGGGTCCCGATCTTAAAATGATTTCTAGCCCATTCCGACCCCGCATGCCAAATTTCATGCTTTTACCACAAAGTGCACGATTTTGGCCAAAAATGGACCTATATAAGCAGCTCCACTATTTATCTAAAACAGATTAAAAAATGATTTCTTTTTTTATTAATTAATTTCCTTAATCAGTTGTGTTGTAAGGTCTTTGTTCTTCTGTAATACACACGAATACAAACCTAATTAAACTTTCATTGCCACCGTCAAAGTAACGCAGAACCTGCCAGCAGTAAGGCACTCTGGGCAAGGAGTTTAGAAAGTTTAAACAGGGTCATCACATTCGGTTTTAGATTCATTGTTGACAAAAATGGTTGCCAAAGTAGTACAGGGTGGTCCAATAAAAGTTGACACTTTTACAGACGCAGATTACTCAAATTTGGGGATATGTTGTAATTGTTTTAAGATATGCCTAAATTACAAGATATAAGTGGTATATGATGAAAGCGGCATTGACAATAACGCCTAAATTAAAAAAAAATGGTGGTCATTTACACAAAAATGGTCCAACCCGGGTTTGTCCTCACGCAAGTCTATCAGACATAGTCAAAAGAACAGCACTGCGTGCGCCAAAACTGCAAAACAATGACCATATCTCATACATGCGAGTGGAAAAACTTGGGGGGTGGGTACCATTTTTCTGTAAACGGCCACCATTTCTTAATTTAGGCTTTTTTTCAAATGTCATTTTCACCAGATACCACTAAGTTGCTGTATTTTAGGAATATCAATTTCAATATGTCTCTCCAATTTTGAGAAATCTGCGTCTGAAAAAAGGTGTGAGCGTTTTTGGACTGCCTGTACTTTCCTATTCTCGAAAACTGGGCTCAAGGGACGTAAACAAACCGAAAGTTAAACTCGAACAGTGGTATACCTCTGCATTCTATGATTCCTCCAGTCCATTCTAAGCCACGTTGAGTCTTTGAGCAGGTCTTCGTTCTTGGCCCAACTGGCTGGAATCCAGACTTGCATTTAAAAAAGGCTCTGCCTCGAAGTTGCCGTTTCCTCCGATCAAAACGAACTTCTTTTCCATTCCAGGGCCTCTCCGGCACTGAACAGCCAATCGCTGAAATAGATGAATTCTAGAGTCTCATTCAATAGCCCTCAAGCATAATGACGTCACATTTTGTTTACATGTGACTTCATTTTGTCACAAGTCTATTACATCCGTCACAAGTGAATCACAAGTTATGCTTTTCAAATGTCATGTGACAAACGCATCCCCATGCAGCGGTGTAGCCAGGGTTCTCATCCTAGGGGGCGTGTGTGGGTGGGGGGGGGGGCTTGAGGTTACATGGAGGGGCGCCCAAAAATTTCGTCCGTGCTGAAAGGTAGACAGGGTTTTCTTCACCGGACACCCGGCCGCCCTCCGTAAAATCAAATGGGGGGGGGGGGGGGGGGGGGGGAGGCTGTACCCCATCTTCCAATGGGGCCCTGTTCAAAACATCATGGCTACATTAGACAATAACTACCGCTATTCGCGTCACGTCATTCGAGCCAACGGACGTTATAATAAACAACCACTCGCGTGGGGAAAAAAATGGTAAAGAATACGCACAAAATCGCATCGGACATTATTCTTCCGGCTAATCATGGTAACTCATGACTGTGCTTTTCTCCAGATGCCAAATTTTCAGTGGGGAAGGGGCCGACTGGAGGGGGGGCGAACTTTTTTATTGGGGTCGTGCCCCCCCCCCCCCCCCCCCCCCCCGTAGCTACGCCGCTGTCCCCATGTCATTGTTTATTTCTGATATTCCCGATTTGAAATGTCGTGGGCTTGACTATCACTCTGATAATTTTCCAGACAGGGGCCCACGAGATTCTCAAACTTTTCCCTCATTTGTACGTAAGTTGAGGATTTACACTACCGATTGCTTACTTTAGAAATAAGAGGCTCTAACACGTTTGTATCAAAAAGAGGAAATGCATGTATAAGTCTGGTTTACCTAGCTGGGCAAGTTTGTACATCCTAAAAGAACAATAAGGGCTTTTAGAAGCCGATTGATACCAACAGAATATAATGAACTCAAAATGCACCTACCTTCACATATAGGTGATGCTGACCACTCATCATCTTCATTGCAGTAGATAAATGATATTACACCTTACAGTAAAATAGATATTTTAATGTCATCTTTAAAAATGTTTGTACATAACGTCACCGGCAACGATTTGAATGCACACCGAAGATTCAAGGCAAAAATAATCTTGTATAGGGATAATGGGAATATACACGGTGTATTCAAATAATAAAAAAAAGATAATTGAAATATAAAGGATTTGTATCTTAAAATTTTGAATTTGAACACTTTCAGTATGGTTCCACTTGAAAGATTAGCTTTCAATTGACAACTCACTTGCTTCCCTTTAGTCTTGTATGACTGAGCACCAATAATAAAAAAAAAAAAACCAGAAGGAATTAATACAACAATATTTTTCCAAGTTAAGCTGATTCTGTGCACTGAGGTGAGCTGTCTAAACAATGTTAAGTCAAGTATAAACAGGATTGAAGGGTGTTTACAAAGATGGGTTTGTTCATGGAGTAAACCGAGGACTTTACATGTGAAACATCCTTGGCAATGGAGGGCAGGATTTAAATCGAGGACATTTTCGATTAGAAAACGTGTGCAAACCCAATGGGAGCTAGTGCAAAAAGTTTGTATGAACAAAAGATCGATGAAGAGCAACAATATGAAATCCTCAATGTACACCATTATACATGTATAAACAAACGTGTGTTCTAACTTGAGCTAACTTATGGCGTACTCACACAAAGGGAACAATTGTACCCACATAATTAAATCTTTATGAAACGGTACCCCAGAAGGGAAATTCTAAAGAAGAGGGTTAACTGAAGAAAAAGGCAAGTATCCCAAAAACCCAATCATTAAGGCTGCATGTATGCCAACCTTAATTACCATCTTTGTGTGGACCTGAAAAAAAACATCGGTCCACAGGATGCGGTTTGTTTAAACCTTCTGTGAACTAAGCTAGGTCCACACAAGGTTTCCCCCTCTCTGAAAAAAATCAGATTTAGAGACATTTTGGGGTTAGGGTTATCGGTCGCAAAATGAAGAGGATCACTCAAGGAAATCATGATAAAAAAATGGGTTCAAATATTCACATGGCGAGTAAAGTAAGGTGTATTTTCTCAGGTTTTTCTTAACCATTGTTTATGGTGTAAATCGAGGACACACACGTGCAACATCATCGGTGAATCGAGGTCAGAAACCGATTCGAGGACTCCTCGGTTGGAAAACGTGTACAAAACCAATGAGAGCTGTTGAAACAAAGGAAACGGGAAGGGGAACAAAAGAAAATCCTCGATATACACCATAAACAAACGTACGTGTGTGTGAGTTTTGTTTCTGCATTCAATAGGGGGCATTGAATAGGGGGCCTCTCTATTGATAGGACAATAGGGTCCCAAGTTCCAGAAGGTCCCTAATTTCTTTGAAACAGGAGAAGCAAGCTCCCCTGTCGATGTCCCTCATCCATGGTTACGAATACGAGGGCACATCGTCACATAAGACGTAGCCGTAGCTCCGGAAGCCGGTTTCGGACAGGGCTTCATCTCCAATTTCCGTCACACCACTACCGCGTTACATTTTGAATAGATGTTTCTGGACAATAATAACAGCTAAGTGTATTGTAATTCTTATTGTCTTACCTTGTAGTGTGTAGCCCTTCAAGCAGACTACGTCAACAAAGGAATTTCTCGGGAATCGGCCGTCGGCTCCTGGCGTGGCGCCATCGTCGAACTCCAAGCGCCCGCCCTCCACTGGCGTGGGTTCCGGGCAGCCTCCACCCGCTGTAGTCAGAAATAATATAAGATGCTTAGGCTTACGATGCATCTTCCGTAATCTTTAACAAATTCAATTGTTTTTCTTCTAACGAATTTTGATATGTTAGTGATTAATTTGAAAGGGAAGAAAATACTTTTTTCTATTTTGGTCTGCAACTGTTATTAAAAAAGGCTTTTATTTTGGGTTGTTTTAAGCGAGTCGGCTGGTTCTCAGTCCCCACACTCCTGATGCTAAAATAGGGTGGGAACTACTTTACCGTGCCAGAACTGATGTCGGGCTGCAAATAATTCCGGGGGGAAATGAAAAGTGACAAAACGTGGGCCGATTTTTTGGTTGGTGTCTCACTCAAAGGGCAATCATTTTTTTGGTTATATCAGAAAAATAGCCATTTCAAAACAAATTCAAATGTCCAGGTGAAACAAACCCTCCCCCCAAAAAATAGTTATCTCTCTATGACTAGGAAGCGCATGCGCCCACCGTATTTCAAGGTGCACGATGAAGATTAGTGTTGCGCGTGTCCCCCTTTGTACAGCAGCCAGTTATGGAAAGTCGTGCTGGACAGAGTGAAACATGATTAATGGAGGTCATTGTTCAAACTAATACTCAAATAAATAAATTAATGCAAATATTAATTTGATATTTTTAAGGGGGCATCAATCTAAAAAAAAATAATAATATCTACATCAATTTGAATAACATTTTAATTTTTTTTATCACGGCTTTCGAAAGTTGATACGTTAGTTTCACGCGTACGTAGCATGCGCGCTGCGTCAAGATTTGACGTGTTTCAGGCCTTTTACGGAAGATTTCAAATTACCTCGACCTATATGTTATCTATGCACTGCCAGTCAGTGTGCAGAGAAAAACTTGATACGTTATCATTACTCTTGTTTTTGACGAATCATCATTGTTTTACCTCTGTCTTAAATACTGTATTTTCATTGGCCTAGAACGATCACGTGTTAAGTTTATAAAAAGTCATGGCACACTCCCTGTGGGATATCACGTATGTGATATCCCACAGGGAGTGTGCTATGACTTTGTACGTACGGTACATGTACGGACGGTGTGAAACGCTTGTATCGTTCGTACCCACGCTATTTTCACCTTGCTTTCACGCATGCGGAGTGGGAGCAGCGAACTAGCAGACGATCAGCTGTTTCGAGCACGCGACATGTATGTGAGTTGACGTTTGATTGTCATGATTGTTGTGTTTACTGCTGTTTCTTTTCGTGATTTTTATATCAAAATCAAAAGAATCCAAGACAGAGGTGTAAAAAACAATTGTTGACTGCTGTGATGTGGGATATGTATATATCCCACATCACAGCAGTCAACCATTGTTCACTATACCACAATCAAAAATGTTGACTGTGGTAAGACAACGAGGTCTATTGAAATATGAAACAAAATTCAGGAAATATAAATAAACAAATTACAATTAGCAATCATTCTATAAATATGCACTGCAAAAACCGTGTTTAGCAATTAAACACTTTTCTAAACACTTTTTTTGCTATCAGTTTGTAAATATGTTTCAATACTAAACAGGCACTTAGTATTTATGGATAGCGTTTAGCCATTGAACATTGATGATTGGGATTGGGACACGTATAATGTTTAGCTTCACATGCATTAGAATCACACTCTCGTTAAACATGGTCCGGTTAATTTTTTCTTTATGATGGGACTTGCGGTTTTGCCGAAGTCAATTGAGTGACTGATAAGGTTTACGCACAAGACCCCGGCCAATGAGGTTTTGTATAGAATGGTGGCCGAACCACTTTTTGCGAAAGTGTGCTGGTAATGGTTTAGCCTGCCTGCTGCCAAATTTACCAATGGCATTCCTACATTTTCTCGTGCAAATAGGACCCATTTTTGGACCCTAATGTTATCAAATCTGCTCTTAGATAATAGCCCAAAAGCTAGGGAGATGATCCTCTGCTATATTCGCACGATTCCACCGTTTTTTTACTTGACTGTCTCGTTTTTTGCAAAAAATTGTGGGGTCACTTTTTATGCAAATGGCTCGCGTATAAATTTTTGAAATCTTAATCACTCGCGAATTTATTGCGCCTGCTGTCTTTCTTATTGTGCCATTCAGATATATTGTCTGTCTAGCCCCCCCCCCCCACCACCACCACCACCACACCGAAAAATAATAGTAAGAAAATACTGTTTAAAAATGTGCTCGTTTATTCAGAAATTCATGAAGCATAATATCCAAACTGATTGGATGTTTCCAAAGTGTCTTTCCCATTCGCAAAAGCTCTTTTAAAAGCCAACTATAGCCAGTTAGAATCACACTCTCGGAAAAAAAATGGTCCAGTTAACTCATTCTTTATGATGGGACTTGCGGTTTTGCCGAAGTACATTGAGCGTGATCGGCTGACTGATAAGGTTTACGCCCAAAACCCCGGCCAATGAGGTTTTGTTAAGAATGGTGGCCGAACCACTTTTTGCGAAAGTGTGCTGGTAATGTGTTCACAAAGTGATAACAAGATTGTGTTTAATAGGCTTTATTCACGAGTCCGCCATATATAAAAATCTTCATTTTTGGAACTTGCAAATATAAATTGAAAGCAATGACATAAAATTAATTACAAATTAATACCAGTCTGCTAAGATGGGTAATTGAGAATTTGTCATGAAACATACCCTAATATTTAAAGCCACATTTAAAAAGTAAGTTGAAAGTGAGGATTGGAATGCAAAAATAGTCTGGCACCATCCCATTCAACAGTTCACAATTTAATAAAATACATTCAGGGAACACGATCAAAAATGTCTTCCTCGTGAATACGGTGTATTGCTCAACATAATTTTTAGACGGTGTAGTTTTTATCGGATCTTAAGAGACGGGACAATGAAAGTTGGGCCGAAAATTCATGTGTCCGTTTACAATTCCCTGGTATTACATACATCCCGAGCACGGACACGCAGAGGAACAACAGGTTCTTTGTTGTCCTCGGGAGTTCATCCTTCTTTGAAAACGGTCCTCGAACGTGCGTTTGTGTGCTTTGTCTATGGGAAAGGGTTATATTATACGGAAAAGGGGAAAGACAATGCCTTTTCCTCATCAGACATTATAGTAAAATACAACTACGTGTGCGTATTGTGTTGTGTTTACCGGTTGCATAAATGATGCGTGTTCTGAAAATC